GATCAAGGGGCGCCATGCAAACGCGTTATTCGTTACTTTGACAAATGAGTAACGAGTAAAAATCCCATCGTTAGGAATAATAAATTACTTTTTGCTTTCGACGAGTTTCTTGCTGTTTTCATTTGATTAAATATATCAACTGACCGAGAATGGAGCTATGATATCCCTTACTTTGCATCGTAGATTTCTTTGAACGTCAACTGCTGATGACCGAACGACGCAATGTTCGATTCGAGACGATTCGATTCGATCGATAGATGCATATGCTTATACATACAGTATATCGAATCGGAACGAATACGATGTTTGAAAGAAAGATAAGGGTTCGCATGGCGGTCACGCGATTGCTGCTGGTAATGGTAAAGTACAATACATTTCTAAACGGAAGGTCAGGTAATTCTTTCCCCCTGGAGGTGACTCGCGACTATCTATGTCGCACAACTCGGCTAATCGATGGAAGTCGATAAAAGGTAGATTAGACAGACTTACAGTGTTTGTAGCGGAGACGCCGATCGTGAACCGTCAGTTGCGCGACGTTCATCGCGGTTTCAACCACGTCTACGATTATTTCTTTCCAATTATTTTCCTTTTTTTTTTTTTTTATAAATGTTCATATTTGGATAGTTGATATCGCGACACGTGCAACCTATTCACACGAAAAGCGTAAAACCGTCGCGTTAAAAGAGTGAAAGATTCACGCGTCCAAGTAACCGCAGGTATGTTTGCCGAATTCGAATTCGAATTCGAATCCGAATCGCGCTCTTCGCACGGCATCGTCCACTTTCTGTGATTTTTCACTCGCGTTTCGCTTATCGAGATACGAATTACAATGTCCTTCTGTTTGTTCGGGATTCGTGAGTTTTGACTAAATATTAATGCTTCGTATACGAGTTAAACATACGACATAAAATTGAAAGAAAATAGTCGAAACAATACACCGGTCGCTGTATGTATTTAAAAAGGAATCGTATCGTTTGGTGTTTATCGGGCACGTTTCTAATCATTAATTCCGTGTGTTGTTGGGCATCTTGTAATGTATGGGATCGCGAGTTATCGTCGGTGATCATTTTTGTATTTTCTAGCGCGCGCAACGACATGCGTGTGCCTAAACAAAGAGAGGAAGAGAGATACCGAGCAAGCGAGCGAGCGACGGCAGAGGGTGGGGGGGTACGTTGTATGAGAAAAATGGGATTTTTAACGATACTAAAGAACAAGATGTATAAACGTATCGTTGCGACGTATCGAACCGCATTTGAATGATGTTTGAGAGAAAAGGACAAGTGGAAAAGATAACGGCAACGAGTAAACGCCGCGTGTAGCGAAATATTAGCGAAATTATGTGTAGTTGTAACGACAACTGCTCTCGTTAACGATAAATTTATCTACTGTAATTCGAAACAGACGAGGATGGTTGATCAAAGTATGACTACGCTGGAATATTCTTCCGAGAACATGATCGAGTCGAAGAATATTGGGAGAAGGCAGACAGTTCCCGTAATTCATACCAGAGGCACTCATTACGACATTGGCTTCGATATCGTAAGAATTCAATTTTTTTAATTAGATTCGTTTAAACGTTGTCGTCGAATACTCGTGAGTCGTCTGTTACGAGTACCACTATACGACGTACATACGTATACATACATATATGTATATGTATATTTCATTGTGAGAAATTACATAATTAACGGGCAGGATTTCGAGCAGCTCTTACCGATTCTTATTTGATTTACAAACGATTTCACGATCGATTCCGCCTCTCTGTTCCAAAGGAAATCGACTACTTTGGAGATAAGACGAATGCAAAGTGTGTCTAAATTTGTTAATTACATCCCGTCTGTTTACTTTCTTAACTAGACGTAGGTATGTATGTACATATAATCGAACGCATCGTTGCGTGTCAACTGAAACGCGTAACCGGCAACTTTTCAATTTCAATCTCATGCTCGAGGTAACCAGTTCTCAGGATTTCTCACTTTTCGATCATTCGTTTAATAAGGACTCTTGAAATGTGATTTCAACGATTGATTTTTTCGCGCGTATATACGTACATACATATGGAGGATCAAGGGAAGCTAAAGAAGGAAAAAGAGAGGAAATAAAGAGTAAAGTAGAGTAGAGTCGCAACGAGAGATCGAGAGATCGAGATACATGAGCTGCGAATCGTTCTCGCACCTTGTTTCCAAGAGATTGAATACGTTGCGCAACGTTACTTATATAATACATGACTCCATACGGTGGTGTATTAGTTGTTCGGTAAAATGATATATAGCAAGTTTTTCTAGCAACAGGTTTCTCGCGTTTTCGCTGAAGGGGCTTCGGTCAACGCAACACTCCCGCGACACTTGATTTCGTTTTCGGCACATTGAATCGATGATCGACTCGATACTCGATACTCGATACTCGATATAACGAGGAACGAGTTTTGGAACGCGAGCTATTAACAAGAGAAACGTAAACATATCTTTTCCCATTAGGGCCGTACATTTTCCGGATTGATTCAACGGTACGTTAACGTATATCGACCGCTCAATGAAACGTACTTACCGCTTTACGAGACCGCTGTTGGCAACAAGATTTACCAGGAAACTCTGAGCTGCGTACAACAGCAATTTCCCGGTTACCTTAGGGAAATCCAAGGAACGTCCGATGGAGCCAACGTTCCTTTTCATAAGGTACGGTCGATAGCGTCGACTAAAGTCGATATCGATCGCTCGATTTTCGATTAGGATAATGTTATAATGTTACATTTAGATGCGACGCTAAATCGACGCTACATCGGAAATTCTTTTCTTGTTTCGCAGCTGTTTTTGATGCATTTGGACGACATTGTACCAAACGTAGCAAACGGAGGAGCACAAGGGAACGAGTTACCGGTCGGTTGTTCGACCATTATATGTAATCAGCCAGGACAGGTAGATAAGCGACCGAAATAACTGTTACCAACCAATTATTATTTATTATTATATTTATTACCTTTGCGTTCGTATTCGTGGTCGCAAACTTGCCACTTTTTTTCTCAACGAAATTTTCATTAAATTCGAATGTTTAAACAGGAAATTTTAGGACATAACGAAGACGCGCTTGGCGAAACTTTAAATTATTGGTACCTGGTTTCCGCGCACGTGCTTGAACCAGGCTGCAAAGAGGAAAAATTCACGTCTTTGAGCTATGCCGGCTTTTTGCCAGGATACACGATGGGTTACAATTATCACGGTCTCGTTTATACCGTCAATACTCTTAGCGCTGCGAATCTGAGGTCCGGCAAAACGCGTAAGTACATTATCCTATCCGCGAAGCCTTCTCACAATCAGACTACATGTATACATGTATGTATACTAGTCTATACCATTTCAGCGTGTCAGACTTCTCTATCGCGTATCGTATGGTTATGCGTTACTTTATGCAACTTAAACAACCGAATTTCCGTTAAGCAGCTAGGTACTTTATAACCCGAGGCTTACTTGCCGCTGAGAATTATCTGCAAGCTCAACAAATTTTGAAAAACGACGGTTTCGGTGCGGCCGAAGGATTCTCGGTAAACATGACGTTTTTAACGCAACAAGGAGACAGAATGTTTCACAACGCCGAGATCGGTCCATGCAAAATCGATGACACGCAATCCCAATTGAACATCTTAACCATCGGTCCTGGAGAAAATACCGCCCACTGTAACAAGTGAGTAAACCAAGGAACGCGCGCAAACATGTTTTACCGGTACTTGTACTTGTCCGCGACACCCATTATCCAATCGGTCTACCAAAAATCCTACCGAATTTTCAGATATCTTCGATTGAACATTCCAGAAGTCCAAGGTATCATTATAGACAGCAGCGTAAAGAGAATGGAGACGATCTGTAAGCATCCTCCCGCGAAATCTCGCGAGGATGTTGCAAACATTCTGAGCGATCAGACGGACAACGAGTACAGAGTTTATCAGGAAATTAAACCAGACGACTATGTGAAAACCATCGCCACTGGTACGCGTTTTTCGTATTATTATTACTCGTCGCCTCTATTTACTTATCGATCGAATCGTCTTTCTATCAGGTATCTTTGACTGCGTAAACAGAACCTGGTCCATTTACACGGACAAACCAAATTCTACGGATCCGATACTCGTGATACCTTTGGAGCTGCACAACCGCGAGACGACCAATTCTACTTTGTAAACTCGAATAAAGTTATCTGCCTTCCTTTCTTCCTTCCTTCCTTAAATAAGGAATTTAATCGACTTTATCGACAATTATACTTGCTTTCGTTTCGCGTCAACTCGCACACTTGTTTGCGTTTACGTGCGATACTAGTATTCGATGTTTACGTTTCCTCGTCACCACACTCTTCGCGTAATTCAATTTCACCGTTACCTTGAATCTCGCTATTTATTCGTTGTTGTTTGCGTCGTATAGCTTCGATCCAGTGCTAGATCCAATCCCCGGATGCGACCCGGGGACGTAATCGTCAAAAAAAAAAAAAAAAAAAAAAAAGTAAATTTCATTATTTAACCTACTGTCGGTAAAAATGAATAGATTGTAAACAAATTTAAAATTGTATACAAAATTATTCAGATACACTTTTTCAAAATCCGAAAAGAAAGGGATTATCAATCGAAAACAAAGCTTACGATGTCAACGTAAAATTGGCCTTTCGATCGAATAAAAGAGTGGAATCGAAACGGATCGTACGATTCGAGGTTTTACAAAAATACCCAAACATTTTCCTTCTTCTTTTTATCACAAATACCTCACGATTAATTGCAAGCTACGCGAATAACTTCGATATATTAAATACGAATCAATGATAATATTAATATCAATATCACTATCAATATCAATATCAATAATAATAATAATAAGAATAAGAATAAGAATAAGAATAATAATATGATTATAATACGACATCGCGAGAAAAATTGTCTATGACTGAATGAAAAATACAAAGAATGAGTAGTGTAGTTCGTAATGAAAATACATCGACTTTTTCTGTAGAAAACAAATAAAGGATACTTGATTAATTTATTTCAGCGACAGTATGTCGGTACCACGACTTTTGGCCGCTTTTTTGACTCCATTTCTAAAAAGAATTCCTTTATATCTTCCTCTCGTACCACTTTTTTGTTTTCAGCAAATTTCTGCAAGTATTGTTTCAATCGCTCCTTCATATTATTGTACTCTGTGTACGTAACATGTAACAAAGAAAGAAACGAAACAACAGATATAAATAATCACTCGCAACGGAAAACGATTCGTCGACAACGTATCTCGATCGCCTTACCTTCGATGGCTGTCAGTTGTTCGACGCGACCTAAAGAAGCGAGAGCCTTCATACCTTTTTCGTACCGCGATTCTTGACTGTTAATTTTACCCGCTTCTTCGTAAGCGTGTACACTATCGGTTGGGTCGAGAAGAAACGTAACATTTTTCTCTTGATAAAGCTTAAGAAAATACAAGAAATCGATTAACGGTACGAAAAGAAAAAAATTCAGAGTAGGTAAGGAAAAAGCCATACCATCGTGCAGGTCTTACACGTACAAAGAGCAGCTCTCCAGCCTTCGGACCAGAAACAGCTGCCTTTCGACGACACCTTGTTTACAGAATCCTTTCGTGGCATCGTACATCCTTTAGGCTGGTTTTCGATGTCGATACATTCAACTTGCGTTCCGGTCGATGAAATTTCTCTCTTCGCAAACACTACGATACAGACGAATGAATAATGTTAGAGGTCGTCATCTAACCGATCACGAACCAAAACAACGGTAGTGACGGAATGCTCTCTCTTAATAATTACCCCCGTATTTCGCTGCATAATTCCAAAGAAACTCATTTTTCCGCATACATCCAGCGCAAATCATTTCATCGTAAGCTCCGTCTACCGGCATGCCTTCTTCGCATTCTAGATGCTGTAATAATTATTCGAAATCAGATTACGGAAGCTGTAATGAAAATGCACGGTAAATGCATTACCATGGAATGATACCAATCCTCGCAAACTACGCACTGCAGCATTTCGTCGTTCACGTTGTCCTCTGGATCTGGATACGGTCTCTTGCAAATGCAATAGAGCCCGTCAAAGTTGTGATTGTAACGGTTCTCAGAGTTTGCAGAGTCTTTTGCCTACAAACGATCGATTAGAATTACAAGCATCGAGTACCAACGAAAACGTCTAGTTGTAACAAAAGATAGAAATATTATATCAAACGTACCACGTCCAAGTTACACTTTTGTCCTGCGAATTTAGAATTGCCGCAATCGCACCTGAAATGTCTTTTGGTATAAAGTTCGACCAATTCGTGACCTTCGTGACAATGAAAGCTGCAGGCCAGGCAAACAGCAGCTCGTATCGATTCTGGACAACACGTTTTGCAAGCGTAAAGTGCCTGCCGCGTATATCCCTGAAAACATTGAAGAAACGGTTCGACTAAACTATTTATACTTGGATCGTATCTGACATTGATAATGTTAATAGTTGATACTGATATAACGAAACCTTGCTATAAGTGCAATTCTTGTCATCGGATGCGCCCAAGACTGCATAAGCGTCTTCCTCCAATTGCTTTTCCTCCCGTAGTACATCCAACATCGTAACCGAGTTGTCCTCTTCGGTCGTTTCTTCGATTTTATCGGACATTTTCTTCGTCTTCGGACGCTAAAGCCAACGGATCAAAAATTGCGTTTGCTGCAGGACTGCGCGAATCTCATTGGTTCTTCGTAACCCGTAACCATAAACTTGTGCTTTGTTTATTAGTTTATTGTCTTTCAGTATTTAGGCTTGAAAAAATATACTTGAAACGCTCGCGATCGAAATACAGAAAATTTCGATATACACCTTTCCTTATATTTATGGTAATATGAAATTTGTTTGTAACAATACAAGTTGCTATACTTACTTTCGATGCCGTTGATGTTGACAGATGTATCGAGAGATGGCAACAGATGGCAGGCACAACGGCACCAAACGGCACTTGGTCAAGCACAGTCAAGCGCAATCGTACCAGTAAACCACAGTTGACGTAAAAAGTTGGTAGAAAGTTTGTAGCGCCGCGTGGGAAAAATTCAGCCAACTAAAATGTCGAGCGCATGCGCTTGTATGCATACGTGTATACGCAGTAGCGGGTTTTTTAAATTGCTTTAAATTGTTTAAAAGAAAGGAAAAATTATATGTTCCGAAACGACGGAAATCCTTTCAACTGCGTCTACACTTTGTCTGGTTTACTTTTTTTTTAAATAATTTAAAGCAATTTAAAAAACTCGCCACTGTATATACATCTATGCATACACGCACATTCGCTCCACATTTTAGTTGGCTGAATTTTTCCCACACGGCGCTACAAACTTTCTACCAACTTTTAATACGAGAGCTTAGCCTACTGCTACTGGTAGTAGCCACTAATTGGCAGCATTACCGCTATTGCCAGTGCTGCTCAGTGCTCAGTGCTGCTATACTAGCAACGGCAATAAACACAGGATCGGGCTAAACGAGACTGCAACTTTGATGGAAGAATTGTTAAATCGTTAAATCTTCTTAATACTTGTTCAGAATTATTCAGTCATGTCGAACAAAATTTTTCAAATATACGCTAAAGATTTTCTGCCGCGTATCAAAATTCGTATAGAACAAATTCGACATGGACATCGTATACGAGGGAAGCCACCGATGATTGCTCGTACCCTAAAGCAGCGACTCGAATGTAAGCAAAGAACGATGTTTGTTAGATCGACAAATTTCTAATAGCATTCCTTTTAGCCTTAAACAGAGAGGATCCAAAAGTATCGTTTAAAGTAGACATAGGTTTTGCCGTACCAAAACCGTCCAAGGATGTCAAAAAAATTTGGTGGACTAAGAGGACGGCTATAAGATCGGATCCCGAAATGGAGAGACGATCGAGAAATAGATCGTGTACGTAGCAAATGTACCATTCTAATAATATGCGTACGAATATTATACGACGTTACAACAATAATAACGTGTACATCTTTTGTAGTGTTTGTCGATTTAAATTACGTAAAGGAGAGTTGGTTAGAAACGAATAGTCCGTTTGACATTCGTAGAATCGCCGAGCATTACGGAATTTTTCAACATCTGTTCGGCGATGCATATTTTGCACCTGTTGTACCATTACAAATTAATTATAATCTCGACGACGATAAGTCTGTTGGAGTACATAAGGGAAATGTTATAAAACCTAAAGAAGCGTGCAAGCCTCCAGTCGTTGAATACAAAGCGCAAACGGGGACACTATGGACACTGGTAATGTCTACGCCGGATGGCAACATGCAAAATTCAGAGGACGAGTACTGCCATTGGTTTCTGTGAGCAAACACGATTCTCATCATTTGCCAACGCGCGTCGAAGCGACCGATAACACTAACGCTCAACGATACTTTTTATTTCAGTGGAAATATTCCTGAGAACAAACTGGAATGTGGAGAGCAAATAATGGATTACTTAAGACCGATTCCAGTTAGAGGTGTCGGTTATTATCGGTACATATTCGTGCTTTATAAGCAAACGCGGCGTATAGATTACACGGAATACAAAAAGAATCAACCTTGGTAACTCGACAATTTCGATAAAGAGAATAATAAACTATCCGTTCTTGTCATCTTTAAATTACATTGTTTATATCCATCGTAGTTTACAGTTGAACGAACGCAACTGGAGTACATTGGAATTTTATCGTAAACATCAGGACCATCTTACTCCGGCTGGTTTAGCATTTTATCAAAGCGATTGGGATCCCACGGTGACGGAGTTTTATCATTCCATGTTAGGTGTGTATCGCTATCGTGATAGTTTCAACTTTTACAAATGTTATACGCTTTCTAACTTGACCCTTTGCAGATACGAAAGAACCGATATTTCAGTATGATTTTCCAAAACCGTACATCAAACCGCAGAAATGGTTTCCATTGAAAGAAGCATTTAATCTATATATGGACAGGTACAGAGATCCCAAAGAGATAATGAAAGAATATCTATTAAGAAAATTAAAAAACGTTCATCCTTTTAAAGTACCAAAACCACCTCTGAAATATCCCAATGCATATGCTCTCGACAAGGATCTACCCTCTTGGCTAAAAACGGAAATGAAAAAGGAACGTTTGGGATGGGGTCGAGTTAATGACTTGAAATGAAATAATGTGTTATAAAAAAAAAAGAAAAAAAAATATGAATACATAAATAAATAAAAGGAATGATATAGCACAGTTACTACTACTATATACGATACAAAGAGTTTTGTTAACAAATTGTGTATGTATATCATAGGAAAGACAATCCAGATTTGCTTCGTAGACTTTTCTTAAATTAATCCATACCGTTATTTAATGATTTGTCAGATGAATGAGAAGAGTAAGACATCATTCTAGTCGCAAATAGGTTTCTACGGCTTGTTTGCTTCTTAACTTGATCTCGGCACGTGTTGGTATCGAAGAATCGATAGCTTCATGCTCGACAAATAAACCTAACGAATGCATCGTATAAAAATGATGTAGTCAAAAGAGTAAAGAGATTCTAATTTTTCTCGTGGTATCGTTTACGATCGTTGATGCGCTACACATCCGCGATACAACAAACGATACGTACGTTTATCTAACGATTCCGCTTACCCGTTGGCTCCAATTTCTGGCTGTCGAACTTTAATCTCGAATGATAGTCGGAGACGTAAGTTTGATATAAATCTTTTGCTCTGTCTTCTCTATCTTTGTCAAATTCGAAGTTACTCATACCAAACAGTGCTCCTACTTTTCGACTTACGGTCGATAATAACGCCAAACCTATATTTATATATATATATATACACATATACATATACAGGGTGTCCGAAAAGTCGGGGAGGAGCCGGAAATGGGGGGTAGCTGAGACGATTCTGAACAACAATTTCCTTTGCAAAAATGTCGGATGGGGCTTCGTTAAGGAGATATTAAAAGAAAACACCGACCAATCAGAGCGCGCGTAGACCGTTCGAGCGGACGCGGTAGCAGACGCTGACGACCGCGCATGTACGCGAACAAGCGACTCGACGTGCATCGAAGGACATTGACACTGCCGCCTAGCGCGTAGCCTTCGCTACCGCGGCTGCTCGAACGGTCTACGCGCGCTCTGATTGGTCGGGGTTTTCGCTTAATATCTCCTTAACGAAGCCCCATCCGACATTTTTGCAAAGGAAATTGTTGTTCAGAATCGTCTCAGCTACCCCCCATTTCCGGCTCCTTCCCGACTTTTGAGACACCCTGTATACATATATGCGCGCGATGCGAAGGTGTAAAAGAAAACTATATTTTGGCTTGGTTAGACGTGTTTGTACGAATGGGATTTCGCGGTATTTTGAAATCTTTCTTTCCTATTAATTCAACTATGCTAACCATTTTTCGGTGTTTACCTTCCGTTTCCATTTTTTCTATTACGGGTAAGTAGAGCTCTAATTCATTCGTATCATCTTTTTCGTCCCTCGTTGGCCTTTTATCGGTTTGTTTTCTTAGCATTTTAACTCCTCCCCTTCTCACGCAAACCAACATGGCCACCATACTTTGTAACGCAGCTCTGATATCCATTAATAATTCACCATGATCTTTCCTCGACTTTCTGTGCTCGAGTTCGCGTTCTTTTTGAATCGCGATTTGTTCCAGTAGAATATTTCTGTCCGCGTCGTATCTGTAACCGAATGAAGCCGTGTTTTGTCCGTTATCCAACGTTAACATTAACCTTAACGATCCAAAGCGTAAAAGTATAGCGTTACTTACTCTTCCACCCCTGCCACAAGAGTGTGTTTCACTTCCGCGAGAGTGGACAATGCGTCGTTCTTCTGATTCAACAATGATTCGCGTTCTTTTATGTTACGATCAAATTGCTCGAGCAATCGTGTTCTTTGTTTGGTTTGGTCCTCCAGTCTAATCGGAATATACGAGAACGAAAGAAAGTTACGCGACAACGATCGGCTTTTGTCCATATACGCTTTACGAGATCAGCAGTCCGTGTTCTGATATCGAAATACTTTGAATTCAAAACAAGAGAAACTTTCCATTTTTCTATAGCTTTTTCATCTCGTGTTCGATACTTTTTATCACTTTTTATGTACGGCCGGGCACAAGAAAGTTTTGGGGAGAACGTTTTCTTAAAAAATAAATGGCAATACCTGGATAGCAATTCTCGATAAGAACGTACAAGTAGCGATTCCTTAACTTTATCGAATATTTTTTCCAAAGATTTTATTTGCTTTTCTAGCGTTGGGTTCGATGCATTCGCAGCACGCGCAATTCCCACGGTGAACATTGTTTCACTCTGCGACGTACAGATTAAGCTTTAGGTTTCTTTGTTTCGACTTTGATTCTTGTACAGTTCGATTCGTATCACGTAGCTGGTAGCAACTTACTTCGGTTCGTATCAACGATTGCGCAAACGACCATAGGTCTTGGACCTGACCGCGAGCGAGGGTTAACGTACGTTCTCTTTCCTTCATGTTATCCCAAACTTTTCGAGTAATTTGTTTACATTTATACCGGATGTCATCCGACTGTTCGACCGCGAGTTGACCCATTATCGTTGCTTCGAATATTATTTCGCATTGATTTCGCCGATCTTGTTTCAACGCGTTCAACAGTGCTTCGTGGTGTATAGCATCCTGTCCAACTCGAAATATATTTACATCGATACGATAAATCCGATATACTATGTATACTATACTATATCTAACCTATACGCGTAATCGCCTCTAACTATAATATTTCATCGACTCGCACCTTTTTTAAGATTCCAAGCATAGAAGCGTACGTTATATTTATAGCCTTTGCTGCATTTTGTTTCGCAGTAGATTGCTGATAACGTGTAACGAGTTGTTGCTGCGTTTGATCCTGAGCCCATGGTTCTTCTTGTTCTTGCGCGTAGTCGTTGTATAGTTCCGCATATTCCAACTGTATCACGTAGATCACGTATCCTTACAATGTTATGTAGTACAACCAAGTACACGTGTAAACGCAAACCAGCATTTTAGCATTAACGTGCGTCGCGTTACGCGATTACCTGTAGTTCGAAACATCGCTTCATCTTGTTTCTTTTCTCGTAACGAAGTTTATCCAGTTGACGACGTTTTCGATGATTCTCTTCGTAAATAGAGTCGTAAATGTACTGCAAACGTCACATTCCGATAGTTGAAAGTCGTTCGATCGAACAACTACGCTTCATCACCGACACAACAGACACCGGTAATCTTGCAATAATTTTCGCTTACCTTTACTTTGCAGCCATGCCACTTGAACTGCAAATCTTTCCGATCTCGCAACAAACTGTGCGTACGAGTTTTCGCGATTCCGTTCACCGTTTCGCTTACGATTCGACGATATCTCTTTACGTCCTCTCGGAATAAAGTCAATTGCCAAGATATTCTCTTCTTTAGTTTCGTAGCGTCTTGCGTTCGTAACTTCTTTTCGCGACCTATACACGCATTTCGGGACTCACTCAATTTTATTTGCTAAACAGAACGAATTAAAAAATGTCTAGAAAGAAAGAATCAAACAAACAAAACCGAAAGCACAAGTAAAAGTATGGAAAGATATAGGTATACGGCCAGAGAATGAGAGAATGCGCAGCATAGACGTCTAAGCTAAGCTCATTAAGATTCGAATAACAATAAATTTTCCATACCAGCCAGTGGAACGATGGGTGTGAGTATACCTATTATAAATTATTACTACTTTATTACATGTGTGTCCGTAATCCCCATCACTCCACTTGTTGGTGCATGGTTCGTAGTACGTGGTACTATAGTATATTGTCCAACCGTGCAATTTTAGAATCCCTCTATATTGCTCCAGTTTGTCTTTCGTTGACCATCTTTCGTCCTTTATTCCACGAGATATCTCGGCTCGTTTACTGGCAAACATTTCGCAAGTATAGCACGCGAATGCGATTTGTTTTTATCACGGATTACTCGTCGCGAGTCGTCCGATCGTTATACAATAGAATGTTATCTGAAACGAGATACTGTGTTTTCAGGTACGAGGTCAAAGACATTTGTCAAGGAAGTCGATAAGAATTTTTAATCTTAGAGAATAACGTAACTTTATTTGACACGTATAGCTAAACAACTTTGAAAAGACCCCCGCGGAAGACTAATGCGGGAATCTTTTAAATTCTTAAGCTTTATATGGCTACATCTATATGTATGTATATCACTTACAAGGAAAAAATTGCGAAAATCTATGTTTTTAAATGTTGGGATGATTAGGTATCGTTCAATCTCTGTATATCGCGTTCATTTATTGCACATACGTGTATCGATTAATGTATGTATGTAGATTGTAGATTTTGTACGCTTTCATTCTTTTCCTCCTTCATTAATTGTCTCGTTTTCCCGTTTACTGCGATAGAGCAAGGGCTAGAACGATAACGATGACGATGACGATGATGACGATGATGATGACGATGACGATGACGATGACGATGACGACGTTATGGTCATTAAAAATGTTTATTCGTCGTTATATATTCGATGGGTCAAATTGGTGAGTCTAACCTCGAGCCGAAATCATTCGAAATGTTCGTCAATTGTTTCGAGTAATATCAAAGAAAATGTCGACGAATGGTAAAATACGAGAAACAGAAAGCTCGATTGATATGTACGTAACTACGTACCGTTTATTTCACGACTATCGAATAATCGATATCTTGCATCTCAGAACCGTGTCTGTATACGATGTATGTACATATCGAACCTTGACAGAAATTTGAGAAAATTTAATAAAAGATCGATTTTCAACATCGATCTACTCGGAAGTTGTTCGTTTTAAACATCTTTGTACGATCTGCAAGGAGGCGGTGGCGCACTCCAAATACCGTTTTCTCGACACGTTGGTTTTCGAACAGGCTCCAGGGGTGTTACGTATCCAGGCGAGCAGGTTACCTAGTGAATAATTGGGACGATAGATAAATTTGCTCAAAATCGATGGGTTATACGTATACATGTATCGTATTCGAACTTGTGTACATAATTCCGTTTGATCGTAAACGAAGAAACGAAAAAACGAAGGATTTATGAAACGACACGTATTTGAGTTTTCTTTCGTTGGACTTGATGTTTCGTTACCTGAATGTTATCCCCAGGTTTGTACCAATACTTGAGTGGTGCGATTCGTCCATGTGGCGGATCGCCGGGATAAGGACATCTCACTTCACCTGGAAATCGAATCGAGCTTGTTGAAATCGCTTTCGAACAAATATATTCGATTCGATTCGATTCGATTCGATTCGATTCGATCGTGGGAAATTTATTTGATATCGACATCCATTGCGGATATTATGAAAAGCAGGAAAAATACGAGTACGATTCGCAGAAGAAAAGAAAACTTACAAACTGGCGACGAATGAGACCAGGTTCCATTTTCGGTACATATTATAGAAGCCTTGCCTAAAAGTTCATGTCCCGGTGAGCAAGCGAATCGAACGAGAGCACCGACTTTGTACACACGACTCCGACGATGTTGTTTTCTTCCCAAGGATGTGTGCTGCCGATGCATTTGCTCGATAATATGTCCACTCTTTGGTATCGATGGTGCCGGACAGGTAATTTCTGTATAGAACACGATGTCGCCAGATATTCTTATATGTACCTATACGCTAGGAACTAGAAACGAACCTTGGCTAAACTCGACGAAAAATGTTTATCGAGATCTAATTCGCGCTACCCACAACTCGTGCTGCATTTGGTGAGAAAAGAAATGTATACAAAATTTCCGTTCAATTGAACGAAAGTGATATATCGTACGGTAAGCGATTGGATTTATGTTTGGTATAGGTAGCCTGAGCCTGACGTACGGTACGAGTAGAAACTATAAAGACGAAGATGAGAGTTGTCGGCTTACCCGTACAGCTCGGCATATCTCCACTCCACGAACCATCGGCTTTGCATTCTACGCTTTGCGATCCCGATAGCTTCTGTCCCCACATACAAGCGAATACAGCTTTACCGCCAAAGGTATTATTGTACTCGACAAGTTGTAGCCATATGTCGGTAGATGTGTTAATAGCTGGACATTTGATTGTCTCGCATCGTGGCATATCACCGGACCATTTACCTAACAACATAGGTCATCGTCGTCAGAAAATGGGAACATTGCAACAAGTATGTCGACAAGTATGAGTCGATGATTGTGTTTCCTCGAATATCGATTCAAACTCCAATTCTTGTCTGCGATCTCTTACCGTTGTATTGGCACGTTATACCAGCGGCACCTTCTAGCCTATAGCTGGCAGGACATTCGAAGACTGCTCCGTGACCCATTCGCGCCCCTTGGATCTTTCCGATCAACGGTGGTTCGGGTAGGCTTAAAACTGGGCATTGAACATCTGTAACGTTGCAAGGTGAAACGTGCAAGACTAACGATACGTGGGCGCGTTTCAATTTCCGATAGGCTTGCTGTCGGTATCGCGCTAAACACATTTCACTTATTATAATAATGTATTGAAGACAGAAATAGAAGCGCAGTTCCCGAGGTAGCAGTCAAAGGGTTAAATAATTTTGTCAACAATTTCATCCTCTTTTGTCATCTTTTCGTTTCCGAAGAAAAACCAGCACGTAACAATAGTCGCGAAAAAAAAGAACTTACCCACGACGAGAACACGGATGGAATTTGATAGTCCACGTGGTGTAGAGCACGTGTAGACACCCGAATCTTGAGCTTTCGCGTAATATATCGATAACCGATACTTCCAATCTCTCTCGCGAGCGGCGATCGCCCATCCTGCAACCAATCAAAATACATTTCATTTCAAACGATCTTTGATGATTACGATGCAACGGTGCCCGGCTCTAATTTTTCGATCAACATCGACGACGACGACGACGACGACGACGACGACGATCGATATACTCACCGGTCAAATATTGACGAAACGTCGAAGTCCAAGTCCATTCTGGATTACCAAGTTTCCTAGTGAATAGACACTCCAAATGAAGAATGCTCCCCGGAAAGACTGCAAGAGCACCCGACGGTTCGACGGCAGCCGAGCCGGCTGGTAATCCAAACACGATCGTTGGCGGCACATCTTCTGTTACTCCTCGAACAATCACCAGAGGAGAATGGCTATACGAGGATTCGATTCTTCTTTGTTGAGACAACTTTAAACTTTTGCAATCTTTAATAATAATTCCCTCGTCGAATTTTATAATTGTATATCGTATTATTCCAACAAATTCGAGTCTTCGATTTTCGACAAAGTTCAAAAGCCAACGACTATCTTCGACTACCTACTCACCGGTATAATTTGAGATTGCGGTTGTCGGAATGCAGGAGGGTAGTTTTCCGTTCCAACTCGCGTTACGGCAATGCAGCAACGAATCACCGACGAGTTTGTATTTACCCAGTTCCCTGCATCTTATCGTCACCCGTTCCCCATGCGGCACAGTAATTTTATCTACCTGATAACAAACAGTCGAGCATACGCATACATGTATACTCGCGCATCGCGAGTACTATAACGATGGGTGTTGTTATCACTTACGGATATCGCGATATTCTTGTAGGTAACGATCAAAAGTGGATGCAGACCTTCGAGTTTGCAACTTTGTTGAAATCCATCAGTATCTGCGAGTAAATTATTACGGTAGGTATACGCAACGCTAACGAGAAATCATTCATGACCTAGATCTCGTTTAATAGGAAAACTTATCCACCGCTCAACTTTACATGCTGCGAAACGAAACGAAACGATACGACACGCGTGTGGTATACGAAAAAAGATATTTTATCGACACGACGCCATTTCGATTTTATATAATTACAAAAATGAAAAAGAGACGCATTTACTTTGATCGTTTCGTTAGCAAAACGTGAATCATCTATTTGCAACTTGTTTCGTTATTTCTTTAATTTATATACTTTAACGCGCATGCTCGTCGGTACGGTGCTTCACCAAATGGTCGATAATGGTTCCGATGACTGCCCAAATGCCTTCTTATCGATCCGTGTTGTCACCATATAAAATACGATTATCTTCTCGCTACCAGCGGTTGTACAATTATGCAACGTACGGTACAAAACTTTGACAGTATACAGTACTATTATTACGAATACAACTACCAGATTTACTTTCGTTCTCTGTAAACGTAGTGTTACGCGCGCGCGTTTTATTTGACATACGCGTGTATACTGTACATACAAAACAAACACCGCTTTGCGCCCTTACTTCTTCGAATCGATTTACAACAGCGAATGCTCTTCGTGTTGTTATTATTATTGTTATTGTTGTTGTTGTTGTTGTTTGTTGTTGCTGCTGTTGTCGTTATATTGTCATGGCCGAATGAAAAAGACGATCAAGTCGGTACACGCACCTGCTTGTTGTTTCGCATTGCAAAATCCTGCTGTAGTCAAACCGAGTAATAAAAGAAAACATCTCGTTGTCAGCGTCTCGTGGTGGTACGCGCTTTCGAACAATTTCCAATTTCTTTTTCTTCTTTCCGTCTCGATGGACATACTGTTCGTTTTTGCATATCAGAACGAAATCTTATTCGGATCACGGTACTGGAAGGCTGTTTCGACGCAACCGTTGCATCGAAAATGGTAGGAATTTTTGTACATCGGACAATCGCAATCGTTCGTCTTCTCTTTCGCCATTTCGTTTCACAAGCACGACAACTCGCGTGTACTCGATCGCCAAAGACTCGAAAGCACTGGAACACGCAAAAAGAAATGAATGGTGACATCCGATTGACTGAATGTCGGCGTCGGCGTCGGCGTCGGCGTCAGCGTCGGCGTCGGCGTCGGTCGACCGAGAAAACGAACCAACGGAAGAACGTATGTGCGTTTGTAAAATTGACGACCCGACGGCGACGCCGACGACGAGAAGACCGCGCGTTTGACCGACCGACGATTAACGGCACGGCTACGAGGAAGGTTACCGCTAGCTTCATCGCTAACGTTCCTCAACGACGCGTAAGCGTATGTATGTAACATACCACCCACCCACCGCCAAAACTATGGGGAGAGGAGAGTTATTACAAGGTGAATTGGATACACCATTTCTGGTTTACTAGTAAACGCGCAGGCGTTGCTGCCCCGTTGCTGTTGTCGTTGCCGTTGCCGGTGCCATTGCCGGTGCCGTTGCCGTTGCATTATTCCTTTCAATTTAGAACCAAACTACCTAAATACATAAATACATACATATATTCGATGTACAATACATATAATATTGCTCATAATTTAACCGATATCTACGCAGACGTGTTAAACTTGGATACAAATATGCGAATGTACAAAATACAAAATAAAAGTGATCGTACATGGATTGTTCGGAACGAGTGGTAATGCATATAGGGCGGTATTTGCATTATAGACGATAAAATAATATTTATTCTTATCTTGACGTGGTTAGATCTAGCGATGTGTAGACATACAATACGATGTTAATGATACCATGTAATTATCATTGCAAGTCTAATCTTTAGACTAACAATCGACAATTTGCGTATCTATGTCGTGCGGAAGAAGACATAACCCGAGGTGCAGCTCCATTGGCTCTATAGTCACTGATGATGGTCACTTGTGGTCACTGGTAACTTTCGCATCCAGTCGTTTCCCAGTGAAAACGAGTATTGCTGTGATATTACTATACTGCATTTGGCCAAAGGCATATTTACACAGTTTAGTTACGAGCCGGTTGGTAGGAGACACCACGAACGTTTCAACTAGCGCCTCCTGCTATTCTCGTGCCTAACTAAAACATCAATTTCAATAAATTCTAATAAATTCCCCTCTGCATGCTGCATGCGAATGGTCCAAATTGGCCTTACTACCGTCATCTGCGATTGTATCGAGTTGGAACTCGATTCTGATCGATTCGACTCGATTCGACCAAATTCGACTCGAACCAGTACAAAGTACGAATATGGCAGACTGCCATTGCTGCCATTGGCAGGTAGTAATTTTGCAGTTTCGCATTCGTCGCGACTGCAAAAGTTTCAACGCCGGCAAACAAATATGAATCTCGATACGTTTCTTCGAATAAATGTGTGCTTGGTATAACGTGTAAGTAACGATATCGGAGCGGATCAAGTCTCTTCGAAGTAATCTTTAACGGGTAAGAGAAACAATTTTCATTTCGAGTCAACCGTACTCTCTGATTCGTGATTTGTGACTCGTGGTTTACTTAAACGTGCTAGGACTGCTAGCCTGCTAGTTGCTACGTACCGTACGATACTACGACTACGACTGCGACTACGTCTACGACTACGACTACGACGACTACGACTACGACTACGACTACGATTACGATTACGATTGTACAATCTACCCACTAATTTTACCATCTACATCATATCACATTCGAGGATACGTCAACGGACAAACCAAAAGAAACAATACGATCTCGGAGCGAATGCAGCTATCTGATTTTTACTGGTCTTCATTACTAGGCGTACGACGTCGTTGGATGAATGTACCGAGAGTTAAATGTTATTTTACGACAATGATATGACAGTGGTGATAGTCGCAATTCAATCAACGATGAAGGGTTCGCTTCAGGTTCGACGGTTGTGACAACGGACTAATGTCCAAGTCGAGTCTATCTCCACCGTAATTTATCGAATAATTATTACAATTGGACAATTTATCGCTGTCTTGGCTGCCGTTATTAACGACAACGATCATATGTCAACATTACGGGTGCTAATCGGATACATGCGACTTTTGAAATTTTACCGTACGTCGTCGTTTTCTATTTTTCAAAATCAACAAATTTCAACGACATTTAATCGTTTATTTTGTTCAACGAGAAATCCAGTAAAACAAACGATATGAAAAATACTACCAGACTCCACGAACCAGGATATTTCAACTTTTTCCTCTTTAACGTATCGACCTTTGAAACAAATAGATGTAAAAGTTAACTTTGAATGGTTTTTTACCTAGGGTAAGACCCTAACTTAAAATGTTGACGACGAAAGCTATTTTAAATACATCCGTACAAGTATCTGTCTTTCCTTGTTTCTAAAAGTCTAATACCTTATGATTATATGTTATGATTATATGATGATATTTTATTGTTTAGATTTCTTCTAATTAAAGAACAGCAGCAACTAGAGAGAAAATGGATGGGACGAGAGCAGCCGAGGTTTTGCCTTTGCTTCAAGAGCGTTTGGCTATACTACCGGGTGGTCGAGATCGTAGAGGCGGACCTGTACTTGTTTTTCCTACCACTCCGAGACGCGAACGTGCAAAACCCGAGGACTATCGTCGTCTTTTGCAATACCTTCTGACCGTACCTACCGATGAGGTCAGAGGTTTACGGTTCACCGTGGTTGTGGATATGCGTGGTGCTACTTGGGACTCTGTTAAACCTATTTTGAAGGTTGTATTTTCGTACAACTTGTTCGACGTTTTTTATACAAATTTAAATGCGATAACGATTACTTTCGTACACGAATCGTAAACGCGTAACACCGATTTAAATTTCTCTGTTCAAGGTGTTGCACGAACACTTTCATCGTTCTGTTCATATCGCATTTATCATCAAACCGGAGAATTTCTGGCAAAAGCAACGAACAACTTTGGCTAAACAAAAAAAGTATAATTTTGAGGTAAGGTTTTTAAAACAAGGTAATACGTTTCTAGTGAATAAATAAATAAATAAATAAAAATATTTATCAATTTTAGATAAACACTATAAGTTTGGACGCCTTGACAAAAGTAATCGATCCGTCACAGTTGACCGCTGATTTGGATGGATCTCTGCAATACGATCACGCTCAGTGGATCGATACGAGACTCGCTGTGGAGGATTTTACGTGGCAGGCGGCCGATCTTCTCGATAGATTGGACGATTTGCAAGAAGATTTAAGTCGCAATGATTTTGCCGACGATGTGGCTGGAGCAAAACACGGAATTGATTTGCACAATGAAATGAAGAAGAAAATTATGAAAGTTCCGGTAGAAGAGATCGAAGTTGTCGGCCAAAGACTACTGCAACGTTTCGATAATAGTAAGAACCACTGTTTTATTATTAAATTAAAGTAAAGTAATTGAAAACGAAACAAACGTTTATCGCATGCTTACGCGGCTGTTGTTAGGTATCGGTGCAACCAGTGGCGAAGGAGGTAGCATCGAAAGTGGGGCGACTGGCGGTACCGATCCGGATGGACGAGCATTGGCAACCTTAGTGATTCAACACTTGGATTCGGTACATGCCGCGCAACAACATCTTTTGCAGTTGTGGCATATTAAAAAACTTAAATTGGATCAATGTTTTCAACTAAGACTCTTTGAACAAGATTGTGAAAAAATGTTCGATTGGATATGTCACAATAGGGAAGGATTTTTGGCAAATTACGTAGAGATTGGTCGATCGTATCAATTGGCCAAAAATTTGCAGGAAGAACATAAGCATTTCACTATGAGTTCTATGAACGTTTACGTCAATATTAACAAGATTCTAACAATGGCCAGTCGTTTACTCGAAACGCAGCACTACGCAGCCGGACACGTAAGAGCTGTAGCCGGTCGATTGGATCGAGCTTGGAAAGAGTTTGCGGCAGGACTCGACGAACGTACGGCGGTTCTTAGTTTGAGCGTTGTTTTTCATCACAAGGCCGAACAGTACGTCGATAACGTCGCGGGATGGAGTCAAGCTTGCGATGCTGGCAACTTGGCTAACGAAATACCAATCTTGGAATCTCACATACGTCAACATCAAACTCTTTACGAGGCGATGTGTCAAGCCTATACAGAGGTAATTCTTACCGTGTTGGTGATTCTTTATTATCGTCTCTCTTTACGTACATTTGATTCCTAGCGATAGACGCGCACGCAACAAAGTAAAGAAAGAAATAATGAAAGGAAAATAGCTATTAGATGTGGAATAGCTACTTGAATTCTATTCAAACTAATTGTCTTTTCAACGTAACGTTATTACGACTCACGCGGTATAATTCAGCTAGATACAACTCGTTACAAAGAAAATTGGTATTTGGTAAAAGATAATGATGTTTGGCAGGTTTATGACGCGTATCAAGCACTTTTGAGCGGACTAGGCTCGATGCTGCAAGTTTGTCACAGCTTGAGTTCGACCCACGGTCCGAGCTTGGACACGTTTCGCAACGATTATGTACGAAACATTTAGTAATTTTGTTCTTTTTATAGCTTCTAACCGGTGGACGTGCGCTTGGTATGCGGGTGTGATAAAAAGAATGTTGCAAAGAAATACGGGGGTTAGCGGACGCGCGTTGGATTATATTCGAATTCGCGACAACCTACCAACGCGAATAAAATTAATTTTCTCTTCTGCATATAGATTTACGTACTCGAGATATCGAATTAAACGACGAACGTTGACTGTAGAAAATGTTAAATATGGTTTTGGGAAATCCTATTGTTTAGGTGCATAGTACCAGTAAGAAGCTTCTTTACCAACTGGATCATCTGGTGCAAGTCTGTAATCAACCGCAAGGAATAGACCATACAGCCAGAAAACATGTACGTTCATTGGTGTGCATGAGTGTACGTGCATGTACATGTTTGCAAAGCAAATAGTTTTGGTCGTTTATTTTGTCTACTCGGAGACACTTGACATCGTTCGTCGACACGCTTTGGCAATAGAAAAATGGCTTTCGCATGCTTGTTCGATCTATCAATTGGAGAATTCGTTAAAGATTGCCGTCTCGATCGCTGAACTGGTGCATGCATTCTTCTTAGCTATTACTTTATCTATTTCTTGATAGAGTAAATATTTCAATTAACGTAATACTTGTGTCAACGGATTTCTGAATGAATTCGCAACGAACGGTCCAACGATTATCGGTACAATGCATGACAATAGCACACGTAGATTGGTAGATACGTAGACTGGCCAATTTACGGGACGAAAGTTGAACGACCAAATCGATAACTGTGATTGATTTGTTTAGAGCCAAGATGGGCACAGCATCGATGGGCATTCGGGAATGAGTGGAAATCCAGCCGCGGATTATAGCGAGGGCGCGTCGCATGTGTTGGCGGTGATTCATCAAATTTTGGGTCATCACAGAGCATTAGAAGCTCGTTGGCATGCCCGAAAAGTGAAGCTACATCAGAGACTCGCGTTAAGGTAGCAGTTCCATTGGCTTTCATCGTTTCTCGTAACCTCGTCATCTATGGTTTTTTTTTTCATTAGATTGGATATATGTATGTATAATTGCAGATTATTTCAAGAGGATGTGAAACAAGTTTTAGATTGGTTGACGAACCACGGCGAAGTATTTATTAGAAAGAACACGGGAGTAGGTCGAAACCTTCAAAAAGCAAGGGTGTATCAGAAAAGTCACGAACACTTTGAAAACGTTGCACAGGTAATTTTCGATCGATTTATCGCGTTCAGATGTTTGCGAATGAATACTTTGAAAGCGTACCACCAACTAGTCGTTTTCCTCGCTGTTTTAGAATACTTACACGAACGCCACCAAATTACTTACCGCTGCACAAGAATTGGCGCACACAGGAGAATGTGCTGCGGATGAGATATATGCCGTGGCACAGGAATTGGAAGCTCACGTGAGCAGTTTTGCAGCGAGAGTCGAGCAACGTAGACGAAGACTGGATTTAGCGGTTGTATTTTACACGCACGAAAAAGAGGTAAATGTTGACAAAATCGATCGCGATCATTCTAAAGGAAAACTGCGAAAAAGTGTAACTGAATAAAATGACACTATACGCGGGCTCGATTGTCTGTTGTGCAGTTGAGTGGTTGGGTGGACGAATTGCGGCAAGAATTGCAACAGGACGAGGTGGCGGAGAATTTGGAAACGGCGGAAAGGCTATTGGAGCAGTGCGCGCAGCATAGAGCATCTTGCTTGGAGGCTTGCGCGTCGACTATAGTACAAGGCGAAGCGTTACTTCAGGAACTTCGAGAATCTACCGATGCTCCCGATACCACCGGTTCCGTAAGTTTCTCGTTGGTCTGGTATTTTCGTTCGGTTTGCTTCGATTAGACGGTTCGCGTACGGCCATCTCATTGTCAGTAGAGTATACGCGGTAACAGAGAGAAATGCCCGAATATAGAATCGATTGTATTTTAGTTGTCTCGTTCCAATCAGGTTAAGACAACTCTTCCTTGTCCTTGTTCTTACCTTACGAGGTCACTTTCAGATAACTGCGGTGGAAGCTGCACTCGATAGGTTAGCCGGGTTAAGACAAGAATTGGAAGATTTGTGGGCTACCAGAAAATTGAGATTGGAACTTTGTTTGCGATTGCGCGTGTTTGAAAGAGATGCCTTGGAAGCGAGCGGACAGTTGGAGATGTGGGCACAAGAATTGCAAGGCCCACCTCGAGAAGGTTCACCGGAGCAATTGTTACGTGTACACAACGATGGCGTTGCTCACATGCAGAATACCGCTTTTCAGGTTTTACAACAAGGTCAAGAACTCGCGCAAGTAAGAATCTCTAATAACGCGTTCGACTACCATATTAATGAAAGGAAATTAAAGGAAAGGAAAGGAAAGGAAAGGAAAGGAATGAAACATTTTGTGTTTGATGTAGGTATTGGAACAATCTGGAGTCTGTATAATGGCAGATGGACAACATAGCGCCACTTCTCGGGTTCAAGTACTTCTCGAATTCTTAAACGAAAGAGAAATGGACGCGGAAGATCTAGCAGAGATGAGAAGAGTTCGACTGGAGCAAGCTTCTCAATTGGTACAGTTGCAAACCGACGCTACTCACGTAGCCAACTGGATTCGTAACGGGGAAGCTATGCTGCTGGCATCGTTGAGAGTCCCGGAGAATCTTCAAGACGCCGACCAGTTACGCCTAGAACACGAACAGTTTCAAGTTGCTATAGAAAAAACACATACTTCGGCTGTTCAGGTAAGTAAAACGATTCGTTTAAAGTCTGATGCCTATGTAAAGTTGGGATTAGGAGCGATGCGCGTACTCGTAACGTACGAAGATTACTAGTAAACGATAAATGGAAATTCGTGTCGATCGGTTGACACAGGTAAAGCACAGGGCCGATGCGCTCGTCAGCGCGAATCATTACGATCCGAAGAGTATAAGGGAGGTGGCCGAGGAGGTGACCAAGAGATGGCAGCAACTAGTTACGTGTGCAGAGGAGAGACATAAATTAGTAACCGCTAGTATAAACTTTTACAAGACAGCGGAACAAGTGCGTTCCGTATTAGATAGCCTCGAACGTGAATACAAAAGGGACGAAGATTGGTGTGCCTCTGGCGAAAAAGCTACGCAAGTGCCGACACTTGTCGGTAAACATCAAGAACAAAAGGAAGCGTTTTTGAAAGCCTGCACGTTAGTACGACGAACTGCGGAAACATTTCTCAAATATACGAATCGCAGTCTCCAGTTTTATAGTTACCAGGCAAACAGCGCTGGTTCCGAGAATAAAGTTAAAAGTTAGTGTCACGTTAATCCATTTCGATTCAATTTTTTAATAGAATATTTCGCTCGATGTTTCGATGAATTATCGACCGTTAATTGTAATGATAAATTATATAGTAAATGTAAGCGAAGTTTAAATCTGTTTATGTCGATCGTATCGTATCGTATTTTAGGTATTTTGGAAGAATTACTTTGCAAGGAGAATCGAGTGCTCGAGTACTGGACTCAACGTAAAAAGCGGTTGGATCAGTGTCATCAGTATGTACTGTTTGAGCGCAGCGCTAAACAAGCTTTAGAATGGATTAGAGAAACAGGCGAACTATATTTAGCCACGCATACTAACGTTGGAAAAAATCGTATCGAAAACGAGCAGTTGTTACGAGAGCACAACGAGTTTAAAGGAGCTGCAAAAGTAAGGAGTTTTCAGCTCCATACGTTACCGTTACCGTTACCTGTACCGTTTCCGTTTCCGTTTCCGTTTCCGTTTCGTTCCGTACCGCGATCAGCTATCGAAATTTTTCGTTGGCTATGCCATGGATTCTGTTTATTTTCGATTTGTTCTTTTCGTATATAGGAAACAAGAGAGAGGGTTAAACTGTTGATTCAATTGGCGGACAATTTAGTGGAAAAGGGCCATGCTCACGCGACAGCGATCAAGCAGTCTGTTGCCGAAGTGGACCAACGATACAAAGATTTTAGTACGCGGATGGATTGTTACAAGACTCAAATCGAAGATGATTTAGGAATTCAGTCCGACGATGGTCAAAAAGATTTGTCTATCGATCGCAATTCGGATCCTTTGCTCGAGGAGAAAATCAAGGGAAAAGATCTGAAGGAATTAAACGAGGAGAAAAGGAGATCGGCACGACGAAAAGAGTTTGTTTTTTCTCCTATATGTAGTATAGTATATAGAATATGATTATAGTACATGTACACATGTCCCGTATCGAGCTGAATATACTATTTATTTTTCTGTAGTATTATTTGTTTCGCTCGTTTCTCATCGACTGTTACGTTACGACAGATTTATAATGGCTGAATTGCTACAAACGGAACGTACCTATGTGAAAGATTTGGAAACGTGCATTCGGTGTTTTTTGGAAGAAACGCGATGCGGAAAAGGAAACGTTCCGATGGGATTGCAAGGTCGAGAATCTATAATTTTTAGCAATATGGAGGAGATTCATCAATTTCATAGTAACATATTCCTTCGTGAACTCGAGAAATACGAAACCATGCCGGAGGACGTTGGACATTGTTTCGTGACATGGGTGAGTGACTAGTCTGTCTCGACGGTCTCGTTTCGAGGCTTGGTGTCACTCTCACTGCTGGAAAGCTTGACAAATTGACGGTTGCTGAACTTTGTTCGAATTTCATGAAATGTGGTTTGTTTATCCAGGCACCGAAATTCGACATGTACGTGATGTACTGCAAAAACAAGCCGGAAAGTAATCAGTTGTTGGTTACTCATGGCGGGACGTGGTTCGAGGAATTACAAAGGAAACATCGCGTCGAACATCCGATCGCTGCATACTTGATTAAACCCGTACAAAGAATTACCAAGTATCAGCTACTGCTCAAGGATCTTCAGGTAGAGAATTTAACGAGACAGGGTCCAAGGCCAGCAGCGTTTACGAATAAGCGTTTACGAATAAGCGTTTACGAATAAGCGTTTACGAATAAGCGTTTACGAATAAGCGTTTACGAATAAGCGCATGCGTATTCTCTTGCGATCGTAATTGTTACGATTACTGTTTTGTCCGTATTAACGTTCTTTTCTTGGTTTACACGACTCAGGCTTGTTGTCAAGAAGGACAGGGCGAAATAAAAGATGGACTAGAAGTGATGTTAAATGTGCCTAAGAAAGCAAACGATGCCTTACATTTGAGCATGCTGGAAGGTTGCGACGTAAGAATAGATACTCTCGGTGATGTTGTACTACAGGACTCGTTTACCGTGTGGGATCCCAAACAATTAATTAGGAAAGGTAGAGATCGGCACATATTTCTCTTCGAATTGTATCTATTGTTTAGCAAAGAAGTGAAGGATTCCGCTGGGAAGGTAAGCAAGTTAAACATCCTATTGGAATAGGGTGCGTTCGATGGGCAGGTATCGTGGACGAGCTTCATCTCGCGCGTATCGCGCGAGTTGGGATCGATATAAAGTTTTCTTGGTTTATCGTGACAGGTGAAATACATTTATAAAAGTCGATTGATGACCTCCGAATTGGGCGTAACCGAGCACATCGAAGGAGACGAATGCAAATTCGCGGTTTGGACTGGACGAGCGCCGACCAGCGATACACGCGTCGTTCTTCGAGCCAATTCGATGGACGCGAAACAATTATGGGTGAAGAGATTGCGCGAGGTTATTCAAGAAACCTATTTCAGTTTAAGCATGCCCAAGAGTCCCGCTAAAAAGAGTTCGAGTCAACGTTCTAGTAGAGATCTCGAGGAATGCGCTTCTCTGGACGACAGCGTTGAAAATTTGGATAGAAATTCTCTCGCATCGTTTGGATCCACCAATACCACAGACTCGGATAAGGTAAGCCATACTTGGTAATCTGTTCTTTATTCTGTTTCGTTTGTATTTCTCTTGTTTTATCTTGTCGTGATCGTTGGCGGCGAATCTCCGTGCAAGTTGACGCGATTCCCGACATGGCTTATGGATAACGAAAACAACTTGTAATCGTCTAACCGTATTTACGTTTCGTATTAGCACGAATAACGAAGAAAAGTCACTCGGGGACGTGTATGATTTACTCGTCGAGGTACGACGTCAATTGTCGGAAACACGTGACGCGTTAGAGGACACGGTGGTCGAACGGTGTACGAAAAGGGTAAGAGCGAGGGTTGCCGAGAAGGAGGAGGAAGTCTAGTTAGTTTTAGGAATCATGTTTCGAAGAAAGTTAATAATATCGATATTGTTAGACACGTGAAAAGGCTGCCGTTAAATACCGTGTTTGTAGATTGTACGTTATAGTTGGCAAAATAAGTATCCTTTACGCGACAGTAACAAAGTAATTTTTCAAAGATACGGAAGAATAAAGAAAGAGAAAAAAAAACGATTGTCAAAGGATCACTCGGGGATGTGTGCGATGTTTATAAAAAATGCAGTATCGCGATGTTATCGAGTGTATCGAGTAATGCAGGGGTACGTAGTAGGCGGGAACTGGTCGAAATCGAACAATAGAAAAGCAATAAACGAAAGAGAATGAGTTTGGCGGGGTGTGGTGATGAGAAGAAGAGTGGCGAACGGTTGATTGTTGGTCTGATTTGTCTAGTGTCCAGCTTTGGATCTACTGGACGGGCAGCATCTGTAGGATTGGTATTTGGTAGTGGGGTGGCTAGGTAGCGATCTAGCAATAGCGGTGGGCATCGGTCGACGCGACGCGACGCGACGCGACGCGACGGTTGGTTTCGGTCAGCGAGTGAGAAGAGAAGAGTAGAGCGTTGGGTGGGGTTCGAGAGTAATCGAAAAGCGAGCAAGCGCGTCGCGTGCACGAGACGATAGGAGAGGAGAGAGAGTATGTACGAAGGAAGAAAAGAGAAGAGGAAAACTGTGCCCTCGGTAGGGGTAAGGGGCAAAGGGTGAGAAATAGATTGGCGGTAAGGTACATACGCGGGAGAAGGAAGGAGGGTGAGGGTACAGGCAGAGAACGATAGAGGTAACGGGCTCAGTACGGGCGCGACACTTGGGTCGAATGGATCCGTTCGATGGTGAGTGAGACACTCGACACGACGATTCGTCGGACGAATCTAGTCTTTTTCATCTGTTCGCGAGAGAAACGACAAACGGAACAAGGAAGCATGTCGGTCGCACATTTTCCGACACCGTTAATCGCGTTTCTCGTTTCCTCTACTCGGATGTCGGCGTTTGCGCATGTGAATTAAACGCGAGGTGAAATTGTCATGACGTCGCCTGCAGGAAAACCTGCGACGATCGTTCAGAAAGCCCGCAGGAAGATCTCGTTACCGTTCTCTTGGTTACGTCAGAATTCTGCAGCTCCGCTACATGCAACTCTCTCTAGGCAACATACCATCGACACCCCGGGCTCGTTCCAGGCACGACACTTGCATCGCCAACCCTCTCTCTCCCAGGTACTTGAGTTTGCGCGCAGCTCATTTTACGTTTTCCCTCACATCTCCTCCTCTTCCTCCTTCACACACACACACACACACGCGCGCGCGCGCATATATATATATATATATAATTAACTTTGTTAGGAAAATGCGACACAAGTAGGCGTCGTATTTTTCCTCACCTTGAGCAGCATGTTGCGACGGAGAGAATTACTCCTCTTCCGTTGATTTTTCGGTCGATGAACGGGAGGGTAAGGAAAAATGAAACTCGGGAATATGTACCGTAAAACGCGCACTACAACCCTTTCAACCCTTGATCGTTGAACGGTTAATCGTAAATCTATCCAAATAAACGCGTGGAACAAGACTGCACTCGGTCACAGATTATTATTCGTTTTGTTTAACTAACAACGTTAGATAACGGAAAGCCGTATCGTTGGCGTTTTTATTGGACGTTTACACGAGAGAAGGTAAAGTAAAGAACAACGTAAAAGGAAACAATCGCACTCGACATCCGCAACTGTATCCGTAGCCACATCCGCCGTACTGGTGCCTTCTCTCTATACGTTACCTTGCTACAACGTATTTCCCACGTTATTGAAATGAACTAGTGCAAAATGTCTCGACTATTTTCTAGTTTAAAGGCCTACACGTCTCGATTGATTTACCTTTTTCTCCACTCTTTGTTTTTCCTGGTTGTTTTCTTCTCTTTCGCTCAGCTTTATTTAAAGGTTTTTAAAGCCAACCAGGAGATTTGTTTGTTACGCCTTTATATATTTAGACTATCATCGAATAATTTTCTCATGAAATAATTTCATGAGAACGCGAGTTAGAACGCGAGTTACAAGATCAGGATATGAAGAGGGCGAGATTAGCTTTTCGCAGAGTTGATTTGGTACGTTTGAATCGATGTGTAAGCCGGTAAATATGTCTTTATCTGGCAAAACGGAAAGCATATTGCATAATCGAATTCTCGCGATATGCTTCTCAAACTACGTGATAAGCGAACGGCGATGTGTACGTACATATGTATAGATTTCCAAGTACACGTGTAGTTGTATTCAACACGTACACTCACGCACAGCTGAAGTTTCGTTTCGAGTTGTCGAATGCACGGTAACGATCGGACGAACGACGTTCGTTGGTCGAATCGTCATATTGGGATCATTGGGAGGATTCGAAGAGAATCGGTAAAATTTGGCACGTGGAAAAAGTCTATTTTCGTCGGTGGAATGCGACGCAAGAGCAAGCGGTCGGATCCTCTGACGGTTTTCACTTGTCTCGGCATATCTAGAAACATTCTCACCCTTGCTTAATCTCCTTTTTTTTTTTTTTTTTTTACAACTTTTCAAATTTATCGATACGTTACCGATTACCAATAGCGTCTCTTGTATATTCGTAAATCAACGTTTTTTACCGCTACTAATTTTGATATCGCGTCGAGCTACGAGTTGTCGAGAAATCGATCGAAGTTTTTACGACGAATCGTTTTATTCGACAAAACGGCAAAAATAAATGTTGAAATACGATAACGCGTTGAAAAGCGAAGAAAAAAAAGAAAAAATACACGTAGGTATCGATATACGGCTATATTTGGCAAGTTGGCGTGTTTCGTCCCGTTGTTGCTTGTCGTGTATTTTAGAAAAATATGTATCTAGGCGTGACGGGTACTACGTGCCTTTACCGAACACGAGCTATTTCGATAAAATCGAAATCATCGAAGCATCGGTAATCCATTAAACGCTCCATCGGTCCGCAAACTCATAGATAATCTGTACACGCTATTCCGTCGATCTGCTTTTTCGCGCCATCTCCCGACTCTCCTCTCGCATTTCCCCTCTTTTCTCTCCCTTTCTATCTCGCATCGCTATCCCTAAATCCCACTCTATCAACCTCAACCGCAACTCCTCCCCGTCTTTCGCTATCGTTCGCGCCCGTTTATCCGATTACCAATTGTCCAAGTTCCAAGCGATCCTTGTGTTTCGGATATCTCATCGGTTGATCCGAGATGACCGACTTTGCCAAAAAGTCGTTTCGTTTTTCGTCGAAAGGTTTAAACATTAGTCGAGCCGTGTAATATTAGCAAAATAATATCGATAATTTCGCGAAATCGTTTCAGACTGGTGTAGTCGAAGTGACATGGATTATCGCGGATCACTCGGCAGCACCTGGCTCGAAAGAGTTGACGGTAACGAAAGGTCAGCAAGTAGAAGTATTGGAAAATGGAAGCAGTATAACCGGTGTAAACACACCCGAGTGGACTCACGTGCGTTTGCTGGTTGCGCCAGGACAAATCGATCCTCCGCCAGAAGGGTTGGTGCCTACGAGTGCGCTTAAACAACCTCCGTCAACTTCCAGTAAGACTTCGCCATCTAGAAAAGCTCCAAATCAACCGCAGCAGCAGCAACAGCAGCAGCAACAGCAGCAGCAGCAACAGCAGCAGCAGCAACAACAACAACAACAGCAGCAGCAACAGCAATCGAGCAATCAAGTACAAAGTCAAATCTTTGGTGGTAGCAGTATCGGGACGTGTACAACATCCGGTGTTGCGGGAACTGCATCGTCGTCGTCGTCGTTGTCGTCTTTGTCGCCACTGGCGATCGGAGTAACTACGCAAAATGCCGTTACGCCTGTATCGCAAGACGAAACAGGTACTTGAACCCTTATACAAACGGTGAAATGGTGTAGACGCGTTTACATCGATGTACATGCCGAGATAACGTAACCGAAAATAATTGAATAATCTGTTTCAGAAAATGTTGTCGCAAACGATGGAAGCGGCGTCGCCAACACGAGCTCTCCTGGAAACAAGAGACGCGGTTTCAGCGGGTAAGCATATGATAAAAAGTTTGAAAAACCGTATCGAAGAGAAAAGACACGAGTACATTGTTCATTCTCTTCATTTTCCTATTTATATAGACGAAAGTGGCTGCCGCCGCCATTGCGAAAGCTCAGCCAAGGTAAAGTGGAGAAATCGGTAAATGCGACAGCAGCGTCGACCTCGAGCGCAATCTCTGGTGTGCCGTTGAGCGATCGTTCCACCTTGAAGAAGAACGTTTCGGAAAAACGATTTAAATTACCGAGCGGTAACGAACAAATTCGATTATCGAGACCCGGACCTGTTTCCATCTCCACCTTGGCATCCGCAGCCGCGTCGATGCACGTGTCCGATTCGGTATCCGACGCGGATCTCGATACCGAACTTTCGACCGAACTCGAACCCGAAGAAGAGGAAGAAGGAGAGATCGAGCAGAGCTCCGAGCTAGAAGAGGATACACCAGAGCCCGACGACACCGAGGGACTAACTTATTCGGAGCAAAATGGAGCGGACGATGTCGAGGATGAATTGGAACTTCCACCACCGATGAAACCTATCACGGAGCCGATACTCGTAGGAACTACCAACGGATCTTCGGGATCTACGATTCCAACCGAGGGTTGCGCAAAGTCTACGGTAAGTTGCTACTATATCTACTACAGGTATATCTCGTATCAGTTTTTTTTCTTTTCCGACAGCAACAGCAACAGCGTCGACAGCAACTATGGAAATTACGCGAGTCGAGAGTCGACGTTTCAAATCCGACCTCTATATAACATCTTTACGTTAACGATAAGTTTGATTTTCTTTTGTTTGTTTTTCTTAGACATCCGAGCGGTCCGCTAAGATTCTCGATGGCGCAACGAGAGTTGATTTAGCCGAAATCGAGCAGATCGTGAAAGAAAGAATGGTAAGTTGATTCGATCGAATATATACGTATATATATATGTATGCATTAGCTAGGAAGGATTCGATACATGTATAATGCGCGAGTTATCGATCGAGGATATTATACATGAATCACGACGACAGGAGCAGCACACGGAAAATCAAGAGAGACAGAGCCTGATGCGAACGCCCAGCGGTAAAGGGTCAAGTATCGGCACGATGGCTAGCGAAGACGGTTACAACCAAGAGTCTGTGTCTACGATGGAGGTTACCGCGACGACCAGTAGCCCTGCTCATAAAACCATGGAGGAATCCGATCCTGAAAGCACCATTCTTACGAAGCGACAGTTCGTGATTCGAGAATTGGTAGACACGGAAAAAGATTACGTGAACGATCTTAGACAAATAGTCGAGGGATACATGTCTTTAATGCGAGATTCCGAGTGTGACATTCCTTTGCCGGAAGATTTGCGCGGTGGAAAAGACAAGATGGTGTTTGGCAACGTAGAAGCGATCTACGAATGGCACAGAGAGTGAGTTGAAACCGCTGAAACTCAAACCTTATTATACGTACAAACAGAGCTAATTTTTGTTGCTGATCATTTATTGGCTGGTTTGCATGTTTGCACGTGTTTGCAGTTTCTTTCTGAAAGCTCTGGAACGCTGTCTGGAACGTCCCGAGGAACTTGGCCCGTTGTTTAAACGGTACGAGAGAAAGTTGCACATGTATGTTGTTTACTGTCAGAACAAACCAGTTTCCGAATACATCGTTTCCGAGTATATAGACACTTATTTCGAGGTAATCCGAACAAGTATCTTACGTATCGAACGTGTACGTCGTTATTCTTTGTTATTTAGCGTAACGGTGTTGTATTCGGTTGATTCAGGATTTGAGACAGAAGCTCGGACATCGATTGCAGTTGTGCGATCTCCTGATAAAACCGGTACAAAGAATCACCAAGTATCAGCTTCTGCTTCGCGAGGCGTTAAGGCTTACCGAGCGAACACGAAAGATCTCGGAAATCGAAGGCCTTAGAGCCGCGGTCCATGTAATGCGGGTTATCCCAAAGGCAGCTAACGATATGATGGACGTTGGAAGACTTCAAGGTTTCGACGTGAGTTCGATCCAACGTGAACAACGCGTTACATGCCATGTATTATTTATCACTTATATTTGCCGTTTCGTATCCTTCAGGGAAAAATTACGGCGCAGGGTAAATTATTATTGCACGGTCCACTCTTGGTATCGGAATTATCGAATCCACCGAATAGAGGGAGGGAGTGGCAAGTTTTCCTTTTCGAGCAAAACATTATTTTCAGCGAGGCTGTCGGCAAAAAAACTCAATTCACAAATCCTGCCTACATTTACAAAGCTCACATCCAGGTAAGAAAGAATCTTTAAACTCACCCTATATCGAGATACCTAAACGATTTGTACAACGACGGACGAACTTGTAGTCTTGGAGATATTGTGATTCTCAAGTAATGCCATTCCATTTGTACCGTGTCGAAAGTTTGATGAAAAGAAAAGAAAAGAAAAGAAAAGAAAAGAAAAGAAAAAAAAAAGTATCGTACAATATCGTTTCGCGTAAAGTAGCGATAGCGCAACATTTTTTTGGTTTCACGACAGGTGAATAAAATGAGTCTCGACGAATGTTACGACGACCCAGAAAAGTTTATGATTCGATCAACGGATCCTCGGAAACCTGGTCTTGGATTCTCTTGTAACGCCCTAGAAGAAAGCGGGCCACGGAAGCAGGAATGGGTAGACACGATCACTGCCATCCTGCAGACTCAACGCGACTTCCTCAAAGCGATACAGTCGCCGATCGCCTACCAAAAGGAACTTACCAAAGATCCACTGTAAGCGTCTCTCTATCTAATACACAGAATTGCATTGACTCTCTTTCAACGCTCGATCTGTGAAGATTCGTTTCGACATATTTTTGTATATTTTATATAAAAAGAGATACAGAAGCGCTGTATGTTAGAGAATCGTAGTCGCCTTCTGAGCCAAAACCCGTTTCTCTCTCTCTGTTTTCCTTTCATTTTATTACCTTTCTTACCTTGTTCTTCTTACCAAGTATACATATTCTCTAATCACACCTGGCACGTACAGTACTCTGATCGCGTTACTGCGTGCTTATTCCTCCTGTTACCGCCTTAACATCGCAGTTGGGGAATCTACTTTGCTATCGCTGTTGTTTGGCTTGATCGTAACAGCGTCTTGTACTATATTTCACAGCAACACCAATCTTTTCTCGAGTCGACGTTAACGTTCCTACAATCTACAACCGCGTCTGCTGTGTTTTACCGAAACCCTGCTACGTTACGTTACTTGACGATATTATACTAAACTAAACTAAACTAAACTAAACTAAACTAAACTAAACTAAACTAAACTAAACTAAACTACACTAAATTAAACTAAACTAAACTACACTAAACTATACTATACGATACGATCCTATCGTATCGCGATAAATCGCGATTTCATCCGAATCAACAAATGGCTCTATTACTTTTTGGTTATTCGTTTTGCGGGTGGGGGTAGGTATAACAGCGTACATCCATTCGCGCATCAATTCATTCCTCTTTGCTAGTCGTTCGTGCCCTGTTTGGAAAGAAAGAGAAAAATAAAAGAGTGCGCGTTTGTTGCATGGTTCCGTACATGTGCGTTACGTATCTGTCGCAGAGTGGCTGCATGTATTTTGTGTGAGCGTGTGTGCGAGAAGTGAAGGTGAGACAGACGAATCGATTAGAAAATCTGGACAAACATGTAAATTTCTCTAGAGAAAATTACGAAATTACGAAATTTTGTACAATAAACACGATTAATAATAACGATAATAAGTTTGCGACGTTACTTTGTTTTTAAGAACAAATCTTTGCCTAGCTGTACATCGATAGTTGGGCATATTCATTCGTATATCCACTATCCAGATGGAAATGGATGTAAACACGCGTACACGTAAAATACTGGTGTAAATGGTACGCGGGGAATAAGGTATTTTACACTGACTCACCTCCACCAAAAACTAAAATTACCCATTAACGTTAACGACGTAAGGCTCCAAGTGTATGATACTTTTAATAATGTTTATATAATGCGAGGCTGAACGAGTCGGGGAATAGTATGCTGTATATAGATGTGCATTGATGGACGGCGACATAAAGTAAAAACTAATGACTCGCGAAACGTAAAAATTTTGTTTAGAATAAATTGTACATTGATCAACATACTCTGCGTGTGATGCGTCCTTTCCCATGCCTACTTAACAAACTTACTTTTCGTTGGCGACTAACAGCTTGTTTCTCTTATCGTTTATGGAAAACACGGTACTGTGCATCCATCTGATTTTCGACTGGACAAGGCACATGGTGTGTGTGTGTGTGTGTTTGTGTATACGCGATAAATAGTCGGGTCGTAATAAATTGTTATCGATTCGGTGACAGCTTACTGTCGATCGTTTAAAGTTTAAATTAACGGACAAGGAACCGACGATTAACGCGTTCGAATCTAAATTGTAATAATTGGTGCGTTGAGTCGAAATAAGATAGACGGTACCGTGTTTGAATTTCATTTATAATTTGCTGGCGTACAGTCGTGGCACGAGCCCGGAATCTCCGTGTCGAGGGAGCGTACTTTCAACGGTTTCATCAACGATACCGAGCGTGTCTAAAACGAGCCAAGAACGAGAAGGAAGGAGCGAGGTCTGTACCATAGGTCTCGGTACCGCTTCAAAATCATTAGCAGCGGCAATAATGACCACCGCAGCGACAGCAACCGCAACGACGACGACATCGCTTTTCCAACGATCTCGCACCGGAGGAGTCAGTTCGAGTCAGGATTCTTCGCGAACGCCAAGCCCCACCAAGAGTAGACTAAATTTTTTCGAAGGATTTAGGAGCACTCTTCGTCCTCGATCGCCTGTTTGCAACAACTCTATCCCGGTGAGCAACAACACCGCAATTATGTATATCTAATTACTCGATAAGCGTGTATATACGTGCCTACCTACTATTGTTTGGCTATTCGTAATTAGAACTCTTGCAATTGCAGCAAAAGGATTCTTCCTTCGCTTCCTCTTGATACCTGTTGCTACTCTCACTTTCTATCGTGTAACTGTTTGTTGGTGTGCCGACGAGCTCTCTTTTTACTTTTCTCAACGAACAAACGACGAGCTGTCAAGGATAATAACGCGTCGTGGTTCCTCAACGATATCTCGCACCATATCGTACCGTGAACGAAAATTACGCGAGGACCGTCCGCGCAGCCGTTTACATAAATACGTTAGTAGCTGTATTCGTTTCGATTAAATAAATTCTAGAGAGGATCGGTTTTCAAATATTCGATTCTACATATAGATATCTTACACCGTCACTGTCAACGTTGTTTTTTCTTGCCATCGTCGCCGTCGCCATCGTCAGCGTTCTCAATGTCCTCGTTGCCGTCATCGTTGTCGAGGTTCGAGTCATTCCATTGTTTACTTTATTCCGTAATCGTCACTTTCTCATCGCTAATAACTGTTTGGTTTCAAGTATAAAGGTTCCGTTATCTGTGCTATTGCTGTCACTATCGCTATCGCTACATGGTAAACGAGTATACCTCGTGGTTTTTTTCAATCGCTACCACTCTCTCTTTTTCTTTGTATCGGACGTGTTGAATTGGTGTCGCCAGTGTATGGTTGCGTTGCTAATTGTCGATAATGTATGTATGTGTATTTTCGGTGCCGTAATAACAAGACATGTTTATCAGAGAGAAAAGTGAGGATTATTCTTTCAGTTAGTTGAACAGGTAGTGTAGTTGGTAAGCTGAATAGAAAAGTATCAGAGAGAGAGAGAGAGAGAGAGAGAGAGAGAGAGAGAGAGAGAGAGAGAGAGAGAGAGAGAGAGAGAGAGAGAGAGAACACTAGCTAACGAACGAGCCAGCGCATGGAGGTTCGAAAATGTTGGGTGTAAACGATTTGGCAAAGTTAACAGGGAGATTCCGCAGATCGTTCCAGGTAGCAGAGTAAGGTTGACCGCTGATTGGGGCAAATTACATGCCGGAGAAGAATTGGAAATCTCTCGACTGGACGGTCCAGGCTTGATCGTCTCTCCGGTGATCGGAAAGAAGGAAGAGTTTTGGATACCGGCGAGTCTCGTTCCAAATTCGTCAATCAGCCGCGCATGGTCGTTTCGTCCGCGAAAAATCGATTCCGATGGAGAGAGCGTCCGTCTTCCGCAAGAGATGAACGCGGAAGAGAACGGTCCTCCCGCGATCTTGACTATTCCGTGTTCGATCAGGGCGACGGCCGGTGGCGTGGCTCGACTCGTGCTGGAGACGCGTCGCGTCGATCGAGCGCGCGTCTCTTGGAGAAAGGAGGGCCAACGATCTAACATCGAGGGAGGTGATCGATATCGACTCTGCCGAACAACCGATTCCCTTTCTCTCGAGATCGCCCCTTGCCTGCCCTCCGACTCCGGAATTTACCATTGTCGCGTCGAACACGAAACAGGTTCTTCTTGTTCGGCCAAGATTCCACTTCGAGTTGTAGGTACGTTGCTCGTTGCACGCTTTACGCGCACACGGCACGTAATTCGCGATTACACTTTTTTTAACTTTTAGGTGCACGTTCAATCGAATCCATACGTAAACGTACGTCTATCTATCTTGCAGGGATCGAGCCAAACGCTTGGAACGATACGATCGAGATCACCGTACCCCGACCGAGTCCGTCTACCAACGAGTCACCGATAATCGACCAAAAGACTACCGCAATCTCCAATTCCCAGAAGAGGAGTGCCAGTGCCAGTGCCAGTGCCAGTGCCAGTACCAGTGCCAGTGCCAGTGCCAGTACCACCACCACCACCGCCACGGGAACAAATTTGGAAATCGCGACCCGAGAGGCGGAACAATTTACCTATGTAGGAACCTACGTACAACTAGAAGAGCTGGGAAATGGTAGATTTGCTAAAGTATACCGTGGAAGGGATCGAGAAACTGGCCGACAAGTGGCGCTTAAGCAAATATCTCGAGCGAAGCAACCACGATCGATGACGCGCGCAGAGTTTGATTTACTCGGAACCACTCGTCACGATAATATCATTCGAGCGTTTGCTCTCTTTGAAGATATGCCACAATCCGACATCGACACTATCGTTTTGGAACTGTGAGTTTCCAAATATCTCTCTCTCTCTCTCTCTCTCTCCTCTAGCACATCGACTCGACATCGAGTTTTCTACGTATCTTTTTGTCTCTTACAGGGTCAACAACGGTACGACCTTGTTCGCATATCTCGGTGAAAAGACCGACTACACGGAAGCAACCGTTTCGAGGTATACCGGTCAAATATTGTCCGCGCTCCAATGGTTGCATTCGCGACAACGAGCTCATTTAGATCTAAAACCGGAGAATGTTTTGATCGATCGAGAAACCGACGCTGTTAAATTGATCGATTTCGGTGAAGCTGTCAGAACCGCACCTCTCGATCAAGTCGTTCCGCCTGTTGATTTGGAATTTGCGGCACCGGAATCGGTCCTCGGTAGACCGATAGGCTCCTATACGGACATGTGGGCTACCGGGGTATTTCTATACGTACTTTTAAGGTATCCTTCTCTTTCTTTTACCATTTCTTACGATTTATTTTCCGATCGATACACCGATTAAATGTTCTCTCTTCCAGCGGCCTTTCACCCTTTCTGGACGATTCCGTCGAAGAAACAACCACCAATATATTGAAATGTGATTTTTGTTTCCCCGACGAATATTTCGAAAGGATATCGACCGATGCGAAACATCTTCTCAAGAAACTGCTATGTCTGCGCGGAGAAGAGAGATTGACTGCTCGAGTTTGTTTGTCGTCACCTTGGTTTCAGGTAACGCGTCGCCAACTTTCCCAATCCCTTTCTCTTTCATCCCTACTAGATATCGCGTCGACGTAATTTCAAATTATTATACATTCCGATACCATCGACTAATCGGATCTCGTTCTTTTTCTTTTGTTTTCTCTGACAGGTACCGATTGGCGCCACGATTCCTTCTTCGCGAATGATTGCGTTTATCGACCGACGCGCGCACCGCTCGAAATCTCGTCAGGATCGAAACAGTAGTTTTTATTCGTGAACAAGCTGTACATCATTCACAAAGGACACGTATTTATCCGTGGTGAATTTTATAAGATTCTGGCCAGCGATTTCGGCCGATTGTAAATAAAACTGCAGCCGCAAAGAGCTGCTCGCGCGCAAGTATTCCCAATTCCCCTGTCGAGCCGTGTGCGTGTGCGCGTACGCGCGCTGACCCACACTCCTCAAATTGCCTGCTATATGAAATAAATAACACACCATCACTGTACCGATTACATCCTGACAAACTCACGCAGAGTTTCTCTTTGTCACGTGTAAAATGCATTTTTGTCGTTACATTTCGCGTACTCGTGTACTTTTTAATGTAAAAACAAACAACATTAACTGGGCTAATTATTGTGTTTTTGTAGCCTCGAATTTTTATACCTTTTTTAATCAAACTACTTTTATCGAATTTCACAGATAAAAAACGAAACGAAAGGAAACGAAACGAAACGAAACGAAACGAAACGAAAAAAAATAAAGAAAATTCTATTCCGTGTTGGCTGTTTTTCATTTTTATTAGACAAGTTTAAACGATTCGTTGTTTATTATATTTCATATAATAGGAAATTTCGATGAATCGTCGTGACAGGAATGCGCACGATACTACTACGACCTCCGAACGATACCTCTTGGACGAGCAACCTTGTAAAATTTTCTTTCACCGCTCTAGAAGCGCGAATCGAAAGGGTGCGTCAGGATGCGAGCAATTCAAATAAATCACCAATGTATTAAATAAAAAAAGGCACGCGTCGATTAGACACAGATCACGGCGACACTTTTACGCGTTTGCAATCGTCCAAGCACGACGTTTCTTTTCTCTTTACACCGCGACAACGGATTCGATGAACGTTCGGGTCTACGGTGTCGTCCACCTTTTCGTTGCAATCCGGACAATTGTCGAATTTGTTCTCCTCGAATCCACTCTGTTCCGTATTCATTTCGATCGTACGGTTCGAACTTGTCCTAGTATCGAATTCTTTTATCGATTTCGATTCTAACGTTATCGCATCGTTCGAAGCTGCGACTATGCCGGGACAGTACTTTTCTTCCTGTTTTTCTTTTTCTTTTTCTTTTTCTTTTTCTTCTTGTTCGTGTTGTAGCGCGACTTTGTCAGCTAAACTAGATACCTTGTTATCGATTCCTTTCGAGTCGCCTACGTCCAATTGCAACGCGACGATCGCGCTCGTTTCGGCATTACTTTTCATATGTTGTACAAGAATTTGCTTCGAAGTAAACGTCACTCCGCACGACTCGTAAGAATAACGTATAGCATCGCGCGGCTGACACTCGTTCACGTGCTCTCTTAATACTCTTTTCTCGAGAAATTCTTCTTGACAATGTTCGCAGCGATATCTTGGTTGTCCGTGACGCAAAACGGCATGTTTCGAAAGTTGAGATTCGCTCTCGTAACAAGCCAAACAAACGGTGCACATGTACCGAGGTAATTGAGAGTGATCGTTTACCAAATGTATTTCCAACTGTCGTTTCGATTTGAATGTCTCGTTACAAAATTGACAACGTATACACCGAGTTTCGTACTCGTTTTTCGTCTTGTTCCCGTCGGGAGGATTCTCGACGTCTACCTCAACTATACTTTTCATTTCGGTATTCGACTTTGCATTCGTCTCCGATCCCGAGCCTGCCGTCGCTGCCACTACCGCCTCTACCGCCTCTGTCCTTACCGCTTCCGTATCCGTATCCGTATCCGTATCCGTATCCGTATCCGTCTTGATCGTTATCTCTGCCGTTTTCGGCATCTTTCTTTCCAATTTTTCCTCTGGTTCGGTCAATTTCCCATCATCTTTCGAGTCTTGATATTTTTCACGGTTCATTAATTTTAAGACATCCGACCAATCGAGTTCTTCGTCGCTACGACACGTATCCATCAGCAACGAAAACACCGTACCAGCTTGGCTTTCTTTGTCGAACGATACTGCCTTTTCGTTTCGAGAAGAAACTTTGTTCTTTCGTATTATCGGTTCTTTAACGCTGGAATCGTAAATCGAACTTGCGATCGCATCGTTGTCATCTCGACTATGGCTCGTAATCGACATTGAAATTTGATTCGATCTGAGCCTCGATCGTGCTCTCCCAGCGTATCCTCGAGTACGAGGTCTACCTCGACCACGTCGGAAAATACCACCGCGTGCAATTCTTGGGCCGCGATCTTGCTCTTCAATCTCCTCGTTTCTTTGTTCCGTTTGCTCCTTTCTCATATGCTCACCGAGCGTATGCAGAGGTTTCCTGGGCGTGTTGTTCGATCGTGTATTTGGGAATACATGACGCAACGTATTGTCTGCTACGTAAATCTGTTGAAAAAATTTGAAAGACTGCTCCAACTTGTCGACGCAGTCGTCGCACATCTTTGTCGGTAAAGCATCCTCGTCGTCAATTTCTATCAAAAGTTTCAATTTTGACAGAAGGCTCATCTCTGTGCCCTTTCCCTTGGTGGTCATACTTACAAGGTTTCGCTTTTTGGTAGCACACGTTCTACACCATTGATCCGCTTCGAAGTCAAAGAGACACGTTTCCTCCGACGGTTGATCGATTCGTACATCTGGCATACAACTTTCACCGCCGTTTACTTGAATTTTCTGAAATTTAACAACCGACAACTAAATGTAGCCAACGACGACGTAGATATTTTATAGCGTAGAAATCAATGTCAATGGAAATTTATCAACGTAAAGAGAATAATGTTTCTCCTCTGCTGCTGCAATCGATTTTAACATCCGGATACCTAATTTGCACGTATAAGAAAGACGACAAATACATACCCTTGGTGCTCTCGCGTTCTTTAACGTCCTCGAAACGTTGCTCCAGTGCGGAGAAGGGACTGCATTTTCCTTCAAAGTACCTTTGCTAAGGTAACAGTCGTCTGTGAAGTGATTGTTACAAACAAAAAATTTCATAGACCGCAACGCGTTCAAGTCTTTTCCAATTAGATCTACGTGACCACTGTTGATCAACCATCTCACACAGAGACTGGTATCGCAAACGGGAAGTTCGTGAAGTATATGCTCTTTTTCTCGGGCATCAAGGCAATCGATGTATTTACATTTGGTTACTTCTTCCATTCTTTAATCCTCCATTCACAGAGAACACGTAACGTTCAATTGTTTTCCAGCGAAACGGTTCCAGGTACCCTTTAACTCGCCGATAAACCTTTCTTTTGAAAGATCACGAAAGACAGGTTAGGTACAGCTGAAACGTGAAAAATGGTGAAAAACCAACTAAAACCAACTACCGTGTTAGTTGGTGCTAGTGTCAACGTCAGCTACAGTCCTGACCAGTTGTTGGTGATCACTCGAGGATTGATTAGTTGAGGATCACAAGAGGACAAAAAGTAACGTTCCTCGATGAACATCGATGTTCATAACCTTCATAACTTAGCTACCGATGCCGATATAACTAGGAACCGGATCGATCGGAACGAAAACGAACGATATTTGAAATATTATTGATATGCTTCAGCAAGCCGGCAAAAGACAAAAGACTATGAAAATATCATAAACGTGTTACGTGTATCGTCTACGAGGACTAGGAGCAACATCAACTACGAGACCATAAAGAAACCACATGAAACTGCATGAAACTCGACGAAACAAAAAGCAACAAAGTTGGATCGAATGTGTCTAATGCAGCTCCCTCAGCTCTATCTAATTTCTAATACGACGGAATGACACGCGAAACACCGGTATCGTGTGCGGCGCCACTGATCACCCGTTGAGACTCGCCGAGTGTGTTGTTGCTTGTCGATATAACAACCTTCGAAATATATGAAATATGTTACAAGTAAGATTTAGCAAGTACGTATAGTGCGTGTGTTAAAGATAATTTGAATTACGGGCAGAATCGAGGATCGGGTAGAAGCTAGCGCCGCTGAGTAGCGAGTAGCAGTTTCGCGAGTAGCAGTTTCGCTCGGCTAGTCTAATGCATAGGTTATCCGTGATTCGAGCTGTATGGTATAGTCAGGAGGAATTGGTAGAGGGCAGGCGGGAGGATTTAGGGTGGAAAGGTGATTGGGTGGTGTAGTTTCTCGTCAGTGGTTCCGTGCCGTGTAGTTTATGGGAAAGACGTCGTGAAGAGAAATCGTGGAAGCCCGTGATAAAACGCAAATGGCCGCTCGAATGTTTAAGAGCGGGTCGGGTTTACGCGCATGACGTTTTCTCCGTGGTGAGTAATTAACGGGCACGACGTCGAGATGTAAAATATACGGCGCGTAGCGATCGTTGGTTAAAGTGAGCATGATGTGATCGGATCGGATCAGGTCGGGTAGGCGGAAGGGAAGCGTGAACGGTTGTTTCCGTGGCGGGCGATGGACGGTGAGAAGAGCAGTGGCAGTGCGGTGATGAAATCAGTGTCGGAGGGTGAGTTGGGCGTGGAAGAGGTTAAATTGTCCGAGGCGAAAACACGGGATTCCGCGTCGCGATTGAAACGCACGTTCACGTTGCCAAGGAATCCATTTCAAAGTGCCGGTAGGATGTCACGGCGACGTCCGAAACAACAGGCTCGTGACATGAAAGACAGCGGTAGCGGAATGAGCGGCAAAGAAAGAAACAATATGCAGCAGCAGCAGCAGCAGCAGCAGCAGCAGCAAGTAGAAAGCATGCAACAAAATGTGGGCCGATTGCAAAGCGGCGGTCAAGGGTACCCGGAGAGGACCGGTGTAAAGAAAGTGTTCCGCAGGCCGTCTTGGAGGAAGTTTATCAACAAAATGGTACAACACATGTCGAACGTGGCCACGCAAAACCATAAAACAGCCCACAGAGATGATCTTGGCTCCAGTGCCGGAGATATAAGGGTGCCTCCACCTAGACCGGCGCATATTCCACCGGATAGAGTACCAGGGGTGATAGGTTTACGCAATCACGGTAACACGTGTTTCATGAACGCCGTGTTGCAGTGCCTCTCGCACACAGACATACTCGCCGAGTATTTTGTGTTGGACCAGTACAAGGTCGATTTGTCCCGACGGAATAAACTCAACTCGAAGAAATACGGAACGAAAGGAGAGATTACCGAACAGCTAGCCCTTCTGTTAAAGGCCATCTGGAGCTGTCAGTACGATCCCGAGATGAGCACAGCGTTTAAAAGCGTCGTCGATAAATACGGAAGCCAGTATAGGGGTAATTTGCAGCACGACGCTCAAGAGTTTTTGCTCTGGCTATTGGATAAAGTGCACGAGGACCTAAATCAAGCGACAAAAAAAAAATATAAAATCATCAAGGTGAGTGAAAGAAGGAAAGAAATGTGCCTTTAGACAGTTTTCAACGGGCGCGGCTCATTGTTTCTCGCAACCGTTGTAAGCGACGGACAGGTTTATCATCGTTCACGACGATTCGTTACGTAATACCAATAATTATTTATCGGACAATCTTATTATAATTTCCTCGCGACTTGTGACTCGCTGTACGAGTACGTCGATAGAAAGCTACGAAATACCTTTTCTCGAAAGGTTATTCGGTTTATCTCTCGTCCGATTTCTTTACACTTTGGAGAAGACGGGGGCAGTTGGTCGCAACGGGTCCTTAACCTACATTTATTTCCCATTAAAAAAGAGCGTACGTGCTACGCTTTCTGAACGGTATCGAGCCATTCAAGCTTCAAAAGCTTGGACGAATTCGCGGGAAAGTGAACGTTTCGTCAAGAACCAAACATTTAATGGAAACATAGACTAGTTACGATTCTGTCTGTGTGTGTGTGTGTGTGTGTGTGTGTGTGTGTGTGTGTGTGTGTGTTTTCTCTCGCTCTCTCTCTCTCTCACTCTCTCTCACTCTCTCACTCTCTTTGTTCGACGAAAAAGGAAATATTATAATTGAGACAAATTTTGACACAAGTATATCGTGTGAAACCTTTCCCTATGCAAGTTGAACGATACAAGCTTTAAATGTGAATGTTGAAAAAAGTGGAAACAGAAGAACAGAGAAGGAAAATCAAAGGTGAAGAACATCTCGACGGGCAAAACACACTAGTTCCCTAAAAAGAAACCATTTACATGATACAACTCGAGCTTGGTAGGTGGTCGTGAAAAATTGGAGGGCGCGTCTAGTGTAGAGCCGTTAAGCATAAATTCGAATAATGGAATATTCTTTGCGCGAATACGTCATGTCTCGTAGACGCAGAGGGCAAGACAAACCGATAGAATTTTAGTTGGCTGATTCACCCCGTGAAATGCTTGAATAATAAATTACGCAACCAGAAAAAAATCAATTTCTCTAATCATAGTAATCGTGTGTATTTTGACGAATTTCGTTCTACCTAACTATTCCGATGAATTCTTTAATATCGAATGAAGTAGATATCGTTTGCAAGTTGTAATAATTTGTTTGTCAACTCAACTTTCGATGCATTCGATTCTTGAGATGTAATAATATTCTGTGTAGATAGAAGGTTATCGATAATGAAATGTGGGTGCGTTGATGGTTGGATAAATATTTTTTTCGGCTACTGTACCTACACGATCGCGGTTACATGAACGATGAGGTAAGAGGCAGAGTAAAAACGACTGCAAACAGAACTGTGAATCATCTTGCCTATCGAACAATAGACGTCCAGTTCGCGGTAGGACAGAAATCGGCAAAGGCCGATGAAAGTCGAAGCGAAGCGTGAAATTATTTCTGCTTTTTGTTTTTGTCATTGTCGATAATTAATTACGACACAAGCAACGGATACGACTTTACACAACCAACTATGTAAACTGCGCGAGTAAAAGAATTTTCAACAAGGACTAATCTCCCCAAAATAATCTCCTCGCGGAAGCGTGTAATCGTGCAAGAGTCGAATAATAAGTGACTCTGAAGCTGAACCGAATTGGTTCTTGTTGTACGTTCGATTCCGTTTTCTTTTGTACACGTGACTATTTTATTATTCATTGTTCTCTGTAGCGTAATTATAAGTGTGCCACCTTTTATCACAGTTTGTCCGCATTGTCTACCAGGAATGTAATTATACCCGTACGTACGTGTACGTGAACGTGTAGTACCTTGATTTGTATCGACAGTTTGTCCAATTCTTTCGTATATTTATTTGACAAAAGTTGTAATATATGTAAAATGAGATGATTTTTCCTTAAAGGTGTTTCTCACGAAACGCTTGGACTTTCCTTTAAAGCGGGTTACGCGTTAATTAGCAGCCTCGAGTACGTTTGATGGTTTGTTCGGTCGTTGATGTTTAATTTGTCGGGTCGGTCCGGTCCAGTCCGGTCAGGTGTTTGGAATAGTATCGTTCCGTTTTCTTTTCCTTTCATAGTTTAGTCGCATTGTTCGCTGCTATCTTATCGATCGTTACTCGCGTACGATCCAAGTGTTTATCGAGCATCGGATAAGGAAGCGAAGAAACGAGTCGATAATGTACATTAGAAACTAACGATCTCGTGCGTGTGCGATGATGACGCTCCGCTCCTGAAGCTTGTTCACGGCTGCTGCCTCGTGCTACTTTTTCCTAACCAGTTTTTTTTTTGTCTCGAGTCTCGAGTGCCCTTGGTTGCCGGACACGTTGACCGAGTTGTTTGTAGCCAGTCGGTGACACGGCGAGTCGCCTTGAAAACCAAACATGTTCTCTCGAAACCACGTAAATGTCTCTAAATGTACGTTCGATTGTATCGGTCGGTTACGCTTAGGGTACACTACTGTATGTATATCCGCGATGCGTCGCGTCGCGTCGTTTCAAGGTGATTCGATTCGGTGTTACTCAAAGGTCGTACAAGTACAAGTACAAGTACAAGTTTCGTGATCTGGTTAAGGGAAGCCTTTCATGGCAAACGAGCACTCTGCCCCGAGTGAAAATGGGAGAGCATGGCTACAGTTTCAGAATCATCGATACTTGGTACTATTCTGACGGTAATCGATGCTTTTAACGATAATGACAAGTTTCGTTGTAATAGATGAACTAGGAAAAAAGCATCGAATTTTATTTAATCGACTTAAGTTAATAAGTTAATGCGGCTAACGTAAAGAAACTCGTGTTTACATACATACACACACGTACTTGTTCACCTTTACTGGATCTCTTATTACCAGTTTTTAATAAATATGTATGTGTCGTTCGAGAGTTTTCTTATACACTCTCGATTTCTTCTTCTTCTTCTTCTTGCCTTTATCAACGTATTTCGATTTACCCTCGGTTTTCCTTTGCTTATATTTTTTCTTATCGTCTTAACCAGCAATCGAAAAGCTATGTACTCGTAATGGACAAAATTACGATAGAAAACTGGCACTGGTGAAATGAATTCGGTCTCGCTCGAGGGGAAAGTGACTACTTAGTATGTAGCAAGCGCGTTCGGCAACTCGACTTGCACGATCCGTTCCGTTCCGTTCCGTTCCGTTTCGTTAAGTAGAAAAGGGCAAAAATACATAGTATATTGTTTGATCGTAAGAGGAAGCCGAGGCTAGCGAGTTTCCGTTGAAGCGGAAACACGACAACGAATTAATGCGACCTTGGACAAGCACTATTATGCGTGATCGAGTGTTTCGCGGATAGTATACAAGCCACGTTTTGTATTCGAGACTTTCGCATGGATTATTAATTAATACATGGTCGTTTTCGATTACTACCATCGCCTACAGAGATACATGTTTAGCGTCGATTAATGAAAATTATCGTAAAGATTTGGGGGGAGAGAGAAAGAATATATATATATATATATATATGTTTGAAACAACTATTCCAACAACTACGTGTCGTATTTTCAATTTCAGAATTCGTTTGGGAGACCGGACGACATCGTTGCCGCGGAAACGCTAGCGAATCATGTCCGGTGCAACAATTCGTTTGTGCACGCTGTGTTTCAAGCCCAATTTCGGTCTAGTCTTACTTGTCCGAGATGTCATCGGCAGTCAAACACGTTCGATCCTTTCCTCTGCGTGTCCGTGCCAGTTCCTCAAAGTCATCGACAAATGAACCTGTTTGTAAACGTGTTGTATACGTCGCAGCAACCGCGACAAGTAAAGATCGGTGTGAGCGTAAATCAAGCGGCTAACGTGAGAGAGCTGAGGGAAATTTTGGCCAGCGACACCGGTATCGAGGAAAATCACATGTTGCTCACGGAAATCCACGACGAAGGATTTCACAGGTAAAACTTGCCATGTATTACGTTTTATTGGTAATTTTAGGTAATAGGTAATAGGCAGGCGGTAGCTCGCGCTGATCGTCATCTCGATGATTCCTTACAGAACTTTCTCAGATTGCCAACCTCTGTCTGTGATCACGGAAAATGACCCACTCTACTGTATAGAACTACCGCAACTCAAGGAACCTACGGAACAGGCATACATTCTGTTGGTATGGATCAACGTTCTCGCGAAAGGAGAGTTGAGGCAACGGTTCGGCAGTCCGTATACGATGCAAGTGTCGAGGGAAACGTCCTACGAAGATTTACAAAAGCTACTGCTCAAGGAGATGCATACCGTTTTACTCGACGACGTCCTTACGTCCAGTCAAAGTCCTGGCCTCTTCAACATTCGAGTCGCGGATCCAGCAGCTACGCCTATCCAAGACGAGCATCCTTGCATAGATCCTTGCGTCGAACATCCTCTTTACACGGAGCAAATCGAACAAGCATTGGCTCTCTGCGCGGATGATTCTGGTCCTCAGCACGTTAAATTGATCCTCGAATGGGACGAATCGACCAAATGCAATATCATTCAAGATGACACCGATCAAATCGAAGAACACGCGAGCGTGAAACAATTAAAGAGTAACTCGGAAGTGGGAGGAGCTGTTACGCTCGAGGAATGTTTCGATCTGTATACGAGAGCCGAGATATTAGGGGCCGAAGACGCATGGCACTGTCCGTATTGCAACAAGAAACAACAAGTCGTGAAGAAATTGGGACTTTGGTCGTTACCAGACATTCTGGTTATTCACTTGAAAAGATTTCGACAGCAGTCCAAGCAGAGATCAACCTCCAAATTGACCATGTTGGTCGATTTCCCTTTGTACGGTTTCGACATGACTCCTCATCTAGCTCATAACGGAGTTCAGACGCATAATAACGTCGGCAGTCTAGGAGGCTTGGGCTGGTCGCCTTGGAAGAAACCGAGACCTCGCCAGCAAAATATTCCAAAGTACGACGAGAACGTTTACGATCTTTACGCGATTTGCAATCATCATGGTCAAGATTTGCAAGGCGGTCACTACACCGCCTTTTGTCGAAATCCTTACGACACTCAGTGGTACTGTTTCGACGATACTCGCGTAGAAGCGGTCAACGACACCAATTTGATTACAAACGCCGCGTACATGCTCTTTTACCAACGAAGAGGTTTGACCAACAATTCCGGTTGTTCGTCGGCCGCCTCGACCAGTTCGGCCGGCTCAGGGCTCGATCATTGGGTTTCGAAAATGCCACCGTTTTACTTCAACAACAAGACTAATAGTAACGTTGCCAACAATAACCAAAGTAAATCGCAGGAAGTATTGTGTCAGGAGAAGATTGTGGAAGAGAAGAATATCAACAACTTTAACAGAGGTTGTCGCAATTATGCCACCTTGCAACCTAAAAAGAGAACCGTTGCCACGGAAACAGACATTGGCCAGATCGATCATTATTCCGACGACGAAGCACCTTGTAGAAGAGAATGGGTAATGGCTTAGAACCGTGAATATTACAAAGATAACCTAATCGGTTGTAACGTAGCATATCGCTCTTATGTTTTTCTATTAATCAATCTCTCGTTTTCAGGCTTCACCGAAACCTATTAGAAAAATGTCATCCATCACGTTAACGCCGCACGTACCGCAATCCACCATCATCCATAGCAGCAGTGATCCAGACACGACGATAATTCACGAGTCAACGTTGTAACACACGATTTAAGCCAGATGAAATCTGGCTCAAGCAACGCTCAATATACAGTGCCTGGAATATCATGTGTGGTGTATGCTGTGTGATGTATGGGGTATGTTGTGTCGTAAACTTTCCCAAAACGCTCAATAATCCAAATTAAAAGGCAACTTTTCGCGATGCTTGAATCCGTTAATCCTTTACCGAGACAAGTCGATATACAGTCATTTCAATTTCAATTTCAATTTCAATTTCAATTTCAACGCGAATCTATGCTTTCTATTAATAGTTGGATTGCGAAACAGCGAAAGGATATCGATACGTGCCTACTACATATACTATTTTTCCATTTTCTTTTTCTTTCTCTTTTTCTTTTTTTATCGATACCTTTTTCTAAGAAAAATCAATCGCGATATTCGACGAATGATTTTTCTCGATGAAAGAGAAACTCGTGGCATTAGTGATTTCTGTCTTTTTCTTCTTCTTCTTCTTCTTCTTCTTCTTCTTCTTCTTCTTCTTATTATTATTATTATTTATCCTTTTCTTTTCTTTTCTAATTTATAACGTGTTTGTATACAGACATTGCGTGAATCGTATTGTATATTGTAGTTGTTGGTAGACTTTTTAAGAAAAGGACAAATATTATATTCGATACGAAAAAATACGAATCTATCGTTACGAATCGTCTATTGTTAATACGTACATCTTCAACGCAATAGGTAATTAGTTCTACATATGTTTAGGAAGAATGTATTTTTATTTCACGAGTCAGTGTACTAACTAATGGTACGAAAGAATGGTGAACCAATGGTTTCGGTCGTATCGCGTCAAACAAAGAATTAAAGAAACCGAAGCGAGGAATACCGGCCTCCTTCTTCCTTGTCGGTTAATACTTTGTTAAGTGGAAATCATGAAAATAAAAAGTAATATTTTACTTGATCAAGACGACAGTTTCGTAACAGTATGTACAAAATAGAATCAATTTCTGTTCTTACTTTTTGCGAAAGTAACTTGTACGACGGTCGTTAGAAAATTATTCTGCAATAATCGGCTACTAAACATTCGTATTTGAGACAGGTGTCGTACCGCGACGCCAACTTTTGCGATCCTCGTTGATTTCCAGTACTGGAAACTTACTCGGCTTTGGATAGATATCCAAATTATTTATTTATTTATTTATTCATTTACTTACCGGAAAAAAATAAAAACAAGAAAGTACGATATCAAAATTTTTCTCTAACACGAATACAAACTTATTTGACTAATCATTTCGAATAAATTACAACGGAGATTGTTGAACAGCAGTATACTCCAGAACCAGCTTCGGAAGTTCTTAATTATTACAAATTTACTATACGCGTGCTACGATTCGTGCATTACTAGTATGTGCATGTGCCTCTGTCGTTCCCACCACTTTATTATGTGGCACTGTAAGTTGGTCGTAATTCAGAGCCACTCGAAGCCGACCTGTGAAAACATCTCCGTACACGACGAATACATTCGACCGTCCTTGTTTTACCATACATGTGTGCGTGCGTATGTATGTTTATCGTACAATTTTTCTGTTCAATTTGCTTTGTTTACCATCGTTTGATAAATATAAAAGACCCGATAGCGTAGCAATTTATTTAAAAGTACGGTCTGCTGAATACATTGGCTGATATTCATCGTGTGGTTTCGTTTGTTCATCTTCATTCGGAGCATATGGAAATATGACAATAACTCGAGTCCTGCGCGTGCCAGAATTTACGTATTATGCTTAGCTTTGTTTAGAAAAAATAATTCTTCTCTAGACATATTATGTAGTCGCTAACCGTTGCTTTCAATCTATGTCTAATATTTATATTGTATTTGTATCATCCACTAGTGGCCTTATCTGAATAATTAATATACATATGTATAGCTGTCATGTGCAGTTGTACAAGCATACTTGATTAACTTGGAGAGCGTTTTATCAGTGTACATCGACGTTACATCGCGAAAGTCACCGAGTTAGAAAACGTGTATTGCCGACACTTATTTTGATTCTGACAAATCGTTGACCAAGAAAATGTATACACTGGCACCGTTGACTTTGATTCTTCCTGATTTGTGATTGGTACAATTGAATTTGTGACACAGAAAAAAGTATGTCTGTCCTGGTCAGGGTTGGCTCTCGTACGTAGTCGATATACAAACATACAAGTGTATGTATACCCTTTTACCGATTTTTCTTCTTTTTTTTTTTTTATAAAATACTCTAATATCCCAGTTCGACAGCAACGATCATTCCATTTAGACAAGATTAGTAGAAAACGATGGGAAGCAAGCGCATGAAAGTGAAAGAGGAAGCGAAAGAGAGATTCCACGCATGTATACGCGCGTGTGCACGTATTATTATTATCATTATTATTATTATTATTATTATTATTATTAGCTAATGAAAGATATTTAAATTATTTTTAAGTAACATTTATTACTAGTCACACGTATCGTGGACCGGTGTAGCGTGAATAAATTGATGCCTGAGATGATGTAATTGTAAATACGATAAAGTTAACGTCGAGCTAAGCCTCGATTCTATGAAACGAGACACGTTCTATGGAGGCCAAACAGCGTACCGAAGTATGCTCGTTATAATAGTATTTCTACGTAAGATAATCGCTGCAACCAGTATTCGGGTAAAATTAAATGCCACGTTGGCTTCGAAAAAGCAATATCTACATGTAATAATTTGAATATTTTTATACTCGGAACTCCGAGAAGATTGCTCTTTTCGAAATTTAGCACGTCAAAGTTCGAACGACACATTAACGATCGAACAAAAAATCAATTGTCGTCATTTATCAAGAAACCGAATACATCTAAACAATTTAAACGACCATTGAGTTCGATACAAAGGCATAAGATCTACTCGGAACCGCCGCGCCGCGTGCCATCGTAAAACAAAAGTAAAATATTTTCGTGACACTTAACCTTACTTGGTTGTATTAATTTGTTTCATTTATAGGACAAAGTCACCTGCGCTTTGTTACATTCTGTCTTAAACATGGAACAAATTAATGTAACCGTGTGTACCTACATTGAGATGGGTGCGTGAAATGTGTGTGATTGATAAAAAGGAAATAAAGAGAGAATGATTGCCGCTGCCCGTTGTTGTTGTTGTTATTATTATTATTATTATTATTATTATTATTATTAAAACGAGTTTAAACGGTTATTGCGGCGATTATCGACTGAGGGATACACTAGAGATTATTCGTATCATCGCTGCTACTTTTGTTGGAATAAATAGATAATGTATATAAAGGTAAAATGTCATTCCACTTTATACACACAAAGTTGAATCCAGTCGCGTTTAAAAGTAGAAAATAATTACCATACTTTTTATCATATTTATCAAATGTTGAAACGACTCGACGGATATAAAATATTGCTCCAGACGATTGCTAGCATAAGTTAGCGTCTCTTAGCGGCGAACAAAAATAGTTGAAAGAAGAAGATATAACAAGTTTAATCCATCTTATTTGAATCACCAATTCTGTTTATCATGGCGTGTTCATGTAGGAGGCGATACCAATTGTGAATTCGAACGAAACATTGTACATATTATATAATATTATTCCTACAGGTTAATGTAAAAAGTTTATAAATAATTAATGATAAAGAGAACGTAATATACAGAGATTTGTCAATAAAAAGTAATATTCATACATGAAATATTTGGATGTTGGTAATTTAAAAATACCGATTTTCTAATTAATTTCTGATGATGTTGCACTCCTCGTACAAGCGATCCGATTAGGAACAACGAAAGCAGAGAATATTTAACGTTGAAATTATTTTTCGAAAAACAGATTCGAGTTAACGCTCGAATGTTAATTCGGATTAAAAGAAATATGTTATAGAGGTAAATTTGTTGATCGAATCGAGTGTACCGTATCCGTATGTTGAAGTTAGATTACATGTTATCTACAGGGCTGTCACATGAATTTTACATTGGCGAGGTGTGGATGTTGGGTGTTACGTGTTAGGGCTCGAGCCTGGGGGTCCAAGCTCACGTATTAAAAGTTGATAGAAAGTTTGTAGCGGCTCGTGGGAAAAATTCAGCCAACTAAAAAATGTGGAACGCATGCGCGTGTATGCACATATACATTAGCGGGTTTTTAAAACGACGAAAATTCTTTAAAACGCGTCTGTACTTTCTATTAAATAATTTAAAGCAATTTAAAAAAGCCGCTATTGTGTATATATATATATATATATATATATATATATATATGCATATACACGCATGCGGTCCATATTTTAGACAAGTGAATTTTTGCCATGTGGCGCAACAAACTGTACCAACTTTGAATACGTGAGCTTGCGGCAGCTTTTCCCCCGAGCGATGAAAATGAAATCGCGCGGTTGTACACTGGAATGAACTGGGAATACTGGGATTGGTCGTAGCGACATGCAGCGCCACTCTACTTGGCGGCGGGTTTCAGTTGAGCTCGGGCCTTCATCGGGCGTGGAGTATGTGTTGTTACGTTGTGTGTTAGCGTTTAAATTGCTCACAGAAAATCAAGGTAAGGGAACCTTTTTGACAAGCGTATATCGATGAATAGAGTCGCGTGACGAATCCCTTTGTTCGTTCGGTAATCGTAACGTTGTGCGAATAGAATGGAAAAATTGTGTTGGCCGAGATAGCGGAAAAGGAGAAATACGTTGTGCGTGATCGGGTTTCAGTGATTTGTTTGCTCTAGTTCCTCGGAATACACGTACGCAAGTACGCACGTACGCACGTACCTAAAGGTACGTAAATACATAGATACAAGTTGTAGCTGAAATAATAATCGTGATTGCGTTCCAACGAAAGCACCAACACAAGAGACAGCACCTCTCGTACGAGATAAGAGGAACGGAGACGAAAGATGGTGGCGCTCGAAATCGTCTTCTTGGTGTGTCCTCTCGGGATCGATACACACAGTGCACACTTGGCGCGTCATTCGTTCGTTGGTTTGTTTGTCGCCGCGTAAGGTTACGTTACGGTATGTACAGGATATCCATGCGGGTGTGCATGCCCGTATGCGTGCATGTCCTGTAAGGGCGAGAGTGAATTTTCGTCGTAACCACGGCGAAAAATTGTAAGAAATCGAAAGAAAAGTACTATGCTACGTTACGCGGTGTGACGCGAGTCACACGGAACGCGAGTAATCGTAATGCGGGTACCTCGTGAAATGAAAGGCCACCCGCTCACGAAGCGAGCGCACCGCGTCGCTGGCTCGGCGACCGATACTCAAAGGAAATAGGAAACGCGTGAAAATGACAGTAAGTACGGCCAAGTTGTTCAAAGGAACGGGAATTCCGATATCGTTAATGTTTCGCGTCCCGTCAATTACGAATTACGAGAACGGGGTTTGTGCGTTCGATGGAAACAGCACGCGAATCTCGTTAAAATAAACGCGATAAGAAACATTTCTTTGACGATCGATTCTACAAGGAAACTGCTTTGCCGATGTGACTACGAAACAACATTTGTCCATCATAGTAATCACAGATAGTTACAACTTGTTACGTTTCATTCTTATCTTCCGAATAAAAACACCATTAACAAAACAATGTGTATGTCATTCGAATAAAAAATGTTTACTTTGGCATTGGTGAGAAATACTGTTTCTCGAGTAGCGACTCGTTGAAACTCTTGAAAGGACATGTCTCGTTTAATAATTTATTACGCTAAGTAAAATACACGGTGTACGCTTGTTATTATACAATACATATATGTATAGTGTAATATAATATCACATCAAGTTCACGGTCGTTTTAATACCTCGATTCGAAAAAGAATTGCAGAATTGTGCGGGAAAAAAATGTATTAGAGTACAAACAACACGTGGTTTGTAGGTCAAATTTACTAACGATACGTCAACGAGATACCTACGAAGAAATGTTGAATGTTGCAAATACCAAGTGTAAGGTGTGAACGATAGTTTAGGTTTAGGGTAAGGTTAGATGTGAAATTAATAATTCGTTAAAATGAGAATTGTGCAGTAAATTGTTCCTATTTGCGCTCGCATTAGATAGAAGTGCACTCACCAAAGAATCGAAACGGAAATTGTCTGAACGGATGACGGTTAGTTAGCAGTGATCGGAATCGGTGATGCGTTGCGTTGCGTTGCGTTGCGTTGCGTTTCGTTGCTATATTCATATTCTTCGATTCGTACGTGAATGTGTCAATAGGCAGTCGAAAGCGGTCGATCTTTCGAAGAAATGATACATGTTAGGATAAGATGGCAGTAATGCGTCATTGATGTGTAATTCGCAACTCGTAACTCGTAATTAATAGGTAACGTAAGTAGGCGGTCGATGCAAACAGTCAAAGTGACGCACCGCGTTAACCAAACCTTCCGTTGCTATTAAATTTCGTTTACTCGAACAAGCATGAGAAATTTATTTGTTGGTCGTTTATTCGTTACTTAATCTACATAATTACGTTTGTTATTTCTAATTGGATGTTTTCGAGCAAAATTTGTTCGAATGTTAGTTTTCGAGATAATGGATTGGTGAATATTTTTTAGGAGGAAAAATAATAGGAAGAAGGTGAGTACTCGATCGATTGGATTACGAGCTAATTTCCAGCGACAAGCTATCGTCGAGCTCTTGGAAGATTTTCCGAAACTGTTGAACCAATCGATGCAGGGATATCGCCGCATATTTGGCGAACCTCTTTCATAGAGTACGATTAACAATTGTACGACGTACACAATCCGAAGTAAATACGATAGAGAATGTTGGTAATGGGTTAAAGATGAAACGAGAAAGGGAACGATATAGCGAAAGGGAAAGAGGAATAGGAAGGAACGACTTCCGCCGATCGATTTCTGCGCTCGCAGTTAACTCCCTCGAGTTCGGGCTTGGGCTTCGGCTTTGGGTTTCGGATCTGGTTCGAGCGCGAAAGAAACTCCTTTATGCCACGCCTTAACGATCAAAATCATTTTTTCGCCTCGTTTTTTGAATCAGCGGTTAATCGAATCGCTATGTAATCGAATTAGGTAGGTAGTAGGAATAATAAAAGAAAAGAAAAGAAAAGAAAAGAAATGCTAGCTACTTTTTTTTACTAAAACCCTTTTACTCTTTCACGTGTACTTTACATTGAATTTTAAGATAAATATTCTCCGATATCTTGCAAGATTTCCATGTTGTCGTCGAGTGTAACCTTTCTTTTCTTCTGGAGCGGCTTCAACTTTTGCCAGTCTATTCGAAAAGCGTCTCTTTTAATAGCCAACGGTTAAAGATAACAAGTGATTGTCGTCGACGGATGTTAAGTCGGTAATTTTTCGCGCGTAAAAGTTTTCCGGAAAATTTTGCGTAATCCAACGGATGAGTACATTGCGACTTTTTGAGAAAAATAAAAGAGGTGAAAGAAAGTCGATTCGCAAACGTTTTCTCATTGTCTCTGAGCACGAGCAAGTTTTCCGTTGCGATTTCTGGAAGATAAAAATTGACATTTTGTCGCGTTTTTCCAATTTCCATTTTCTTTCTCGTTCCCGTTCCCGTTCCCGTTTTCTATGCTGCGCTCATTTTCTGCGACCTCGTGCAACGATCGACGCGTATGACCTTGCGTGCACGTGATTGTCACTCGGATTATACAGTTCTCGACGGTGAATTCTCTCTCATCCATTGAAATAATTATTTCAACACTTGTAGCAGAATAAAAGGAATGCGAAAGAAAAGAAAATAGAACGAAAAGAAGAAACGCGTATAAAAGATGAACCGCGCGACCTTGTCGGTGCGTTGAAACGCAGCGGTCAGAGGGTAATGATCTAATGATTGGTTAAAAAGGATCTCGAGGTACTTGCGTAAGTTAAAGTTAAAGTTAGTGTTCCGATGGCCTGGGTTAAGTTGTTGGGTTGCGTCGGGTTGTCGGGTATCGTTTTTCGGCATTCGATTCGTAACCGAACCGAACCGAACCTTGTGTGCAAACGTCGATATTTCAATCTATCGAGAACTCTGCCTTATCGTTACTTGTACTTACAGTTTCCATTTTCTGGATTTTTCTTAAACGCCTGACGATTGCCTTACAGTCTACACTGTCTACAGCATAGAAAGATGTAAAGATAAACGGAAGAATATATTTTGTAGGTCGAAACCGGTTCCTAGAATATCCAGATATAAAATTTGTTTAGCGTAGTTGAAGCGGCTGAAAAGAAATGCGAGCAACGAGTAGATTTAAAGTGGCGGCTAACGGTTAAACAAGTGGTAAAGTGGCATGGTGCGACAGAAACAAGATTTGAACTCGGTGTCTGGTTGTTGTTACAGGACTCGTAGCATGTCTTGACGAGCAGGAGGGGGTTTTCAACGGGGTTTTCGGCAGACAAGGGTTCTCGAAAATGGTGGGCGGTGAGCAGCTTCCCGAACAGTACACGGTACCACCGCTCGCTAGAGTCTTCCACAGCCTGCCGCACCTCAACGTTTCGCTTCACTCGGTCAACAACACCTTCAATCCACATTCCGAAATTTATCTAGAGGTAGGTAGATGTCTACCTATGCTGTCTAACTTGATACTAGGTTCTTATGCAAGTTTGACGCGTTAAAAAAGTGAGGAAAATTCGTGAGCTATGTACGTAACGCGATTCGAACGAACCTAACGGAACCAAGTATAACAGTTGGCACCAAGCGGCGAGTTATTCGTTAGCGTGAGACCCCTGCGTATTCTGGGTACCTTGTCCCAGCGAGATGACGCGCGGCTCGGCTCGGCTCAGCTCGGCTCGGCTCGGCTCGGCTCGGCTCGGCTCGGCTCGGCTCGGCTCGGCTCGGCTTGGCTTGGCTTGGCTTGGCTTGGCTGTCCAAACACCGAAAGGCAGCAAAGCTTTTGCATCGAGATGAGGATCATACTTAGCATCGTACCGTTCTTCTAAGCCAAGTGGCAGAGTGGTAGAAACACAGGGACAGAGAGCGAAGCGAACGGTACGCAAACAGGAGAGACAGGCCTGAAGAGAAAGACAGAGAAACGAGAAAGAAAAGGATACGAAGAAACGCAGCTGGATGCCGCGAGTGCACACGAGCTGTCCAAGCTGTGTGCAACTGGAAAGCACAATGGCCGGGAAAGCTCAAACAATGCACAAAGGGTTTCGTATAATGTGCCTGGGGCAACGTGCGGGCTTTAACGGGCTCTCTCGGTACGTTGGACCGCTAACTACCGACTGCCGACCAACTCGAAACTCGAATCTCGAGACATTTCCAACAAGAAACTCTTTCGATCGTTAAATTGTTCAATACGTAAAATATTTACATGTAGAATTCGCGTTAGACTCGGAGACGGGAAATTTGTATTTGAGGGAAAGTTTATCAATGTGTTGCGTAGATAATGAACGCAATGTACAGAGATACTCGTGTGCGTTCGGATCGATTTACATAGCATGTTTGACGGGGTGGGACGCGATCCGTGGGTGGTTGACCCCGCAAGATACGTGAGCCTTTTCGATATCGCTACGGAAAAAGCTAGTCGAGTAGCTAGATATTTGGCAAGGTGTTTGCGTTACTGGAATCCGTTCCAGCATTGTTATCTTATAACACAAGTCGTAAGATACTGTATAGTATCGTAGATGCGCGGATAAGAGGTTAACGATTACCGATAACACAGGATGATAATTAACGTTCAACATTTGTATCGAATTAATAGAGCCTCGGGATACTTGGAAGTATTCCCGCAGCCTGGTTGATCCTGACGTTGCTGGTGTTGTTGGTATACCTGGTAACGAGATGCTGCGACCGGAAGCCGCGCCCCAGAAGGTCGATAACCCTGCTAAAGTGTTCGCTGGCCATCCTGGCGTTGCTTTGCAGCGGTGCTGTTGCCGTCGGGCTGTACGGTAACGACGACGTACACAACGGTTTAGTGCAATTGGTGGCCGCTGCGAAGAATCTCGATGGAATTGTTACGGGTGTGCGTAATCAGGTTGGTAGACGATCAGAAACTCGCTCTTGATTCGTTCGATCTCGATCAGAATAGTTTGAATAATGTGAAAATCCTGGACGCGAAACGTTCTCTTCAAGACCGACACGATAGAAACGACCTTGAAGAAGAAGGTACAGCCGCAATTGATCGCGATGGGAGACGACTTCGACGCTCCTGTTGGCAACAAGACCGCGTTGGGTTTGCTGTTGGACGCTCTAAACACTACCACCCAGAACACCGGGATCGCCGTCAACCTAAGCTTCGAAATTCGAAAGCCGTTGACCGGAATCAGCCTCGCCGGAGCTATCCAACTCTCGGAGAAGATAGAGCACGTAAGATGGCCCGTCACCATGGCTGTCCTGAGCGGGCTTCTCGTACTTTGCGTGGTGTTGGTCGTCGGAGTGGCCAGACACTCGAGATGCGTTCTCATAACGTACGTCTTTTTTCTACACCTACTACTACCACCGCACCATTTTATCTATTTCTTCTATTACATTATAAATGTATCATTTCAGATTCTCCGTGTTTGGTTTGTTCGCGGTAATAGTCTCCTGGCTGATGGCTTCGCTGTACCTTGCTACCTCGGTGGCCTTGGGTGATTTGTGCGTGTCGCCGGACGGTTACCTAGTCAGGGCAGTACCCTCGACGCTACCCTCGGAGATTCTCTCGTACTACACGCATTGCGAAAACACGCGCAACAATCCCTTCACCCAGAAACTGCGCGACGGACAGCAAACGGTCGCCGAAATCAAGCAAAACTTGCATATCGTGACAAAGTTGGCGATAGACTTGTTCAAGGACCAACAGCTCCAACCTAAGCTGACCAGTCTTTCCACCGACGTAAACACCGTCGATAGACTCATGTCCGGATTGACTACGTTGCTCGATTGCAAACCTTTCCACAAGCAGTACGTTCACGCAGCCAAGAGTCTCTGTCACCTAGGCCTGTAAGTGAACTGCAAAACTACGATTTTCGAACGATTACAAACCAGATTGATCTAGCTGAAAATATTACGTGTCAACGATATTACGATATACCTGTACATGTATATAATGAAATTGTCAGGTATGGATTAACCTTCATGCTACTGGCTAGTCTGGCTGCTGGTCTCTTCTTCACCGTGCTAGTTTGGGTAGACTCCCACACCTGGATCTATATACGAAAACGGTGAGTATAGGAACGAAACGGAAATGGAAACGGAAACGTGCATCGACCAGCTGCCCGACGCGTATCGTACGATTAACGACGACTTTGTTCTAGAAGAGATTACCATCAAGTCGACGAGCAGGATCCGTATCTACCACCATCGGCAGCCTCCCAGGCGATAGCAGCGCGGACCCTTCGAGGCCAAGGGTCGTACCCGCCTACAGCCCCTTCTCTTTATCCGAATGCTCATGGCACTCAAAATACCATTAAGCAGCCTCTCTTGCTAACGCCGCCCCCGCCGTCCTACGCTACTGCGACTGCTCGAGCACGTCAGCTGCACGAGAGCATGTTAAAGTTTGTGCATGACATTTTCTTCGGTTTCATTTCTTAGCTACGTTTAATCTTTATCGCGCGAGAACGCGGAACCTAAACTCGAACGATCCTTTTCAGATTATTCTTATCGTTTGAATAATCTTCATCTTAATCTTCTTCTTCTTCTTCTTCTTCTTCTTCTTCTTCGTCTCAATCTTACTCTTCAATCTTGCTCAATCTTACTCTTTGTACAAGATACGAGTGTATCTCGTCGAGTTTCGATACTACACTCGTTACGATACCTTTTCACCTTTCTACCATTTTGCCTGTGCTACTTGAAACTATATGCTAGTCAAGATTTCTTAATCTTTCAAGAAATCCTATTAAACTTGTTTCTCGAGATGTCTCGATAAAAGAAAAGCTTATATATCGTACATAGATTTTTTTTTTTATTTTTTTTTTTCAAACGTAACATTTAGCGCGATAAAGATTAAATTTTAATCAGCTGTGCGAGTTGCGAGACATACTCGAATTAACCTCGCGAAATCTTTGAAAAGGGATTAAATAATTGTTCCTGTTTCTTCGTATACGATCGCGTATTTCCCAACAACTTGTCAACACTGAAATACCAAAGAATACACGCATACGCATACGCATACACAACACGGTTATCTTTGCATACAATTTTTCGTTTATTATTCGCTTAATAACATTCTTCAAACTGTACTTTTTATTCGACGTTGTGAAATGGCCTGATTGTCTATTTTTATCGATTCAGTTAACCGATGTGACTTGTCGATGCCAATAGACACTGCATTTCGATCTGAACGCTGCTTTAATTGTCAACGACGCTCCGGTGGTAACGACACAAATTATATCGCGATAAAAGAACTGTCGATTGCCGAATAGATTACGATACGCGTGTAATAATCGATCGATAATTGTACAATGTGTTTCCATGTTTTTACGCCATCGTCCAGTTGTTTCAAACTGTTACTACACATTTAAAAAGATACTTTTCGCCGTTTAAATACTGTTTCTGGTCAATGTTTGATATGAAGAGTTGGTATTTCTATGGAAACGTTAGCGATATAGTGCGCTTATGTGCGTCTTTTCATTTTTTTCATAGCGTTTGTACCTTTTTCGCCATTAGATTGTTTCATAAAAACGAATGGTTTAGAATCCCCTCGATAGGAATCTACGTACGCACACATTATATACATATCAATCAAACGATCGTCCTGGAGAAAGATAATACTGCAACTTTGTTCGTTTCGATTTGTTAATTACAGAGGTGGGGGTGTTAACGGGAGTGGAGGAGGCGGGGATCACAAATCGTCTCAGCATAATCAGCAATCGGCAGGTGGGCGAGCTGAACACCGTTCTGGACTCGGAGATCAACCTGGCCAGTACGCGACTTTGAGCAAACAGTGCAAAACTCTCGAGTCGAGTGATTTTTACTGAGGGCACGCCCCCGCAGGGCCCGGTAAGTTAGATATTTCTCTTTCTCTCTCTTGTATCGATATCTGACTGTATGGATAACGATAATTTTATCGATGATGATTACGTTGAAATCGCAGGTAGGGAGCCACCTTGGACACCAAGCGTGGCGTCTTTCACCGGTACCCTGTCTCACAATTCCCACGGACCTGCTCATTTGGCCACTTTTCAAGATTCGCGAAAGACCCAGACACTGGATCCGAAGAATCTAGCAAACCTAAAGAGAGGTCCGACCCCGGCTTGGAATCAAAATCGTCCACTACCACCGAATCCTGCTAGTCAGCCGACCTGGGAGTTTGAATCTCGCTCCCAAACAAACATGAATCAGTTTCGGTCGTTGGTGCGTAACAAAGCGCCAAACATTCGTATCCAAGATCAAATGCAAGACCAAGTGCGAACATTGGATAGGAATTTCACGAGGAATCAGTTCAATGGGACTGCACAGATGAACGCTGTGCCGAACATGTACGGCACGTATAATCGAGCACAGTCCAGGCAGGACAATAAGACAACGGTGGCAACGTTGAGCCAAGTGCAAGGTAGCGATCCCAATTTGTACGCCGTGACCGAACTCTAATCGAAACCGCGAAATCGAGTCGTGTAAACTGCACACTGCCATCTTACCAACAAACTCGATGATGTTTCTATGGTTAACCATTTACGATCGTAGCACGCCTCGTACGGGGACGGAATGAGTTTCGAAATGAGTCTTTACAATTTTTCATTTGGAAGTCTACTAAAATGCAACGTGAGACCAAAAACGCCACCTTTAATGGTTAAACGATGGAAATATCATTGATCGCGTAAGTCGCGGACGCGCGCGCAAATATCAATACTGCCCAAGTACTTTTTCCTAAACGTCTTCTACACTTTTTTAACGATTCACGTAATTACGTAATTATGTGCGCATTATGTATCAATGCACGTGCGTGTTTTTCTTTTTTCATACGATACACACCCAAAATGGCTCAATTATCGTTTGATAAAGGTGTTTTAATAAGAACTTTGAGCACGAGATGAAATTTGTATACGTTTAAACGTACGATTTCAAACATCATGCTTTTCATATGCGTAATCCGGGAAATGGAAAAGGTAATTTACACCTAGGTTTCCTACGATAAGTACACGATTAACGTTGCTATATCGAAAGTTTCTCGTTGATTTATCCAACAATGAGGAAACCGATAAATTACAAGTGTCGTCGCGTTAATCTTTCGAGAATCGAACGAATACGATACGTAATAGATAGGTATCCAAGGTATCCAAGAAGCCTTGATATCGATTAGATATTAAAGGTAGACGAGTAATGCGAGTAAAAAGAATCGAAACTGGCCGAAATGTACTTGAAATCGAAGAGTTTCCAAGAAGAACGATGTCACGTTGTAAAAATTCGCGTTCAAGATCGAAATTGGGGGATAATCGATTCCCATCGATAACCAAATATTAATGATAGATTAATGATATCGTATGGAAATTTTCGATCGAAATTTTTGTGACCTTTCACGGAAAATCGCCAAAAATACGAACGCTACTTTAGCGACGAAAGGTCTTGTATATCCAAGATTTTCTATTTGTATATTGTGTACAGTGATAATCATTTTACGTTAGCTTATATTCTGTAAATGATCGTTGCTTCTCGACTAAGAGGCATACGGCATACGAGACGTATCACAGCCACACGAAACTCTGGACGATTAGTGGATAGTCGTCGTCGTCGTCGTCGTCGTCGTCGTTGTATTTATTGCTTATTAGTTGGTAATTTTCAAAGACTACGAAGACGAAAAAGCACAAAAACCGTACGCGTAACAAAATAGCGGATAGATTGCCTACAAAAGAAAAAAAAAATATATATGAAAAGACATTTAATCCTGTGCGAATCATTCGCGTTCAACGTCGAACGTTAGTCAACGTTGGTTTATTTTTTCGTTCTTAACTGTTCAAGCTTCATCCGACTGTTCGAATAGGTGATATCGTTATTTCTTATGGCCTACAACTTGCTCTTTCATAATATTTGTAAACTTGTTGTTAAGATTTATACTCGATCGTACGAGTTTCATTCCAATCTACATTTCGTTTCTTTTCTAATTACTTTGACGTTAACCTATAATATCGTTACATATATCGATCGAGAGTTTATAGAGAATGAGACATTTTTAATCGACGTTTACACAAACACATCGAGAACACACGTTAAACGCGACCGATATACACACTTTTTATATACTTTATACATTTTTTATCGAGTAACAACGTTCGGGTAGAATATCTTTGACGTATAGAATTGATTTTTCCGTGCTATGCGTTCGGGTGTACTATCTACCACTGTACACACTTTACGCGTCTCTGCGAACAAATCTACGTATAAGAAGTTACCGCACGAAACACGGAACGAGTGATATATAGATGTATAATTATCCGCGTTAATATTTAAAGTCTGTAACGATGTTGCGTCGCGTCTCGTCGCGTCGCGTCGGCTGTTTGAGTATTTCTACAAAAGTTGTCTATCGAAATGATTGAGAAACAACGATAATATCGATCGCTGACTTGAAAGAAATAGAGAAAAAGGAGAAGAAACAAATTCTGGAAACAGGAGAACTTTGCCGATACTCGGCCAAACATACGTTTCAAGTACAAATACGGTGAAGACGTATGCATCACGTATGCGATGGTGTTTCGCTGTTTATACGACGAAAAAAAGTTGTACGACCGTCTAATTTATCGTTATCGAATGTACGAACGCTTGTGCGTGTGTGTGCGTGTGTATATGGGTGCGCGCGAAAAAGAAAATGGTGTTGCTTCTTGGACAGAAGAGTCAGGATTTTCGAAAAGAAAAATAATAATCACGTTTACATTTCACGATATTTATTTAAAAGTTTGTAAAGAGGATGGTTCGTCATCACCATCCTTTTCTGTTTCGCAACGAGCATGAGAACGGTTTCAGTAGACAAAGCATGATTAGATGTAAACGTTTCATTCGCTGTACATAATTGTAATATTTATTAAAAATTGAGTGATCGTAGCGCATCTAGTAGAATAACAACGCATTTGGTACTAGCCGTTAGTTGATCGATCTAATCGCAACATCAAGCTCGACGAATGGAATCGTATAAAAGGAGACAACCTTGAATGTTATCGTCTCCTTGAATTTATGAAAGAAAAAAACATTCCTAGTCATTGAAAACAAAGGTTTTACTTTTTGTACATGTTCAACCTTGTCCAGACGTAAACGAGGGACCCCTTGCCAAATCTTTTCCAAAGTGGCTCGATTGTTTCAACCGTATAGGGAAATTCTGTTTACGCTATATCGTTTCATCTATTCTCTTTTCCTTGTCTGCGATAGCGTAGAGTCCAACGAAAGATTTAGAGATGAGATGAGAAGCGAAGCTCGCGCGATTCCTCGTAGTAAAAGACATGGTGGAAGAGAACTGAGCGAGGGATACGAGTCGATTCGTTTTCTAATAGAATGTGCATTGTAACTTGTAACGGGATCAGATTGCGAGGAAGGTGAATCAGCCGGGAGCTTGGCTCGAATTTATCTGATTTACAATGTTGTCTTTATCTATTATGTCTACGTGTACGCGTTGTATCGTTAGGTCGACCAGCTATACAACCTGTCCGTATCACTTACAGAAATCAACTAGTCTATCAACCAGTGACACGAACATTTTCTATAATTAATCCCGACCGATTAAACACCGAAAACACTGTTCGACCTAATACCTTCTCATCTGTCCCACTTAAACATACACAATCGATGGAGTGGCCTACAATCTACAAAATGGTATAGCGATCTTAATCGGCCAGCATTTTCTCCTCGAACGGAAATATTTCTAATGGGAACACGTAGATCGGGCTAAAGAATTTTTAGTATCTCGATAGCAGCTTCGAACGAAGCATTATAGACTTTTTAAATGAAATTGCTGATGCGTGACGTGCGCCGCGAAAAGCGAAAAGCGAAAAGCGAAACGTGACGGATCGATACGGTCAAACTACACGTATGCATTTACTTATCGTTAGCCTTTAGATAGGCCGATAAAACACGTTTGGAAAACAAGTACGAATAAACGAATAAACACTGTAAACACAGTTTACAGTGCGAGAGACGGTCAAAGAGTCGAAATTGTTGAGCTTTCGTCGTAATCGCCGAAATCCAAGACTATATTATAAAACGCCAAACGGGATCAATACGATATTCGACGGATCTGTGAAAGAGCCTACGAGAAAATAAAGAAAATAAACGAATTAGTACGAAGAAACTTGAACAGTTTCGAAACACGCTAGTCGAAAAACAACACCACCTTTTGCGAAAAGCTTAAATTCTAATGTACGAATCGCCGCGTAGTCTCGAAACTTGCAATTTCAAAGTGAAACTAAAACTGGAACCCGAATCCGAAAAGAAATCAAACACGCGAATAGATAGGCATCTAATTCGCAAAGAAAACTCGAGAGGGAAAGATATAGTTAGATTCTATATAAATATACATACGCGAGTGCATAGTCTAGTCTAAACGATCGTTAACGGAACTTTTATTCCAATCGTTTGTCAGTTTGTAAGTTTGTATGTACTGTTATTATCGAATAGGAGTGTGTGCGAAATGGAGTTGAAAATCACTTTTTCCCGATGAGTACAACCGCATTTAATTTTCGCATCATTTTGATACACCAATCGTCAAACGAAACACGTGTGCGTGTGCGTGTGCGTGTGTCTATGTGTACGTATACAAACGAGAACAAGAGAGAATGAATTATTATCAAATACGCCGATAGCGAAAGTACACGGTACAATTATATGGACGTGAAAAACCTTGTTAAATTAGCGATATGTTTCGTGTCGTGTCGTGTCGTGTCATCTTGGCCTATGGAATTTGTTCATCGATGACCTAACTTATTTGAAAAATAGATGCCTCGAAAAAGAATTTCTTGGTATGATTGTTTTTGACGCGTATCGGTTTTGTTTTGTTCCTTCATTGGACAAAAATTCTCTACTAACGCAATCGCGGAGAAAACTAATATGCGATTATGCGTTTATTGCGTCGTGCGTGCGTGCGTGCGTGCGTGCGTCAGTCAGTCTCTTTTCTCTCGGTGCGCGAAAGAGACTAGTTAGAAAGTGTGTAGAGGCTATCAAGACTTGTATAACTTTAAGATTTCTATAATGTTTTTGTACGCGCGAAAAAAGCAATTGAAAATTGAAGCGTGTATTGTAAAGAGGATGCTTTGAGAAGCATATACAAAAGCATATATAAAAGAGAAGAAAAGGAAATTCGTCAATCTATACCGTTTTTCCGAATAACGATTGCATCTAATTGCCATATTCCAAAGTTAATTCCTCCTAATGTAACGCTAACGCGATGATTACGAAAAAAGAAATAAAAGTGTAATATCTAGAATCGTGTACGTTGAAACAACCACGATCCTGCTTAAAGAAATACACCGAGTAAAATCGTACGGTATACCGATTGTAATACTTTATTACAACAATTTGGTACATAAATATACATACAGTTCAATTTCTTTTCGTTTAATGTATCTGTCAACAATTTACCGAGTTGTAGCGTAATGCAAATATTTTGTTCAAGTTTTTCCTATAATCCGACGAATCCTGGCCTTTGTTGGCAAAATTACACATTATTACAGAGCAACGGTTCGCGTTGCGTTCCAATCTTGATCTAAAAAGAAGAATTACACGGCATTCGTATGATCGCGTTGGTTAATGTTTTCCGCATTTCGATTATTAGAAGCACGAACGAACTTTTCGTCGAATCGACGATCCACGTGTCCAGCACTACTCCTGCGAGTGTCTCTTTGGTGAGTCGGCGCTTTAATGTCGGAACGTTTCCGTTTCCGTTCCCGTCCCCGTTCTTCTTTAGATACGTTTAGTTGGATCGTTGGTAAAAGCTTAGCAACTATGAAGAAATTGTAACGTCGTAAAATGATGGTAGCGCGATCACGATTTTTCGTGTACCGACGTCTATCGAATATACCTTGTGCTGTTTCGAAAGAAACCAATGAAAATCGTATCGGTGTTTTCAATGACCGTGATAGGCGGCGCCGATGAGTAAAAATAAGGGACATCTTGTTGAAAAATTTCATTTGAACTCGTGTACAAACAACGTATCGTGTAAAATTCTATCACATTTATTTAAACTTTTACTCCGCGCTGGAATATCGATATACGTTCGACTAATTAAAGCGAACGTAATAACATTCGAATATTGTGACGCGAACATCACTTGCGAGACGTGTATGTCTGGCTGACCATTGTGCTGTAAGAAATGCTTGAGTAAACGATGACAGTCGATGCTTTTTATCAAACTCGTCGTAACAGTAACGATTTTACTTTGTATCAGTCTAATAAGTACATCAGCCATAATTAAGCAAATCGTATGCGAGCTTGCACAGTTAAAACGTCCAAGTAAGAAGCCGTTGAAAAGAAAAGAACACTGTGTACGGATCACGACCGAAGGATAAGGTAAAATGTTTGAGAAGAAAATTGCTCGATAAAGAATGGACAGCGCGAGTTTACCTGGCTCGAGTTACCAAGCTCTTCGGCTTACGTTTCAGAGAACTAATGCTTTGCTTTGCTCTGCTCTCCTCTGCCAACGTAAAGAGTAACTTTCGCGGGAAAGATTCGTTACGAGCGTTTCAGCCACGGCATCGTTTCTTTCTCACGTCAAGTCCGCAGACTCGACGCAGATGTTGTTTTCCGTCGACAAACCATGCCATTTGACGTTCACTACGACTTGACCTCGCCAGATTCCTCTTTTACCAATGGATGAGAAGCGATGTTTGCGATCGCGGAAATACTTTTGCCGCTCTGCAGGCTAGAGTGACTCGAAGACCGACTATGACTCTGACTTCCCGCGCCAACTGGTGTTTGCACCAACGGTTGCGGTGGAGTTCTAGCTCCAGATCCATTGACCACGGTAGAATTCGGTTGCAGTTGCATGTGGTACTTGTAAATATTCTCTGTACTTTCGACGACTCCTACCATTCGAACAATGCTTTTGTAGCGTAGATACTAGAAAGTTACTAGACTGACGCGAATCGCATCGTTTGCAAATGAAATATTTACCAGCCTGTAGATTTAAACTACGTCCGCGAACTCCAGTCTCCTTCGAAGGTGGGCTCCACCAATTGACAAAGGTCCCAACGACGGGCACGTGCCTAAGAATACCTTCTTGCCATAATTTTTCGGCGTTTTCTCTCTCCAAATCTGTCTGCGCTGCTTCGATGCCTCTCTTTACCACCTCGGATATCGTATCGAGTAACTTGGAACTAGCTTCCACTTCTTGACCAACTTGCAAAACCAAAGACAATAATTCGGCTACATCTGCGAATAGAATCGTTTGTTTCTTTTATTCGGAAAATTGACAAGACAGAGTACGTAGCTACGAGTAACGTAACTAACAGTGCTACGTAAGAAATGTCATCAAAGTTCAATGTACTATTACCCGTGTCTTGCGTAACCATTCCAAATCGTACGCATGCCAAACCGTCGGCTCCTTCCCCCAAAGAAAACGCCGCGTCCGTGCTTCGTAAAGCTTCGACCAATTGCGTATTCAATCTATTCAATTCCTCCTTGGCCTGATCCGTCATTACGTGAATCCAAGTGGGAGGAGCGTAACGAACACCTCCTAAACCAGCCCAACCTGGCATCTCCACTAAATGCAACGAATCATTCTCCGAGACTAATTTTACAAATGTTTCTTTGCGTTCGACTGTCGCCAGCAATATTTCCTATTGAACGGACGACAACGATTAGTAGAAAAGATTACCCGATACGATACGATACGATACGATACGATACGATACGATACGATACGATACGATACGATACGATACGATACGATACGTGCTAATTACACGTAATGTAACGCCGCCAACTTACTATCTGTTGCTCGAGACAAGCCACCACGTTATCTATATCCTCGGTCGTAGGTGGTGATTCCGAGTTTTCGAGAGGGCAAATGCGAATCGCTACGCCATGGTGTTCGATCTCGCACAGCTCTATTTGTACGTTCTCGATATCTCTTTGAAGAATTTGTCCCAGCCAGGAATTTAGTTTGTCGTAATACGGTGGAACGCGTTCCATTGCTTGAGCATCTCTGTCCGCGGGCAAAAATTGAAAGACTAAAGCACTGGCCACCGCTTCGAAGAGTTGCGGATTGTTAACAGGATTCGTTAACAATTCGTTTATCGTATAGGATCCTGTTTCCCCTCCTGGTGGTTGACTCTTAAACAATCGATTATATACAATTTCGTATGCGATACTCGGCCACCAAACAACAAGATATTACTCGTATGGCCAATTACCAAAATTCCTATGCAAGTAAATTTTTTTATTTTATTGTACAATTCTTCCACAGCTAAAAAGCATCTCTTGAGTTTATTATGTACACCGTCTCGACCTAAAGCCTGTAACGTAGCCCACAGTGGTAAAGTCGGTAAACGTCTGGACAACGAATCCGTCATTAAACCCGACACAAACGATAAAGTTGTGTCTCTCGGAGTGGGTCGACCACCTTTCGTGTCCGTTAGTCTGTACAATGTCTAACCGAATGCGTTAAGGACAAAACATACCATTCTCTGTTTTTAACGTTTCGATATTTCTTTAAAAGGATACGACTACTGGCAACGACGGTATACCTAGCCAAACACCAAGAGGTAATGTAATACTATCCGCTACCTTTGAAGGCTGAAAATCAACGATATTTTATTTCATTTTATTTCATTTTATGCATTCAATGTTGGGAAAACAAATTATGTAATTTAACGATAACATCAACGCACCAAGTCTTTCGCTGAATTATTCAGCGCTAACGCAGCCAAACAATGTCCACGGAGATGGAGCCAGACATTGTATTTATCGCAAATTGCACGAAGCCTAGCGATGTTGTCGCAATGTCCCGTTAGTACCGAACCCGCTTCGGCCAACACTAGAAGCGGCGTTACACTGTTCGACTGAGTATCTTCCGCCAAACGTCGTTCTAGAGCCGAAACGTCCATACTGTACCGTGATCCGAACATTGTATTATAGGGAATGTGTCTTACGCAGTGAAGCGGCAAAGAAAGCTGCGAAATATTAAACACAATGTTAGCTATTTTTTGTTATTGAAGAAAGAAAAAAAAAGAAAAAAAAAATTGGTGCGTATATACCTGTCTGCATAGATGTTGAACCACACCTAAAGATGCGGCCACGGAACTATAAATTAGAGGCGGCGAAGCTGTAAGAGCTGTGAAACCCTCTTCCATATATCGAGGATACTTTCGGTGTAGCGCCAACCTGGTTACCCTGACTAAACCTTCCAAGTGGTCCTCGTGAAACGAGGAGGCACAGTCGATGAAACGGAAAATATGACTGAGCCATCTCGTGGTGTCGGCAGCCAAACGACCGGCTAGCTTCTGAGCGTGCGATTTTGGAAGCGCGAGAGCGTACGCGGAAACAGCGTGTGTAATTAACGCTAATTTCGCTGGCTCTGTTAACGTTGGTAGATTCGTCACCTGGCTGGTACAAGTCTCGGTCGAACCATCCTCCGCTGGTTGCGGAGCGTCGTCGTGAATTACCAAATCCTGGAAACGATTTACGTTGTTTCACACAGCCGATATGAAACTTTGAAAATATTACGAGCGATGGATATATTTTCTCTCTCTCTCTCTCTCTTCTAAAAAGATTACGACTCTAACTTTAATTTAATTTCTTTGTACTTTTATACGTAAAAATACGAATATAAATATAAATATCTACGAATACAGTTTATATAAATTCCAGGGATCGAGTACTTGTTGATATAGTTTAATTTAGGTTTAGACGGCACAGCTACGTACACTATACAGTCGGCCAGTTTGAAAGAAGTGAATAACAAATTGGACCGTTTGTAAATATTTGAAAACAGCCGCCAGCAACTCGGTAGATTCGTACGATGTACGACTCGGGAGGGCAATTGACCGTTTTACGATTGTGTATAGCCACGTGACGAGCGCTCGTCGATGGACACAAAAGTAGGAACCAATCAGAGAGAGAGAGAGGCTCGTAGAAATGACCAACGACGGCCGAGCAATGGCTTCTGCTAGTATTGTATTTACCTGAATCAAAGTTAATATTTCATCAGGGCTTTTCGACTGCGAAAGAAATCCAGAGGGATTGTTCCAGGTGGTACCGCCACCGTCGGCTGCTCTCTCTACAGCTTCCTCGAGCCTCGATATCACCTGCGAGGCTTGAAATTCCAAGGCGGCCACTTGATTCGACGTAGTAGACCCACCTCCGGCACTGACCTGTCAAAATCATAGAAAAACCACTGTATAATGTCGAGTCGCTGCAACTCTGAATTCTCTCTCGACACTTCGAAAGCCACTATTACGTTATCGAGCACTGTCTTGATCACGGCTGACACGAACCTCGAGTATGTTTTGCGCTATACTTTCCATCGTCGTTTTATCATTTGTGTCAGTCTGGTGGTCGGCCATCGTGGCAGTAGTTGGCAGTATCGCAGTATGTGTAGTCGTCGCTGGTCCGTTGGTCGTCGTGGCCAGGCGCAGTGCTGTCGCAATTTCGGTGGTGCTTGGTTCGTTCGTTCGTTCGTTCGTTGCGTTGCGTTGCGTTTCGTTTGGTTTAGTTGCGTTGCGTTGCGTTTCTGGCTGGATACCCACTGAAAACAAATTTCTTTTTTTTTAATCCTCCCGTTTTCCTAAATAAATATGAATCTCCTATAATTCGAGCTGATGAAAATAAAACAATTTTTCACGCTTTTCAAGAAATATAGTTTGATCACGTGAGAAATTATAAAAAGATGAAGACGATAAACGTACGCGTTACGGCCCTTATTTTATCTATACGGCTGTTATCGCAACGTCAGTTGTTCGATACGACACGATAGGGCGTCTTGTTGCAACTTTTTGCCACTAGAAGCGCCACAAGCCACAAGCGTATAACGGAAATAAAGTTGTTTTCACTGCTACACTCTGTATCACCATCGCCGCCGAAGAAAACATTTCGATGTGATAATCCGAGCAGTATTTCGAGCAATTCCTCGGCTGTATATTTTCTTTCAACCATTTTAAAGTTGTTGAAATTACAACAATTCAAAATTCTTCTGTCAAGACATGGATAAAGAAATATATGTTAAGAAACATTGTAGAAAAATGTAATGAAAGGGAGTGTTGTAAACTGGTAATATTACCAAGCACTTGAAATAAACTGTTGAAATGAAAAAAAAAAACGAAAGTTTGGTGGCGCCATCCAACTACAACAGCGGCAACTATTTTCACAAGAAACTTGGGCGTTTTCCCACCGATGGTGCCACTGGTTCCAAACCAAGCGCCATCTAGCAGGAACAGGGGCAAGTAATTTCGCTATAAAGTTGGGCGTTTTCGCGCCGATGGCGCCACTGGTACTAAAACCCGCTGACTGAGCGGCTCAGTGAGCGGTGGCTTTTCCGAACGTAGCCGTATTTCGAGGTTCGAGAAATAAAAATAATTCTATAAAGAGTACACTATCGATCTCGGATATCACATTTTATTATAATTATAAATCATCTACATCTGTTTAAAAATATATATTCATAAAAATTGCTTTCACTTTCGTTTTAATAATAATCTGATGTTACATTATTACAAACATTGTATACACGTAAGATCTATGCTACCTTGTACAAGTATAAAACATGGACGTTTGAGAGATTTTAGAAAATTTTAATGCGGTATTTAAAAAGCTACGATACGGAAAATTTCGAAATGGACATCGTATTCGTGTAAATACCAGTTATAAACTCGACCGTATAATTGGAATAATCACAATAATATATTGCACGCATAAAAATATTCCCTGTTAATGAAATTTTAGCGAGGTAAGTTCCTTTACACCACGGAGGCGTTTGTCTCGATAAAATTTGATGGTATAATATGGTATAATCGAGAGTTTACGGTCTCGCGTAACAAAACGATCGGTCCGTCTTTGTGCTTATTGGCGCTAGACTCGCTACGGCAATAATTATAAACGAAACTGCAAGCGGTAAACGATGCAAAGATAAATAACTAATTACGCAAATGATGAAATAAATAACGAGTGAATGAAAACGTATGATCGAAAGTGTTCATGGTCGGCGATTATAATTATAATTATTCGTGTGCAGAAGCGAATGAAAGCATGCATTAGCGGTATTCATAAACCTAAACGTAAACCTAAACATATATATATAATAATAATAATAATAGAATCGAATATTCTATCGCGTATTCTCAATTAGAAACTAATAACGAAAATAAATAGAAAGTTTGATTGCCGACCAATCGTCAATTAACACGCTACGCGTACGTTAAACGATTTCAGAGACCGACGGATACTTGTTGACCAACGCTCGTGAAAACTATGTACGAATGTTGTACGCAAAAACAGTCTTTTCAACACTCATCACTGCCGACTTTGCGACATTAGTTTCCGACTACGTAACACGTATAATTGATAATGAATACGATTGAAAAATATCACCGTTTCGTTCGTTTCCTTATCCGTCTCTATTAAAAAAAGGTAAAACTTTTGGGCGAGGACTTAATCCAGGACTACGTAATCGTATGCATACGTATCCTTCGTGTATAGATATCGACTCGATGGAAAAACGGTTGCAAGTTGCAACGAAACGCATTTCTCCGTTCTACTAGCGTAGATACTAGGTGTATGTAGGCAATACCAGCCTCGAAATACAGTCGACTATAGTCGTTTAAAAAGAGGCTGGATTTCCTTCGGCATTCCTCAACGATGAATCACATTTCCTCAATAGTAGCGTATATTGCGCGTTGCGACGACCTCTCGAAGCAATCTTGTTTCAAACGGTAGATGAACGGATCGTTGGTTGAGACGTTGGCGCTGCGGACGTGGTTGCGATCGCGATCGCGATCGCGATCGCGATCCTGGCTGATTGTTCGGCTCGGGAAACGTATCGGGTTTCGATCGATTATCGTACACTGTACCGCTGGCCGCTTCGAGTTCCTCGATAGACGGTAGCCGAGAGTGTCTGTACTCGTCGATGTCCTCGTCGCGTGGCAAAGGACGCGTGGAATCCTCCGGAACCGGTCGACCATCGGGGTATACGCGAATCACCATCGGTCCGACCAGGTACGGGCCTGCAGATGGTCGCGCGTAGTCGGCCGACGATGCCGTGTCTTCGCCCAAGCCATTCGTTTCGCTGCCGGTGGAGCTGGTGGCTGGAACAGAATAAAAAATGAAATTTTTACTAAACGGGATGGAAAATTGCAGTCGAATAGTCGAGTAGTTGACGCGATATACGGATTTTAACGGTAAACGTTTCTTACCGTAAAGGATTATTTAAGTTTAACGTTTAAGTACGATAATATTTTCGCGTGGTCGGGTTCCTCGCGAGACCACGATCCGTGTCCGTGGCGCATCGACTCGCGACTTGTAACGAGCTATTTTTACGCCTAGTGTCTACCTGCCATGTACACAACTCTTGAAACTTTTGTTAATCACTTTCTTCGTCGCTTGTTTCGCGAACGAGCTGTGATCGCATGCCAAACTTTCCTCGTACTTGACATGCAGTTCAACCACCCAACCGTCTATTCAACTGTGAAATATGTCGAAAATATCTATATCGCTATATCGGTTTATTTCCGTTCGTGTCCCTTATATCTGTACGTACTACATGTATGTATAGACCCTTTACGTAGAAAACAAGAATTTCACGGTCCTCCAAGGGTTAGGATAGGTTGTTTAAGGTTGAACTTGAAATCCGTCGATATATCGATGCATTTCTCGGAGAAAATGTGAAAGGCTGTTCGAGCAGTCTGGTCTCCGATGGAAATTGACCTCCTTTCGGTGTTTCCAGTTTCCAAGCATCATCCGTGGCCGTGTACCCTGGCCACGAAACGCATCAAACCAGAGAGATTAAAAGATAAAGGACGTTTTGTAATAGCTGTATCGAATTGTTTAGATTGGGTGTCGCTAAATGTTACAATATAGTATAATATAATCCCCGTCGAATTGTCACGATGATTCTCGGAGATGGAGTGAAAGTAGTGCAGCGAAGAAGACTAGTCGATTTGAAAAGGAGCGTTTTACTATCGAATGCGATCTCGTTCAAAAGAAGAAAGAAAAAAACAAACTTTCTAGTGGAATGCGCGTGATCGACACGGTACCTGGAACTTTCTCGCAGCACCATTTGTTTTCGTTGACGCTTCGGGTCACGCGAATTTCTGAATGCGAACGAAACGCAAACATCGAATCTGCTTTTCAGTCTGATGTATCGCTATTACTATTACTATTATTACTCGTATTTTTATCTTTCATATCTCTGGTACTGTGCGTGTAGAATGTTGCGACTCAACGTTAATGGAAAGGTTTATCGACTCTGGCCAACTTGTACCAGCCTATCAGTCTCTCGTGTTGGTTCACGCGCTCTTTCTCGAGTAATACATCGTTCCGAGAGAGTAGGTTCTTTCGATCTTTCATCGATTAAAACTTTCACTCGAGCTAATTATTATAACTTTTTACGGCAAATAAAGCTATCTTTTCTTTTTCCTTACTTTTTTCTTACTTTTTGTTCGGCCATAAATTGCGTGTCTGCGATAGCATCGTTACAGAAATGATCTTTTCCACGGCATGTTGATCGATGGTTCAATTACACGATGCTAATTTTTATTGTAATTTTTGCTACTTTATTTGCTCGAGTAAGTTGAACTAGTCAAATTTTATAATTATAATTATATAATATATTTACATACCTAACGAATCTGGTCCGGTGGTCAAGTAGAATTCATCTGGCTCGTGACCGGTTCTCGTCGAATATCCGTTTTTCGCCATGGCGCGCCAAACTGTAACCGAGAAGTAACAAGTTACGATCCTCGTGTGTACTATACCTATGTACATATATTATTTATTATAGAGGTACATGGAAAGTTTGTAAACTCACTAATTTCCTTGGCGCCACGCTGATACGGATCCAATTTATCGAGAAACGTGTCGTCCATATTGGCTAGACTTCGAAGACCGGAGACGAGCAAGTTTTTGTTGCAATCAGGCATCGAGGAATCCGTGCAGAACTTTGCTACTTGCTCACTGAATATTCGGAACAAATGGCTCGTCTGAAATCGAACGTTTCAAAGTTGATCGGGAGATTTAGGGAAAAGCATGAAATTATCGAACGGTAGCGCGAACGTTAACTGTTACGCGATCAAGAAATTACCGGGATACATGATAGATCAGTGAAAATTAAATCTCATTTTCAACATCACGATGAAAATCGTGTCTGCGTATTATAAATTTCCTCATCGTGTCGATTTATCCATCTCTTTTTCTTTTATAATACTAATCCTCTACTCGTACTATATACTCGTGTTAACGTTCTTTTCTTTTTTTGTCTGTTCAAAGAGCGTCGATGATCGCGAAAGCTGTTTTCTATTCCGCGTGGACAAATGCATTCTGACCGCGTCCGGTGAAACTCGGCAATGTGTAACGCACGGTATATTGGACGCGACAGTTATAACAAACAAATATATATGCGAGCCGCGGCTCCTCGTACATCACGTATCGGGCCTGATTGCGATACACGCTTTTTTTTCCTTTTCGTCACGATCAATTCTACCCGTCGCGCGTCGCCGTTAAACATGCCCCTGTTCGCGTTCTACACAAAACGCAATGCTCGATGTCCACACACTTTTGGCTCTATCTATGGACGTTCGATTACGCGAATATTCGACCTTGGAATTTCTAATGACATTTCCGTAACAACTTTCGAACCCTCGAAATCGAATATACCGACGCGACGCGACGCGACGCGACGCATCGCGACGAGACGTGAAATCGATAACGGCTATACGAGTGGAATCAAACGAGGTACAATAACCATCGACAATCTTTATTGTACCTAGTTGTGTTTTTTGTTTTTTATCACTTCATCACTCATGCTCGCTTATATCAATTCATCCCTTCATCTTATTATCACATTTACGTGCCTTTGGTTAATCTTATTATTATGCATGTTAATACTCGATACCGAAGGAATATGACTTTTTGAGTCGATATCTCCTCCTATTACTATTCTTTCCGGTATTACTCGCGGCAAACAATCATTTCTTGATCCGTGCGTCTTTTTACTGTTGGACGGAAAAATTGCTACGATTTATAGTACGTTACCAAAGTAGAAGCATCGAAACTCTTGTTCGATGGAAAAAACTTGAAAAACTAGAGCTAAGGTAAATAAGAGGAACGACCGCGGGTGCTGGTGCGGGCGAGGACGAGGGCGCGGACGCGGACGCAATGTCACGAGAAAAGTCAATGTCCGAGACGCGCTCGCGCAATTGCACTCGACTGGACTGTACAAGTGTACAAGTGCACAAGTGCACGAGCAGAGAGAGCATTTTATACGAATGCGCACCATTTCGTTCGGTGAAAGTTTCATTTTACCGATATCGCGTACAGGGCTTTACTATTTGGTAGGGCGTGTTAAAAGAAAAATTAATAGATTTTTCATTTTTCTCTCTAGAGAAATTACGAGTATAACGAAGGCCGTACAAAACTAAAAACTACACGCTCGGCAATAGTTAGCAGAGAAAAATTTGAACGTGGAAATTGTCGGAGAAAGCAAGAGTCTCGAGCGCGCAAGTTTTTTCAATCGGATATTATACGAATTTCATTTACGAAAGAACCTCGAACAATACTCACTTTCTCGTCCCGCGACAGGAATTCCCACATGGGTATCGCAGAACCAGTGATACATAAAGTACGGCATCCCAGTGTCAGGATACCGACAACGATCACAAAAGTTCTCCGATTCCTCATTACTGACGTTTCACTCTTTCTTCGACAACCTTCGGAATACAATTTTTCTACGCGTTCCAACTTTGTCTAGATCTGTTCGATCTATCGCACGTACATTACTCGTACAAAGTCCAGCACGAACGGTAAATTCTTCAACGAAAACACTCTCCTCGCGATCGAGGAATTATCATTCGAGCTACGCGAGAGCCGAGTAATTTATAGTTGGAGTGTATTTGTTAATCGTCCAAACGGAAATATCGATATCACGTCGCGGCGCGGCGCGGCGCGGCAGGCGAGAATAACGTTCACGTGGAATCGAATGCACGAAACATACAAGCGACGATCCACTCGTGTCGAATGGTCCGTGCAAACTGGCCAATCTCCTTTGCCTCGACTCCCTGGTTATATGCATGTTGGTAAGCTACCGATGTCTACGTGCCTCCGATCCCACCAGACGCGCCACGCCGCGCTTTCAAGACCAGAGTCCAGTCCACGAGCACACCAGTTGTTCCAATATTTACGTCTGTCCAGAACGTCATCGGCCCGATACAAACTTTCCTGGATAACAACAAATGTTTTCTCATTCTCGCCAATAGTTGGCGTTTAATCGCTCGATATCGATACAATTTCAACATGTTGTTCCTTCTCGGAACAATCAACTTGACGAAATAAAACCATCATCTCGGTAGAATTTTATTGCTATACTACGTATTATTGGAACAGTTCCAATTCTACGATCCAACCAGACCAACTTAATCTGCCCGCTGGAAATCTGCTTGGAAACGTTCCGATCTTGTTCATCCGGTTCTTCCAGCTGGCTCGCGTTAGGTTCTCGCGTTAGAATCGCGTTACTCGACGCTTCCACGTTCTTCGAAATGGTCCAAGTGTATTTTAAAATTCGCCAATATTACTTATGTAGAATACGAGATATAATACAGGGAATTGAATCGTAATTTGGAATAGTACGTATATAGGAGAAAAAATACTACAGCACGAATGGTAAATATAGATAGTTGAAAAAAATAGGATAATTGCGAGTGTATGTTTTCTGGATCCGAATTCGTGACACGTCTCTTCGAAATGTTTTACCGCCGTTATTTATCATTTATTAAGCGCATAGAAAAAGATAGATGGTAAAGTTTGACAATGAGTGACGTAGGTCATTGATGGAATTATTAGTTTCGCGAACGTTTCTGTGAGACGCGACTCTAAAATGCCGCGTAATTAGAAGAAGAAGATGGATGAAAGCAGTAGCGATTATCGATGTTTTGCGTAGCGATGATACTTGTTTACGTCGCGACGCGACGCGACGATGACCAACGTGGGAATTCAAATACAGCAAACTCGCTTTCACGCATAAATACGCATCGGCACAGCTGCATGGAATAAGGAAGCTTGGATTATTCGTGCAGTAGAAATGCGAACGCGCGTCTGTTACCGTGACCGGTATCGTTCCAGGTAATCACCACTATCTCGTAGGCTCGCTGCACATTTACAGTCATCGTGCAGTCATCCGACTATTATGTCACTCGAATCCTACGAGAATAGATCCAGAGGTTCTCAATGTTGGTTCGGTGTTATTTCTAAATATCCCGTGAAAAGCCGAATGTATGTACTCGTACGTGTATGTAAAAAATGTTCGATATCGATACTCTTTACGATTCGGAATCTTTGATTCGACGTTTCGTGTACGGAATCGTAATTTATCGTGCGTTTGATCGGTAAATCCACAATTTTCCTAAAACCAAACGTTCATCGCGTCTAACGTTTACACGTTCACGAGCTTATCGCGACTTTGATCCATGGAACAGTCTCTCGAATGCAACGTTTTGCAGGACCAATCGCGCAGGAATTACATAAACGGGTGTCAAGGGTGCTCTATACTTTGGTATACTACGTGTACGTAGCACGTAACCTGAATTTGGAAATTCACTTTCCACGACTCGAGCAAGTTTTTTGGTCGTAACGATCGGACGGTCATGTCGGTGATCCGAGATCGAGAGGTGTGGAATTCGTTCCGGTCGACGCACGTAATAGTTGCCGGATGCTTAGCGCTTCTCTGGCGAAAGAGTTGGCATCAACGATGCCTGTTTCGAATACACGAATGTTTCTCGCGTTAGCTCGAACCGCGATATCGAACAACAGTTTAACGTGTACGCGTACGCGGAAATATCGTACCGCACGAATCGTAAACGCTCGCAACTATTTCTATTCTATGCATATACATGCTATACAAACATGAACTGTTTCAAAATTATGCATATTTATTTGTTTCTTTTCGATTCATTCCTGCTTCTATACTTACCTTTAACAATTTCTGTCTGGTTCTCCAGGATGCTCGGCGAAAAAATCGGAGAATCTCTGTCGATGCTTCAGAGGTCATTGTACGAGAGAACTGAACCTACTTTTGCCGTAGCATTTCGTACGACTAATTCCACGTTAATAACTCACGGAACTCGCGATGACGCATTTAGTCGCATATTATAAAAATAGTCCAGCATTGACGCAGTAGCTATCTGCTGGATTTCACGAGTTCCTTAATCAAATTCGTCTGCGTAATCGCGTCTTAAAATACGTCGCATGTCTTTCGAAATACTTGATAAAAGATATGCATATACGTATCGTGTATGTATAATATACTATATCGTAGTTGTTGTACAATTTTTACTTTGTTTCCTTTTTTTAAGGGAACAATATTTGTCGAGTTTTGAAATGTCGAGTCAACGGCTGTACGCGAATAAACAAAGAGACAGACTAAATAGAAATACTGTAACTCGTTAATAGCGCGATACATCAAGCACATTGACGCCACAGAGGAACGACTACGAGTTTTGTTGTCAGTAACGGTGTCAGTCGGCGCCACGATCATCTATACGTAATACATACTTGAATCAATTTTTCGACGGCTGCGTCGGATTAACCGATAAACGTGGCGCTCCTAAAAAAATCTACAATCACCGCCCACGTAACAATGCTACGGCTGATTAATGAATGTCAATGTAAAGTTAGGAAATTCCAAAGGATTGGCATATCGAATCGATATGGCAATTTCTTAAGAGACGAGCTGAATTTATCAAGCGAAAGTCTATTTTACTTTTCAAAAAGTTCAACCTCTCAAGGTTCTCCGTGAATATTTGAATCATTTTCAATTCGGCTATAACGTTCTTTCATCTTTCTACCATACGTTGAAATTTGTTAAAAATTCTATATTTCGACATTCGTTACGTCCTGGAAATTTTCCATTAAACAGGTTTCACCGCTTCATCTTAAACATTCGTTTCCTACCTGGCGCCATCGTCTGCTTCAACTTGCGCATATGTTAATCGTAGATCGTAGGGCAAGAATAAACTCAACTACGACACAGACGATGCTAGGAAATTGATGTACATTTCTTTTTCGTTAGCGTCTCATTAAAACCTGTTTCTACAAATTTGTAAATAATAACGAACGGTGACTCATGCCAGAGAGAAACTGCTCGCGAGTGCAGTTACTTCTGTTCCCGTTCCTCTTGTCTCTCAACATTACCGACACTATTAACGTAACATTATTAATGGTACATGTGCACGTGTACCCCAAGGCTGTTTGCGCAAGGACGCCCTGCAATGCCAATCCGTTGATACATATGTATTCACGTGTAAATCTTTCAAAGTCGACAATTCTGGTTTCCACAAAATCGGTAAAAATGTTCCAACGATACTATCTTTCTCGTTGCGAATAAATAGACGAATCAATCACGAGTCAATTAAAGCAACTTGATTAAAACGTATAATATTCGTAAATTAAAACTTGACGCCACTTTAATCTTGGTAAATCTCAAATAACCGTTGGAAATTTTACATAAGAATTTAATCCAGATAGGAAAACGTATCGTACGACTCTGGAAAAGTATACGATAAATCTAGATATACGAGGGTGTATGATCGATTCGTGTATTTTTCTAACCGACCCGAACCGACCCGACGCGACGCGACGATACTACACGACGCGACGAACAATGAAATATTTCCACGTGGGAAATAACTTTAATGCAATTTAAAACTAGTTTAATCGAGTCCCAATACAAGTCTTCGATATGTATCTTAATGTTTGAGATATTCATTGGTCGACGTCAATCTGATGAATGTCGAAAAGCCGTAAAATGTTAAGCCGGCGCCGTTTGGTCGGCCGACGAATCGATTTTATGGATATGTGATTAGGAATTCAAATGAAATATCTGCTTTCGAAAGTGTGCGGAACGACACACATATATTATCTTCTCCATCGAAATATTGTTCGGTCGTATCTTTTTAGCGCCATGCCTGTAATGGAATACGGGCTTTGCAGTAAATAAAAGGGAACGATTAATAAAGGACAAGTGGCAGGCGCAACACGCCAACGATACGTGCATGGTACTACGTCGTACAACGTACATTTATGCGAATTTATTATGGACTGCTACTTTAAAATGTCTATTATAGGCATTCCAATATTTATCTTAAAAATTTGCCGTATGGGTTAACAAATAGACATGCGTTGTAAATATAAAAATATATTTGACCATTTAAAAGTAGTACAATTTCAACAATTTTTATGCTCTCCTAATAAACAACATATTTTTTTCTTGTTGTAGCAAGTTTTCGTAGAATTCAATTGCCCAGCGTAATCGTGTTGGCGGTCAAACTTTTCTCACCATTCTTATATTCCAAGACCAATTAATATTTTACCAATATTAACGTATGCTTAGCGGCGTCCGTAAGCGTGATGCGATTGATGAGCTGTAAACGCGATAGTAGACATTTTTCAAACACGTTTCTATCAACTTTTCTAAATCTACAAAATGCAACAAAACTCTATCGGACTTACGTTTATAAAATTCTGTAAAGTTAACGTTGGGTAGCAGAGAATGAACTTTTTCTAAAACGGTAGCTTTCGATGCTAAACTTGCGTTACTATTCCATATCTAAACAAAAGCAGAATAAACGATAATAATTTATAAACGAATTAGATTATCTTGCAAATTAGTTTACACCATTTAAATCGTTAAAATCATACTTGAACGAGATCGTCTCTGTCTCTGATAGACACGGTTATCCCGCAAATTTCATCGTCTTCGGCCGTACATTCGGAAAACTGTTCTCCGATCGCCGCGAGCACCATCTCCTTCCAAATCTGTTCCTACGTATACCAAATATACCGTTTAACGTATCGAACCTAACGATAAATCTCTTTATACCTACGGTATCGGACTTGTGGCACTTTAATCTCCATGTTCCACCTTTTTGATTAACAGGTTCCTCCCATAGCGGATATCTCTCGTCCCTCATCAAATGATAACTGTATCTAACCTACGATTGTAACAATCGATACGTACAGTGATTGATATAAATAAAATCGATAATTACTTTATAAACTGTATACGTGCATGTATACTCACCTGCATAGCGCTGGCATTTGGTATGTTATTAAAAACTGCCCAGAAACTCTGCACAGTGTTCACGGTATAAATCTTTGTCAAATTTTTTTTATACTCTTCGACAGTTGTTCCGGATACAGCCCTGTCCATTTTATTGATATTTAACAAACACGAGTATATTTCGTAAGCAACAAATGGATGATGTAAGTCATTATTTCTTCTTCTTAAACCGTAACCTCGATTTAACTGCGATTGTAAAACGATACTAATTCTTCATGCTTTTACGATAATCGCAATGTCGTTATTTTTATTAATACAAAATTGAATGAGACGACATTTAGTAGCATTCATTTATTTCCATGAATTTTCAATCACATTCTCGCAATCTACGCGGATTCAGTAATACCGGAGAATGCGGATTGATTAAGCATATTATTTTAATCACGTTTTTCGTTAGATGAAAGAAGAAGAAGAGAAAAAAAGAAGATTGATATGCAATATACCGAGCATTTTATTTGGAATATTACGCAGCGAAAAGTAAACAAGTTCCCTTACTTGTCCAACCACAACGTCCACGAAGATTGTAGCGGTATTCCCAACGATTCATGTCCTTCGATCGTTTTAACAGTTTCCTCGGAAAATACCAGTGTTTCCGACGCGTCCGCCGATTTGTCGTCTTTCGATTCACACTCCACCGCGGCCATGTTCGAAACGACGACAAATACATGTATATGTATATGTAACAACCGTTAGAACGTCAAAAATCATCTGATCAGAGACAAACAAACAAACAAACAAACAAGAAAAACAAACTGACGACTAGTTGATTAATTGAAAACGAACAAGACAACGAGTGTACATAGTTAATGTTTACATAATTAAAATCGATACATCGATTTATCCATGATTATTTCCAAATTTCGCGACATAACGTTATCATTCGTCGATAAAAGTAGTTGTTGTACAACCAACATTTGTCTCGTATCTCTTCGAGATGTCTCTGCATCTATAAGCCTTAAAAAGTGAGTGGAGTCTGGAGTGACCCACGTGAGCACGTGCGCGCATCCAACGTGCTTTAACCGCATCGTGCGATAAACAATTAATTTAACCAACTGATATTACGTATGACGGAAACAATCAGTTGGAATAGATGGTATTTAGACAAGAGAAACTGAATAACAATGACAAAACGTGCTACAATTACGTACATTACAACTAAATTATAATCAAGTTGAAGATAATTAGCACAGTAAAAGCTAAAGAATATTATGATTTTAATTTTTTATTTAACCGATCTTTATCGATATCTAGTTATTTTAGTTTTAAAATGATTTTCAAGTTTTTTCTACATGCTTTCACTCTAAAGAAAAAGCAACAAATCAAAAGCATTATTATTAATAATCACTATTTGCACACCGACACCAATTCTGTTCTGAATATATCTGTATCGCATTTAAAACAATTGTTCAAACAAAAATGTTTATCCGTAGTAGACGGTCATGTATGTCTTATAGCGGACTGTCCTATATGCAATAACGAAAAGAAAGATGCAAAACTTTATGTAAATAAAACAACAGGTAGATACGGTTTTTAAGCGAGTGTTATAAAAGTAACTTTGTGTTAAAATATTGCGTTGATAATTACAAATTATTATAAAATTGTAATTTCAGGATTTTTTATGTGCGATAAATGCAAATGCACTGGCTCTTGGGATATATTAAGACAATTTTTATCGACACCGAAATCAATGGAAAAACTGAAAGAACTCGATATACTAAAAGCAAATCTACACAAGGAACAAGATTTCGATAAAAAGTGGAAAGACATGAAAGAAAACTGTCGAGATATCATGGAGCTGACCACTGAAGAATACAACGCGCTTCTCGATAATTTCTCGTTACCAGTAAAAAGATAAATACGATCATAAAGTTTCTTAATTATATAAAATCTTAAATACAATTGTTATTACAGGATGTTTCGCAACAAGATATGAGCCAATTAAAGTGCATTTACAAAGAGACATCAAAAGTATTATATTTCCCATTAATAGGACTAGAAAATTCTGTTGTCGGATATAAATTCATTGGAACCGATGTAAAAGCAGAGCCAACATTCCCTGTCTCTAGTGTCAGCGGATGCGTTACGTACAAACAGAATACCGGTAAAAACGATAATACCGCTGTGATCGTAGAAAGTATATACGATTTGTTAGCTTTGGTTGCACAGAAATCTGCAAATATAATTATCTGTTTACCATACAATTTAAAAACTCTACCTCAGCAGTTATTACCATATATGGAATCCTTCAAAAAGTTAACTTTATGGTTTGGAAATGACGAGACAAGTTGGTATACCGCTAGACAGTTTGCAAAAAAGTTAAACGAAAAACGATGTTACTTCGTGAGACCGACAGATTTACAACCGCAACCAAAATTGGCTGCAGAAATGGGTTACAATCTAAAAGGTATTCTTCAAAATGCTCAAGCTGTGTGGCATAAAAGTATAACTACCTTTCGAGAACTCAGGGAAGAAGTGTTGAGCGATTTGCAAAATATCGATAAAGTACAAGGTGTAAAATGGAAAAGATATCCAGTTCTGAATCGTATACTGAAGGGTCACAGAAGAGGAGAATTGACGATATTAACAGGGCCGACGGGTAACAAAGTTCAAGTACAACGCTTACCAAGTACATTTCCGATACGAAAATTCCAAGTATTGATATTTGTTTGTCAGGGTGCGGTAAGACAACTTTTATGAGCGAGTATTCCTTAGATTTAGCAATGCAAGGCGTCAATACCTTATGGGGTAGCTTTGAGATAAGGAATGCACGATTAGCGAGAACAATGTTGCAACAAATGGTAGAGCTACCTCTGGATCAACATCTAGACAATTTTGATTTATACGCGGATGCTTTTGAAAAATTACCAATTTACTTTATGACATTTCACGGTCAGCAAACTATTAAAGTAGTGATGGATGTAGGTACACGCGTAATTGTTCCATCTGGTTTCCTATAACCGCATACAAACAGAATATTTATTTATATTACAGGCAGTCGAGCATGCAACTTATGTTCACGATATAGCTCATGTTATAATCGATAACGTTCAGTTTATGATGGGTACATCGGATGATTCCAAGCACATGGACAGGTATCGAAATAATCTTATACGGAACCTTTTATGTAAAACGATATCGTTATAATTTTTGTAGATTCTGGAAGCAGGATGATATAATTGCGAAATTTCGGAATTTTGCTACCAAATACAATTGTCACGTGACTGCGATAATACATCCAAGAAAAGAGCGTAGCGAAGAAGAGTTAACGACTTCGTCAATTTTTGGAGGCGCCAAAGCGAGTCAAGAAGCTGATAATGTACTCATCATTCAAGACAAGAGATTCAGTAGCGTACGGGGCAAAAAATATTTACAAGTTGCTAAAAATAGATATAGCGGAGATTTGGGTATAATGATGTTAGAATTTGAAAAGTCTAGTCTTAGTTATTCCTCGAGATTGAAACAAAAAAGAGAGAATACAGAGAAAGAAAAATCCTTAAAAATTACGCATACGACAGAACAAATTAATAAACGAACCGATATATGAATTTATGTTGTTATTTTATTCAAAATTGTACATAGGGTTATCGTAACGAGCAGTGTATGACGGAAAATTGTTCGTTCGATTTGCAATTATAAATAAATTGAATTTGTAACACGTGTGTCAAAGATTGAAAGCTAGCCTAAGGACTGTTTCGTCCTTACGCTAGCCGACGTTTGCACGAGATTAAATGTTAATTAAACGATCGTAAATCGGTGTCTTTAACGAGGGTAGTAGTTTACTGTTGTACCGACTACACGGGTTTCTAATCTAACGTGGGTGGGAAAATTTTATCAGAAAAAGCAAAGCATTAAACGTGTATAGTATATTTGACGTAATTTACCATTTAGTTAGGGATTTCTTTGGACTTTTGTCTCGATCAAGTTGTAGTAGTTAAATACGAGAAAGATAATAAACGAAACAGAAAGTGATCACGCAAGAAATGAGATTAAGGAATATTGTTTTCATTTCTCTTGTTCTCCTCCTTACACTTTCGGTGACTTGCAGTGAAGATTCGAAGAAACCAACAGTGTTGATAACAATTTTAGTTCGAAATAAAGCCCACACGTTACCATATTTCTTAACCTTTCTGGAACAATTAAATTATCCGAAAGAACGAATACGTCTGTGGTAAGTATACCTAGCGTAACCTCACTTTTCGAACGTACTCGTACAAAGACCAATTGCCACAAACAAGTTCAATGCATTTCGAACGTACACTATACTCGATCGATTGATGAATAAAATAACAAAATAAAACAAGTACTCGTCACTCGTAACTGTAACAAGTAATAAATGAAATAATTCCTATTTTCTAGAGTAAAATAGCGAAGAACATTTGAACATTTGAACATTTAACAAAGATCGACTGAATAATATAATAAAGTTTCCAATTTGTTTGTCTCGCCAAATCATTACAAGTTGAGTTAGTTTACGCGACATCTGCTATGCCGGCAAACTTGTAATTACCCGGCATTGATATTAATAGAATAATTGGCGCGAATCCGTGACCGGATAAAACAGAAAACGGACGTAACGTCCGTTGTTGACCATTTCAATTTCTTTCATACTTTTTTTTTTTTTTAATGTATTTTGAGTAGAAAAGGACTTTGAAGGAATATTACTATCGCTACGACTAGAGATATTTTAAATATTATCGTCACTCGGTCCTCCAGTGAAAATGATTAATTTATTTTTATGAAGGATATACAGTGACAACAATATCGATAACTCGATTGAAATATTATCGACATGGCTGGAAGGAGAAAGTAACAAGTATCATGGAGTCGAAATAAATTTTGATAAAAAATCTAATGGATTCGAAGATGAGAATGGAATTGCCGATTGGTCGACGCAAAGATTTCAACACGTGATAAATTTACGGGAGAAAGGTGTTGACGCGGGGAGAAATATGTGGGCAGATTTCATCTGGGTAGTTGTTAGATTTTAATATTCGTATCGATACTTTTTGGGCATATTTAAATAAGATTCGATTCGACGAAAGCCAGCTCCATCTGAAATTTCAGATGCTCGACGCTGATGTTTTCCTGACAAATCCAAATACTCTCGACGAATTGGTTTCAACGAATAAGACCGTAGTTGCACCGTTACTGAAATCCGATGGCATGTACAGCAATTTTTGGGCTGGAATGAACACCGATTACTATTATCGAAGAACAGATGATTACGACCGGATCTTATTTCGCGAAGAAACAGGATGTTTCGATGTACCAATGATTCATAGCGCGGTTCTTATAGATCTGAGGAAACATGCTTCGGATGCTTTAACTTATAATCCAAATAATTTAGATCGATACAACGGTCCTATCGACGATATAATCATTTTCGCTATTAGTGCCAAGAAATCTGGTAAAAATCGTCGGTAGACTTTCCCACCATTTACCATTTACCATTTCTTTATCTTTATTATAACCTTCAGCCGACAACACTTTCTTTCCGTTACCGACAGGTGTGCCATTATTTGTTTGTAACAACAATATTTACGGATTCGTTATGATTCCGTTAGAAGAAGGAGAAACAATTGTAGACGACCTACAATCTCTAACTAATATCAAGACAGAGATATTAGGTATGTTAAAAGACACGATAAAGGAAAAACGCATATTAAAAGTTTACGAAAATAATAGATTTTTAGAATCGATCTTATTTTTTTTAGCAAACAGTAATTATCTGCCATTGTCGCGAATACTTGAAAAATTTGTGCGATACCCTGTTGCGGATACATTGCAGGTGGATCAAATTTATATGATAAATCTTTTAAGAAGACCAGAAAGACGCAATAGAATGAATCGACTTTTTAAGGAACTCGGTATTCGTGCGGAAACTATCGATGCCGTTGATGGTAGGTAAGTCGAAATAAATAAATCAATTTTTCTCGTGCAAAGTATAACGTTTCGACTCGACGAAAATTCATTTGATATCATAGTTATTTGTTTAGGACATTAAATGAATCTGTATTGGAAAATCTGAAAATAGAATTGATGCCAGAATATACCGATCCTTATCACTCACGGTAAGTACAATTGAAAGTGAATGCGATTATAAGAACTGATAATAAGAAAAACACAAATCGGCAGACCAATGACTATGGGAGAAGTCGGATGTTTTTTAAGCCATTACACTATCTGGAACAAGGTAATTATCAAGTTATTCAAACGAATCGATTCGATCAAATTTTTCACTTTCTTTTACATAATACATCCAATGCAATTATACCGGCTTGCTGATCATTTATTAGGTAATAGAAAATAATTTCGAAAAAGTCATAATCTTAGAAGACGACGTACGTTTCGAACCGTTCTTCCGTCAAAAAGTATACTATATTTTAAAGGAACTCGTTAATCTTCAGCTCGAATGGGATTTAGTGTAAGTGTTTAATTTTGAAAACTTTCAAAAACTTTGCATCGTTAATTAATACGAGGTGGACGCGTATATGGAGTTTCGTGAGTTCAGACGAACCATGTATTCTGCGACAGGTATTTGGGAAGAAAAAGATTGTTGGAACAGAAAGCTGAATCATCGATTGACGGATCGAAATACCTGGTACGTGCTGCCTATAGCTACTGGACATTAGGATACATCTTATCGGCAACTGGCGCACGAAAACTAGTCGAAGCAGAGCCACTGACAAAATTAATACCCGTCGATGAATATCTTCCAACATTATCGGACGCTCATCCTAGGTGAACACATATTTGCTAAATAAAATTCTTTCATGTGCAAATTTCTCAATGTTTTTATTCAAATACAGAAACGACTGGAAAGCGCACTATCCAAAAAGGAATTTAATAATACTCTCTGCTGATCCTCTGTTGATTCATCCAACACATTACACTGGCGAAACTGGCTACATTAGCGATACAGAGAACTCTACGATCGTATTCGATTACGAAAATATAAACAAATCAAACGAACGAGAGGAGCTGTGAGTGCCATATGTACCAGATCTTTTATTTCGTGACATCGTTCACTGCCGATACTCTCAGTCAGAGACGCTATAGGAAATAACATAGACATATGAACGAAAAGAATTTTATACATTTTCTTGTAATTTTTCTATAATTATATATTAATATTATCAACTACCCTAAATAATTCCACTTACTTATGATCTATCTCTCTGCTATAGTTCTATAGTTCTTACTGTTGCTGCCAGATGCCGCATGATTTAGTACTAGTGACGCCATCTGTGGCGAAACGCCCAAGTTTCTAGTGAAAATAGTATCCACCGTTTCTCTAAGATAACGCCACCGATACCTATTAATAAATAATTTTTTATTTTCCATAAATGCATAATTAATAATATTACTTGGCTTATTATGACACTGCAATATATTAGTTTATACGTTAAATTTAACTATTTTATCGACAATTATTTGACTCTAAATAATTATTTATCGACCCTTTAGTTAGCGGTGTCATCTAGCGGAAACAGTGTACACTATTTTCACTGAGAAACTTGGACGTTTTCCCAGCGACGCCGATGGCGCCACCAGTACTGACACTTTCGCAGGATGCAGCCAATTTCCAAACGAGTTTCCATTTTTGACAATCCAAGTGGTGCATCGAAGCGTTTCGCGATTTCGCGCATTGAGGGCACGACTTAATGTATGCTTCTGCTTTATCTCTTGCTATAAGCGAGGTGTGGTTTATCGTGACTGATCTGGACTGATCGAGACCAGCGGAAACTGAATTTTCGAGTTTTGATTACGGTTAAACATTGTTAAAATAAACCAACGACAACGAAAAGAACAGAATGCTCGGCCGTCTTCCAGCGTGTGTAATCGATGTAGGCACGGGGTAAGTATATTTTCAGTTCAAAAATGATTTAATCCCGGCGAAAATAAATAGGCTAGGATGTGACTCATGAGATATGACATTTTGTGCGTCAGATAATAAATATTGGAAGAAATTCAACATTTTTTTATATTACAGATTTTGTTCATGTTCAAATATATAACCGATACACTGTTGTAGTTTTATATTTAACAAAGAATAATAGAATGCTTGTCGAAAATTTCGTAAACATCGATCAAAATATTCAGTTTGCATACGACAGTTGATACGTTAGATTAATCTACAATGAAAGCGTATCTTTATTCTTTATTGGTGCATTTAACGATGCGTATCTTTTCTAATTGAGAAACAGATATTAATTGCTCGTATTTTTATAGTTACACCAAGCTAGGCTTCGCTGGCAATAAGGAGCCCCAACTTATGATACCGTCTGCGATTGCCATTAAAGAAACTGCAAAAGTTGGAGACAGCAATGCTAGAAGAATCACTAAAGGTGTCGAAGATTTAGATGCTTACATCGGGGATGAAGCTTTCGAAGCAACTGGATATTCCATAAAAGTATGTATTTCTAAATCCCTAAAAACTATATAATATTACAATTTTTCTATTGTTAAGCGTTTTGTACTTGTAACAAAACTTGTATTTTTGTTTAGTATCCAGTTAGACACGGACTAGTAGAAGATTGGGATTTAATGGAAAAATTCCTGCAACAATGCATTTTTAAATATCTCAGGGCGGAACCCGAAGATCATTATTTTTTACTTACCGAACCACCATTAAACACCCCCGAAAATCGAGAATACACCGCCGAGATAATGTTTGAATCGTTCAATGTACCGGGTCTTTATATCGCGGTACAAGCTGTATTGGCGATAGCTGCCTCTTGGACAGCTAAAAGCGTGGACGACAGAACATTGACGGGTGTCGTTGTTGATAGTGGGGACGGAGTGACGCATGTAATTCCAGTTGTAAGTATAAAGAAAAAGAAAGAAGCAAAAATGGAAATTTACATAGACCAACATGCTAAGAACTTTTTTTTATATTAGCCAATTCACATTGTCTCCTAGGCAGAAGGTTTTGTCATTGGAAGTTGTATAAAACACATTCCTATCGCTGGACGTGACATTACATACTTTATACAAAGTTTGTTAAGAGAACGCGAAATCGGAATACCACCCGAACAATCGTTAGAAACAGCTAAAGCAATAAAAGAAAAGCATTGTTACATATGTCCAGATATCTCAAAAGAATTCGCTAAATACGACAGCGATCCTACAAAGATAAAAAAGTACGAAGGTATCAACAGTATTACCAAGCAGTCTTTTGTCGTAGACGTTGGATACGAAAGGTTTCTTGGACCAGAGATATTCTTTCATCCCGAAGTAATATATTAATTTATACCTATGAAAAAGTATTTTTATCTTTACATTTAGTCGAGCATTTTATCACATATTTTTCTTCCTTCTTTTGTAGTTCTCTAATCCAGATTTCACGACGCCTCTAAACGAAATCGTGGACGACGTAATACAAAATTGTCCGATAGACGTTAGAAGGCCATTGTATAACAACATTGTATTATCGGGTGGTTCTACGATGTTCAAAGACTTTGGTAGGCGATTACAACGCGATATAAAACGAATCGTCGATGCTCGTCTCAAGCTTAGCGAAACATTAAGTGGAAGTCATATTACGGTAACGTGTATTTAATTATCGGTGGTCAACTATATTATTTACAAGTATATAAAGTCGTAAAAAGATGCGAGTAAAATACGTTCAATTTTATTTTAGCCGAAGCCTATAGACGTTCACGTTATATCTCATCATAAACAACGCTGCGCGGTATGGTATGGCGGTGCTTTATTAGCTGGCGATCCTGAATTTTATACGGTGTGTCACACTAAAAAAGCTTATCAAGAATATGGTCCTGGAATATGTCGTTACAATCCCGTATTTCACAGTATGGTGTAAAATAAATAAAAAGATACAACTGGTATTCAGGAAACATTACATGGACCAATGGTCGAAATTTAACTTGACGTCTTTAAGGTTATCATTCTGTTAATAATTTATCTGACTTTCAATTTTTTCACTTGCGGTGATGCTACATTTAATAAGATAGGCTGAGTGTTTTTACTATCTAATTCTTATCGAAAAGAATTACAAAGAATGCTCGGTATTGTACTAGGAAACGCACACGAACATGTTCTTATGCTCATCGAGTATTACATTATTATGTAAGAGAAGATATTTGCATTTAATAAAGAAACAGGATAGATCGATATAAAGAATAAATGTTCCATTAGCAAAACTGATTAAAAACAATTGATGGGATTATATGTAATACTAAGCGATTGTATAGATCTGTACATAAAATAAGTCTATTGGAAAATAATAATTCTTTTTTAACGAATCACGTTCATAGAATAATTTACATCATCCCGTGTAAAATGTTTCGCTAACAAGATAATTACGAGATAGTATCTATGTATAATTCTTACAATAATACAGTTTATTTATTGTACATATATATCTTTTTCCGTATATACACGTTTTTCAAAAACCGAATAAAACATGATTGTTTCACAAATTCGATACAAATGATAACAATACAAGATCGTATAAATAATTAATGCACAAGTTCATACATACAATCGAGTATACATAGTTTCAAATACATGATAGATGTTATAATTTTACAATGATCGTTATTAAGTGGTACTTGTGTTACCTCGTGTTGATATGAAATTTATATTATCTTCGTAAAAGTTCATATGATCGTTATTATATCTAAAGTAAAATTTGTCTATTTTAATTCAATTTATTACTATACATCGTAACCTGACTGCCTTAAATTTGATCGTTATTATCGTAACTAAAAACATAATGCCATTTGTTACAACAATTACTTTGTTTTACGTCATGTAATTTTAATATTCTATATACTTACAATAAATTTAAACCATCAAGGGCGGCAACTACACCTTCTCCGTTAATATTTGAGAATAAAGAGGAGATAAAAAGAGACAAAAAGTTGGAATTTGTTTGGGTTGTTCTTGCATTTGGTATCGGTCTTTTGTAAATATCAATGCTATCCACTGGTGGTAGAGGATCATGCGAGAGTACAGAGCCATCGTTTTGTACCTACGCAAGTTTTAAAGATAATAAAGGACACGGTACAATTGTACAATGTATCAAAGTATTATATGTGTAAAACTTTACATACCTCTTGAACATTCACAGTAACATCTTTTATATCGGAAAGTATAATATGTCTTAGGATATTCTTTGGCAATTTCCCTTGATAGCGTTTACTTCGCTTTGTTTCGCAATATTTAACATAATCGTCTTTAGAATCGACTCGATTTAACGCAGTATACGCATTTTCACGTAACCACGGTAAAAGGTCTGCTTCTTTCCATAAACGAAAACTGCGTGCCACGTACAGATTTTGTAATTTTTCCAACGCTGGCGACGTCGAAATTACTGCCTTGGTATTAAAGAAATCGTGGCCTTGTACCTAGAATATTATTCCGACTATTAGCCAATCCTTATATTTATATCGAAACTGTCGAGTTTTGTCTGAAAAAGTACAATCAACAACATAATTTGATAATACCTTTTCATCCGTTTGTATGCTACATTTATCCAACAAAGACATCAATACACCTGGAAACATTATTAATGCATTCTGTAAGAGTTGATCGGCAACAGTTCGATTGCCCAAATGGAAATGAGCCAAAGCTAAACTATATGCTATGTTTGGTAGTTGCGTGAGGTTTCTCGCGCCGTCCCAAAAATTGCAGAATTCTATGAACCACTCGTATTCTTTTGCTCTTAAAGCATAGAAATCGAGAGATAGAATTACAGCTAAAGGATCGCCTTCCGGATCAAGCGATAAAAGTAATTTACAAAATTCTAAACTTGTTCTGAAATAAAAAATCTTGTATTAAAATTTGAAGAAATATAAAAGTAGCATAAGAATTGTATCTTTTTTTTTTTTTTTTTTTTTACCTATAACACGCACGTCCGCCTACAAAATTGAGATGCTTGAACAATGTTATAAACAAAGCACGATTTTGTTGCTTTCTATAGTCCAACCTACAGGCAGCAGTTGTTAGATTAAACAGTGGGTGGAAAGCACATTCCAAACAGTAGAGTGCTTTTTCCGTAAATTCTGCAGCTAACGCTAAATTTTCGTTGAGTTCGCAAAGTTCGGCTAATTGTAATAGCGCATCTACGTGATACGAATGGGCATTGATTATATTCTATAAGAAAATACATAGAGCGTAAGTTTCCTTTGTATAATGAACTTTGATTTTCTGACGCGTAAATAAAAACGAAACGTACAACAATGTTTTCCGGATTTAAACTTTCGACTGCTTCTAAGAATTTTAATTGAACCTGTCTATACGAGGGACTATGTTCGTATAAAAAGTATTGTACATTGCTAGCCGATTTTACGTCGTGATCCAAAGACATAGACAGACCAGATTTATTGATCGGCGACCAGTTATCTCTAGCGGAAATTAGCCAGGTCCTTTTCAAGTGACTGGAACGACCCCTATTTCTTCTGTTGCTATTAAAGTTGAACATTTACCATAAGAAATCCAACTATAATTTTTATCGTATCTACTCGTACAACATAGATTTTATTATACATACTTTTGTTCGGCTTGGACCGTTTTACTGCCAAAGATTCTTTTAAGTTCATTGTAAGGGTTTAAATGTTTATGTTGAACCATCAAAATATCTTCTTTAGATTTTTGTTCTATCCATTGTAAATTATTTGTACTCTGAGAACTACAACTTGGAAGCGGTTCACCAAGCAATTTATTCACTTCTCTTACGGATCTTTCGATTTCGTCCACATCCTCGGTCTCTTTAAAGTCGACAACTTGTTGAACTTTGAAACTTTCCAACTTCTTTCGTCTCTTCTTCTTTTTCTTGCGTTTATCTTGGTCCGTATAACTTTCTTCGATAACTTGCTGTTCTTCGTTTTCTTCCTCTCCAATTTCAGAATTTTGATTCAACTAGAGAAAAGGAAAAGAAGTATGACGATAACATCGAAAATAGATTTGAAAAGATAGTCGGGGAATTTATGAGAAAATGTAATAATGTCGCTTAAGCGTTAAAAGATTGCATCGATGAATTGTGCAAGGGAAAGGTGGTACTATTATAAAATTTAAAACGTACTACATCAAATACATTAAATGTCTTAGATTTAACGTCGCCAATTATCGAATTCTCTAAATCACACTCGCTTTCGCTATCTTTTTCGGCTAACGCATCAACTCCGTATACTTTTTTCATATACCGTGTGGACATCTTGAATGAAATTAATTTTTATTCCAATTATTAAAAAAGCATCGTAGATAAGTTTCAAAGCGAGTAACAAACTACACGTTCGATTTGAGAATGACAAGTCTGAAATGTTGACTTGCTTCGATTAACAGGAATTTCACCACTTGTCAATTTTCTGACTCAACCACACAACTGCACACACACAACCAGCTCGACCTTATCGTTATCAGTTATAGTTAGTTATACATGATTACTGAAAAGATGTAGAAGAACGACCCATTGTCAACATTGACTGTGATTGTATTTATCTTGCAATCACAGAACAAACCGAGGTCGCTACAATCGCTTGGAGGTTAGAGAGCTAGAAAAATGGCAGTGACCAATCAGAATCTGTAACATTATTTCGTGACTCTGTATTGAAGGATTGCCAATAATCGGCTGATTTTCAAAGTTGTTTGATTGACATTGACAGCAAGTGAGAAAGTTCGAAACTGACATTCGTGATTTGCGATTGGTGATTCGTGTCGGTTTAGCATTGGTTGGTGTTGGTGGTTGGTCCCTGTACATCCCTGTGCCCTGTGCCACGTGCATTAAACAATAATTAAACGTTTTCAATCTGTCGCGGCACTCGGCAGATGGAACTTTATATTGGTCCGATGTGTAGAGGAGGTGAAGAAATACCTAATCGTTCCTTCGGTTAGATTACTTTAATTTGTTTTTACAGTAAAACATTATGATATTCAGCGAAAGGTGACGCGACGACAAACTACAGAGAACGTGGCAAGTCAGAATTTTATTTGATCGTTAAATTGTTTCGTCATGAAAATGAAATCAAATTCAAAAAATATTAAAGACAGACTGAAAGATGAAACGCTGGATCTCAGTTTGTGCGACCTGAAAGAAGTGCCTGTTCGAGAAATCGTACGTTTAATCTGCCGAATTTGTTATACAACAAATCTATGATAATATATAACAATATGTATTATTTTTCAGGCAGCTGTTAAGAAGGCGACACATTTAGATTTATCGAATAATCTGTTAGTTTCTTTGCCTGTGAGTTTCCCTGAACGTTGTTTCTATACTTGCAGCAATGACTCTCGACTAAAGATAATTTCTTTCAGAATACTTTTGTCAGCCTTAAGCAAATAGTTAAGTTAGATCTTAGTAAAAACATGTTGACAGAAATTCCGGAAAATTTTGGAGAATTGAGGCAGTTGAGGCATTTGGATCTTTACGCGAATCAGGTAAATTGGAAACAATTTGTTCGGGGTAGGTTGGAATCTGGTCGCAAGTACTAGGAACATAATTATGTTACAGATAAGCAGGCTACCGCTAAGTTTAAGCGAGTTAAAGAACTTGAGATGGTTAGATTTAAAGGAGAATCCTTTAACTCCCGCAGTATCCAGCGTCGCGGGTCCATGCAGCAACCTAAGCGAATGTCAAGCTTGCGCTCGTAACATCGTTACTTATTTGTCCCGTGTAAAGGTTACCATCGAAGAAGAAAGATTACGAAGATTGAATGCCGTTACGAGTAATATTTATAAAAGAAAAAGCAGAAATTTAAAAATATCGGACGCGCTCTTTATGTTAATAACCGTTTTCTTTCCTTAGATGCTGAAACCGATTTGAACGCCGTAGCAAAAAAGGGTGGTAAAAAGAAAAAGAAGAAATCGGTCGAAAAGGATAATAAACAGGACATGGATAAGAATGGATGTTGCTTAGTAAGCGAGGAACTAAAAGTCGGTGGAAAGCAAGTAGAAGTTGAGACGTTGGGAAAAAAAGATAAATACGTTAATAAGAAATACGCGTCGAAAGGTAATACGATGCAAACGAATCACGCTCGATAAGTTTTCTATGATATTTTTGTTGCATTAATTAATACGAGATTTATAATGTGTTTCAGGCAATGGGTGTCAGTCACTTTTGTCCACGTTTGTATGGCTCCTACTTATCGGCTTAATATTTACGTTATCGATCGTAATTCTTCCAATGTATTCGGAACAGTCGGAGTTGTTTGTAAAGTACATAGAAAAGAGCACGGGTGTACCTTTGAAAGCATTTCAGAAGCAGAGTATCGATACTCTTCGATCCTCCGTACGGATCGGAACCACGTGGACCAGACAGATGTACGATAATTTTTACGACGTCTACGAAAAAAATTTTAGAAGAAATAGAAATGTCCCAGACAGCGACTAATTGTCCAAGTATGTAACAGCAAAGTTACGATGGAATTTTACGCAACCGTTTCGTACCATGTAACTCTCGCTCGCAAATAAACGTTGTCCGCGTTAAAAGTTCGATACGAATATTCCAAGTGTAATAATAAACAGAATGTTGTTTATTATCGATTCACTGACATATAGCGTGTTATCGCGTAATTTGAGGCGCGTAATTTATTTTGCAAAGTAAAAAATTGTTACAAACGTGAATGATTTTGATGCAATAGAAACGTTGGCATCGAAATAACTAGTCTACCATCTTTGGTCTGTAAATATTGATCCGATCGATAAAAGAAAAGGTATCGATCGTTCCCTTTGATATCATGCATTGTTGGTCACGTTTGTTTTATTCAGTATGACCGATGACGTTGTTTTCACGGATGATTTACCGAGAGAGTTTTCCATTTTACTGATTAACTTTTGAAAGGTATTCATTCGCATCACGCCATGGTGGTCGTTGCGATCGTCCGAGTCTTCGGTGCCGCTCGAAATTCGACTATTTCTATCGAAACCCATAGGATCTGGAATTTTGGACTTTTTCCCATTGACGAATCGATTCCACGATCTCTTCTCGAAACTAATCTGCGTGTTGGTTGCGTGTTGGTTGTCTTTTTTAGCAAGACATTCCTTTTGGCGTGCTGTGAAATCTGCAAGTATAGCGATATCGTCGTACAGTTGTTCCTGTTGATCGACGAGAGGATACTTGCGATGACTCGATTCGGTGCGTGGTGTTTGATAGTGTTGGTTGTCTTGGAGCGATTGCCGAGGGTTATCGATGTTTTCGCGCGATACAAAGTTATCGATTTCTGGACGAACGTGATTCAGCTGTTTCGGAATTCGCTGGAAATCCATGTAAACGTGTTGAAAGATTTACAATTAAAATATAAAGCCTCGATTAGTATTAAGTTTAACTTAAAATTAACCGTTTGGCCATAATCAAAGAATTAATTGAAACGGTTTTCTTACCTGATCCGATTGACACGTTTCTTCGTTCGTATAGTTTCCGCGACACGTGACAACGTCGTCATAAAATTCTTGGTTATCGGCTGCATCGACGGTTAAAGGCGGTGGCTTTGCGCAAACTGGTCTAGGCGGAGGCGGACTGGTATACTCTGATTCGTCTTCGAAATTTCGCTTAGCTTTCTGATCGTTCATTAAATCGGATATGTCGTCGTAAGTTGGTAGTTGTTGAATGTTTGCCGGTGGTGGCGGCGTCGTAATTTTACGTTTCTGTTTTTTATCATTTTTCCGCGGTGATTCCTTTTTCTTTCTCACTTTGTCTAGAAAAGATTTCTTAAGCGGCGACTTTGTCGGCTCCTCTGTTACTTCCGTTGGTCGAATATTGCTCGATGTTGCGTTTGGAAGGAAATTCTGTACGCGCGGGTAAACATTATGAATTTCTGAAATGCACCTTTTAATACCTTCTAATAGAGCAGGGTTCGGCAAATCACGACGATATAATTAACGATATAATTGGATGTTGAGCTTTTAAAGTTTGCCGACCACTGATTTAATTGTAAGCCATGCATAAGTCACCTACCTCGATATCGTCGTAAGACTCTGATTGATCTTGTTGGTCGAGACGTGCGTGTGCGAGGGTGTCCTTCGACGAGGTGGCCGCTGGCGCGGCATCGTCGTAGGTTGCTTCGTTCTCTAACCGATCGGATCGTCTTGTAGCGGATTCGAGATGCTTTTTCTTCTTCGCTTTCTTTGGCTTTTCTTCGGACTTGGATTCATCTTTGCTCGCGAACACGTCGTCGTAGGTTGCGAGTTTGTTTGATCGTTTATCGTTTAGTCTAATTTCGGAAACGTTACCAACGTTGCCGTAGCAATGTCCGGTATCCCTGAAATCTTCGATCTTGTGATAGATATCGTCTTCTTCTTCGTCGGGGAGTCTATAAGTCGACGACGAAGCACGGACCGGTAGGGATGGCAATCTTCGAGGGATTCGAGCTGGCAAAGGAGGAGCAGGAGCAGGAGTAGAAAGAATCGAAGAATTCGCGACTTGTACGAGAGCGTCTTTCGAAGAAGAGGCTTGTCCGTGTTGGTTGGTAACGCTAGAAACTATCGAAGGATTATTGACCGGCAGCTTATCGATGCCCAAAGATTCTACGTCTTGATATCTTTCTTCGTTAGAATTGGAATGTTGCCGGGGTAACTTTTCGAACCTTTCCTCCGACTGCGAGGTATTGGTTTCAACGGGTGTGCTGGCGACCAGGGAATTCGTAAACTCTTTGTTCTCGTTTCTCTCTCCTTGGCTCAATTCGGAAATTTTCGCTACCCATTGTTCCATGTCATTTGGCGTCCTTGCGATAAACTGAAACGCCGTTCGTTAAAAAAAAAATGACAGACACTGTTACTGTATATATATATATATATATACATATAAAGAAAAAGGAAGAAATTATGGTCGTTTACTTGAAAAGTTTTATTGCCTGGGCAAAAGATTTCGAACGTAGACTCGCTTTTCCGTTGATCTCGAGGAATCGCATTCGGAGCAGCTCGAGCCATGTAACCGCGAATCGGTAGAATCATCCACGGACGATTGTCGTGATCGTTTCCGTAAATCAACAAATGTAGTCCCAGCAAGCCTTAAAAAAAAAAAAAAATTTACTCAACTTAAAGTTTAACTTAAAAGTTTAACTTAAAGGTTAATTCGCGATTACCACTTACCGACCCAACACGCTCGATATTGTTCGAAAACAAACAGCTTCTTGCCTTCCTTTCTGTAAAGGGGACCGCACATGAGACACTGGTTTTTCGCTTGGGCTGCCGAAAAGTTGGAATAAATGTCCATTAGCGTGGTTTCGATTTGCTGGTGTTTGCTCGAAAGACGAAAAAGATCGGTCGTAGCGTTCGTCGACTCGATCGGTTCGAAGGTCTCGTAATAATCGTGTTGCGGTTGGTTTTGCGGTTGGTGTTGTTCGGCGGGCACGTACTCCTCGAGTTCGGGTTCCGTTTTCGTCGTCGCCACTAAACCTTTCGGTCCAGCCGCGTTCATGTTCAAGTACTGATTCGGATCCGGAGAACTTGGTCTTTCGACCATTCTCTCCACCATGAGCATCGTCATGGTATCCTTGGACCGCATCAGTAGACTATCGCGAATACTCTCCAAGTTGACGGGAAGCTTCACTTCTCGCAACCACTCCAAAAATTGCACCACATCTACAAACATACAACACGCACGGGTTAGTTGGTCCTCCTTTCTCAATCGGATCGGAGATCGAAACGCAAACGTCTCGCGCGTTTCTTTTCCCGCGGTAATTACTTTGGTTACGGAACGAACCGATTCGTAATTCGTATCGTATTTTTTTCTTATCTACGAAAATAAATGCGAATCGGATCGGCACTTACCCCGAAGTATGTCGGCAAGTTCGCGGTCGAATCCCATGTTTGCGTTTCCCGTTCGATTTCCTTTGGATGTCCGTGCTCGGGCCTAAGGACTATGTACATTTGTTCGGAAAAGCGGTAGTTGTAACTCGAACGACGCAACAGCTTCGGCCGTCGGAAATTGTCATTGTCTAGAGTCTAGAGTCTAGAGTGACGATCGACAGGATGCGATGGTAGATAAAAATACTTCCTACGTACGACAAGATAATAAACGTGAGAGATAGAAAATGAATAAGTGATTTGAGAAATCGATGCCGCGCCCATTTTCATTCGACAAGATCGATAGAGAAGGTGGCGTGGAAACGTCATCGATCGATATTTCTTTGCTCTTTGCTTTGAATTTCTTTCAAGGTTTCTTTATGACGCGGCGCGAGCGCATAAGCGCGGCCTAACGAATTCTTGTCGTCAGAAACGCGTTCACTCGTACATTCGAAGAATCGTTAGTCTTGGCTGAACAAGTATCAAACAATTTTCACGATTACGTATTTGGAAATCCTACCTCGCGGTACTCTTGATTTTTCAAACAACACTGAAACAACCCGTAACGATGTTTCGATGTTATCCAGTTGAGCTTCAATGAGCGACAATGCACGTGGGAGAAGCAGACGGCGGCGACCGACTCCCGCAAAGATTGTTGCCGTCACCGTCCCAGTCCATCCTCTTTGGAATCGTTCGTGCCTCGCTTTCTTTCTCCTTGTTCCTACGAACCTCTGATTCACTCTTTTCAACCATTCCCTCCTGCCCTAATCTCCCTTCCTCGTCACGTCCGCGGCATCTTGCTCGAGCGCGACACCAACCGACGTTTTAATTGATCATTCCAATTGACGGAGTAAGAAACGACCGAGTAACAAACAGCTAACCGCATTCCATATACATACATGTACGTAGCAGTCCGTCGACCGTTTGCTCTTCAAACAATGAAATTCCCCTCTGAAAGTTGGTTTAAACAACTACAAGAAACGATCAAACTATCCACGTTTACATTAATATTTTATTTGATTTAGGAATAAAGAATTCCGGGATTCTTGAGGACGAGTCAAGGATCCGACGGCTGTTGATAAAAGTGATGGCAGGCCGAAGAAATCCGTCGAGCTGTGGCGGTTTTTAGCTGGCGACGATCGCGGTAAGAAGCAAGTCGTGCATGTTCGATGAAACCGCGTACGCGTACGCGTTCGCGTAGGCCTGGCCGAACGAGTCGCGACGCCGACGCCGACGTCAATGTTCTTCTCGATACCGGGCACCATTCAGCAGCACCAGGCTTCGAGTATCGGTCAACGTATTCTTTCTCGGAATCCTCGATCTTGTTCTCCAGTGGGATACGTCGTAGTGCTCGAGCCAGAATCGGTGATCTCAGAATCGTACTCGACGCGTTAGCGTATTTTAGTTGGCGTCTACTTTGATTCGCGTTCGTAAAGTTTATCGGTTATCGATACTAATTTCATCGTTCGCAACACACAACCGTCATTTCGAAAAGAAACAAGCTGGTGCAGCAATAGTAAGAAAATATTGAAAGAATATCGGGAAACGATTACCCTGTCGGACGTTCGACGCTGAGCGTGCTAGACAGCATCGGCGAGACTTGTTCTTGCAGCGCTAACGTTCGTTGATCGGACGCGTCTACTTTGGACCGAGCCGAACAGATATTTGTACGATACAACGAGTAGATCGCTCGCAACTCCTGCTTTAACGTAATCGGCGAAAGAGTCATATCGCGTGACGTACGATCGATACAAAATAATTACCTGCCTTTTTCTGCGACGATTTCGCGCCAACAGGTGCACTCAAACGATTCACGCTCTCCAGTTGGTCTTTCCAGTTACGAGAATATCCGTATCCGTTGGCGCGGAAACTGTGCGATGCCTACGAGCGTACGTGATTAGTATCCAGAGACTGGGGTATTTTATTCGCAACGATTCAAATTGCGATCCTTGGCAAACAAATAACGCGCGAGCGTTTTCGAAATCGTTGCGCGAATAAGATTTGTTCCCCCATCTCTGTCAACAACGTACCGGTAAAGGAAAACAAGAAAAATATGCAAAAAAAAAAAAAAAATACGCGTTACGCGCGTCTTTTGAATGGATTTTTGATGGAATCCCGAGTCCGAAAGCTTCCGGTCGCGACTGTTGAACGATTATCGAATATCAATGGAAGGCGAGGAGTCACGATATTCCATGGATACGGAAGTTTAGACGTTCCCGAATCTCCATCCGTCGATCGATATCCGAAAGACGACGACGCGTCGGAGTCTGTTCGGCACCGACCACGATAACGTTCGTTCCATTTCCTTCTTTCGCGTACCTCTGCTCGAATACTTGACCCGCAAGCCTGGCGTCTCTGATGCCGCGGACATAGCGAATTTTCGTTCGAGGTTCTCGTCAACGAAGAGTGCGTGGGCGCCATTATTCGTTCGATTTCGATCTGCGAGAGAAACAGAGAAGACACGCGGAGAAATATGCGCGAGTAATGCGCCGAAGGAAATCTCTGCGATTCCAGATCAAAACGTGACTAGATATGAGATAAAGTATCAAGAGAAACCTTGCAGCGTTTCGGTGTTTTGCGAGGATCGATCAACGAGTTTCGTCGAGAAGAAGGATCGAGTGGGACCGGTTCGCGTTTCGTCTCTCGTCGTTGCTTGGGATCGCCAAACAATCCTTTGGATTCCGCCACCTTGATCATAAACAACGAGTCGAACTGCATCATTTCCTTTCTTTTTATTACAGCGAGAAAGCATCCTGGATCGAGCATGTGGCTGACGTTCTCTCCGTAGATATCGTCGATGCTGCCCACCTCGAAAAGATCGCTGTCCGGAACCTATGATTTCGTAGAAAATGCTACTTTCCGACGGCTAACGCGAAACCCGGAATCTTTGAATTACTATATGTATATGTACGCGAAAGAGCTTACGTTAACGTTTGTGGAAATAGTTGATATTCCGTCATCCTTGACCGATTCTTCACTTTTCTCCGGTTTGCTCGATTTCGACGATTCTTTTCCTTCCTTCGGCGCCTTCTTTTTCAACTGTGAACCGTAAATGATCGTAATTAATCGGAACGCCGACGAATCGAATCGAATCGAAACGAATAACCGAATAATCTTACCGTATGATCGCGGACGTACTTCTCCGCGGCTATTCGATTTACGTAATCGACCACATGCCGAATCATCTCTGTCGTTTCCGAGGGGAAAACCGTGTGCGCTTCGTATATCAGGAACTGAACGTTCGGTCTGGTTAAAGCATACTTGAGCGTGGACATTTGATCGGCCAACAGAGCTCGCGGCTGCTCGATATTGCGTTCGTCCTGGTCGTCCTCGGCGACGCAGACGTTTGTCAACGATTCGAGGAGATCCGTGTCTCCTCCGCGAGCAACGGCAAGATCAACGATATCTTTGACACCGGTATAACTAGACGGCGGTATCGCCAAAACTACGGTAGCTCTCTCTAACTCGGCCGTCACGGTATGCGACGCGTATCTGATAAAACGGACATTTTCGGTAATGTAGATTTTTAACCAGTGCGCGTCGCGCGTTTACTTGGCAAGGGGATCGTACTTGTCGGAAAATACGCGACATCGTTGCAACGTCACGCCGAGATCTCTCAGATACGTCTCGTACTCGCAGAGACGTTCGCCAGCACCAAAAGCCAACAGTCTGCCGGCGTCCTCGATGTCTCCCAACAGCTCCGCCAGGTATCCGGTGTGCCGCGGCGCCAGGCAGTGGGTTAAAACTATCGGTCCGCAAAAACGGCCGACTCGAATCGCCCGTGCCAATGCCGCTGCACCCAGACATAACGATCTTTCCTACTCGATCGAACGCGCGCGCGCGCCAATGAAATAACCAGTATCGTAACTTGTTATCTGATTGTCGGCTTAACAAACTCTATGCGTATATCGAACCATCTATCTATTCGTCTACTCGCGTCGTTATTCTTTGTCAATGATCGCTAATCATTTCGCGACTACTTACTAGAAATACGAAACGATGCTCGCGAACGAGACTAGAGACGGCCAATATTTCTCTGGCATTTTCGTGCAAGTTAATCATTTTAGGACAAATGGCATCAAACACGTAACCGGTATCCTCGAGCTCCGTTGCCTCTCCATTCTCGGAGTGGACCAACTTCAGTTTCGACATCTCTTCCAGGAACTGTTGCTTGCTAGCGATCTTGTTACCGTTGATCCATCCAGAAGCGATCGCGGCTTCCTCGCCCCAAGCGACACCTTCGATGATACGCAAACGAGACGGCAACAGCTCATCTTTGCGTTTTAGAGCATCACGTCCGTCCCCGCGACGATGGAATTTGGACAGATTACACATATTATCGTTACTAGTTAGTTGCTGTCGCGTCGATACCACGCTCGATAAACGATAAGTAACGATATTTCACTACTTATTTTCTACCGCGTGTATTCTGCACGATCGATTCGATCCGATTGAAAGCGTTTCAAAGCGAAAAGTATTCACCGAGACTGAGAGCCGAGCCACGGATTCGTAGGCGCGAAATACTCGCGGCAAGATGAGTTTTCACCTTCAAAAGTGCCTGTTCGATACTCGTCAATCCTGCAGCCTGTGAACGAAATTCAATCGTTTCATCTTCCTTCTTCCTCGATATAAACAGAAACAAAAACGTTCCAGTTACCTCGAACATTTTCTCGCGTTCTTCGACGGCGGTAACTTCGCCTCGTCTCGCAAACTTTCTTCCTTGCATATCGTACAACAGCAACCAAACGATCCGCTCTCGATCCTTGAGGGTGTCGTTGCGACTCCAAAATTGTACCTCCTTCAGGGCACGGCTGAAAATTTTCTTGTCTAACAATCGGAATAAAAGAAAAGAAATGAAAAGAAAAGAAACGTTAAGGAGAATTGAAAGGACGCGACGGTAACGGTTCGACCGTAGGAACGGCAGCTTACATCTAAGCACGTCGTAAACGAGACCAAACACTCGACGCATCTCAGCCTCGTCCGAATAGGCGGGTCCAGTCGAATCCCTTTGAAGAACTTTGGCAGCCAACAGGATGTCGTTGACTCGCCAACCTGGCTGAACGCAGGCTTCCGTCATCGAACCGGCGATACCGCAAACGTTCACCACCGATTCCCTCGATTCTTTGCTGTCACTTCTCGTTTTCACCTTCAAAGGATACTCGCGGATCTCTGGCTCCCATTCCCAGATGCTCCTTTGCTCTTCTTCCACCTTCGAATCCGCCGTCGTTATCCGCTCCATTTCATTTTTTCGGTATTCCATTTCTAGCCCAGTCTCGCCGGCCCTTCGATTTTACGGCTTCTTAACTTTCGGATCGGATCGTTACGATTCAACGAATTAATCCGAATTACGTTATATTTAAAGTAAGTAACTACAAGACTATATATGTATACCGATTTTCACATTGAGAATACGAGAAAAATCACCTTTTCATCGCGAGTTCTGCATCGCATTCTCTTTGCAACTCGACCAATCTATAGTAGACTCGATGCCGCCAGTCTTCGTTGCTCGGCAAAATCAAGTCGTCGTCCTCGGCTTCTTCGTTCAGTTTCTCGTCGCGAAGTTGGCTGTAAATCGATATCCATCTCGCTAAAACTATACGGAAAATCTTGGCGTATTTCCCGAATGTTCTTCTATTTCGAAAGCTGCCGTATCTCGGAATTTCCGACGAATTTTCCAAACTCGTCTCCTCTTGTTCGCAACCGATGCGTCCTGTCGCCATTTCTCCGATTTTTCTTCCTCCTTTCTAGATTTTTCTCTCACCGAATCTTTAAACTACATAAAAGTATCCAAATTTTTTCTATATCATAGGTAAAAATAGGAGGTGTGCATATACATATGTATACATGTATGTGCACAAGGTGCGAAAACAAACTAACGGCTCAAACCGATGTCTCGAAGGGAATTTCATTTCATGTATATGATAATACAGAAATCGAATCAACTTTTTCCCTATCTTCTCTAATACAGATTCGTAAACGTGTACTAGCCTTGTTAAATTTCTGGTTGGACCACCGATCGTGTCAGCACGCCTATCCGACGAGTGTAGTAACCACGCCAAGTATCGATGCTGATCAGACTCCGACTCCGACTCTGACTCTCTCTCTCTCTCGAGGACTAGGCGACTCTTTCGTTTGCGAGGGCTCGAGAAACGAAAGAAACTGGTAGCTTACTACCTTGCTACGGCTAGATTATGTCGCAACATCGCGTGTTCCGGCATCGTGTTCCACGAAATCGCGAGTAACCATCTGTGCGACGGTTTGCATTCTGCAACCATCTATCCCTCACGGTAGACGATAGGTAGGCCGATCGTCGACCCTCTAGGCGATTTTTCTCAACCCGGTTCGTGTCTCCTTCGTGCCTCGTTCCATTTATCCATCGCGTTCTGTGCCGTGGATGGGCAAAACATCGCTTATCATAGCCGTGACGATAAATCTCGGAATACCGCATGAATCGTCACGAAATTTCACGAGCGTTAACAGTCATCGATAATCTATGCATGCATGTACATACATGCATTTACTATTGCGTTATTCGGCTCGTGTTACGTTTCCCTTTCAATCTCCATTTTCAACAAAAAAAACTAATCGATTCAACGACAAATGTACGTGACCCATGTCGTTTCTTGTTTGCTCGCATGCTTCGATTACATCGATGCAAAGTAACAAAGAGGAATTCACTATCGAATTCGTTTCCAACGGTTGTACGATCGAGGTCACCGAACCTCCTATAGGATTCCGTTGATCGACGCATCGTTCTTGCCCGCTACGCTTTCTTCCATATTTTTACCGCTATCAAGCCATTTTCGATAAATAATTTAAACCGTAATCGTCCTATTAGAAATATGAAAGAATCGATGAAAAGATCCAACGAGATACATATGTTACGTAACGTATACCTTCGGTCTCTATTATTGATCTCTGTTGCGCGATACAAATCGCAACACGACGTCTATATTTTTGCACTAGCAAAAACTTCCAGAGACACGGAATGGAACCTAGTAAAACAATATCAACCAAATTACCAAGCACCCTGTAATTGGCCATGTTCCAACAACGGGAAAAGAATGTTTTATGAAATCCAACGTAATCATTCGTGCCGCTCTCCGGGATGTACGTTGCACCGATTACGAACAAATACTATTGAAAACAATTTCAAAATGTAAACGATATATTTCTTTCACTTATAAAACTTGACTTATATTGTTAAAAGAATAACGACATATTTGCTGTTATTCGATATAGAAAATACTCTTTGATTAGTAAATTGGTAATATCGTTGATGATAATAATAATAAATAATAATAATAACGTTAGGTTTTCGTCTCTTATTAAATTCATTCGTCAACGAAATGTTTTTCTTCTCATTGTCAGTTCATGCCCTTGTACTTGGTGAACAAATTATACAACACTCGAAGAGTCGACTTGAGGTCCAAATTCACGATATCTGCAAATAGAATAAAGTTAAATTTACCAACGAATATTTACTTTCGGCGAGTAACTCGACAACTAACCTTCGGACCGGGCTTTGGGTTTCGGCAACCCGATATCCTGCATAATGTCAAATGCGAATGAAACGTTGTGCACTTTTTGATCGTGTGTTTTAGGCGTCAAATGGAAGCTACCTAGCGGTACGAAAAATCCCTCCAGGAGACCAAGTAACAGCGTCAGAAACACACCGTCGTGAAATTGCGTATCCAAATCTGTTACCTCCAAGTGCACTTTATTTAAATGCTTGTTAACGAAGGTAATCAACGACTACGAAACAAAAGGACATAAAAAGTTGTACGTTCGTTTAACCGACTCGAGCATCGTACATCGTGTAGAAACATACTTTTTTAACCACGGCTAGCTTATCGGACGGATGGTCGAAAAGATCGTCGAAAGCATCGCGTTCGCATCGCATTCCTAAATCGTCGTACGTCGATGTAATTTCTTCTCTAACCGTTCTGTGTATCAGTTGACCATCCTTTTTACGTACGATGACAACTTGAACGGCCACTCTCTCCGGTAATCTTACGGGGGCGCGAAATTGTCTCGCTAATCCAACCAATAAATGTAGAATAGCGACGATATTCTTCGAATGCACCGCTTCGACGCTCCATTTATAAGGCGGGTATACATGCAATACACGATTAGCCGTCGATAAAACAACAGACAACTTTTGCTTCTGACCTTCCTCCGATTGAGTCACTTCGGGTACATCTAACTTTTCTCCTGTCAATTTTTCTACAAATTAACAAGCTACAAGTATTACTACAAGTATATTACGCGATCAAAATGATTCTCTTCAGCTCTAAACATCAAACATATACCTAACAGCTTTTGCAACACCTGTCCATCGTAGAGATCTTCCGCGATATCTTTCACGATGATACGCTGATCAGCTAATTCATCGTTGATCCATTCGATCAAGACGAATTCAAGTTCTTTGAGCTTAGAATCCTCCGAAGATCTAGGCTCTATCATGGAACGTTCTTCGTTTTCATCTAACGTGTATTCCTCTGGTGGCATTTCAGGATTAGCCGCATATCCTGGGGAGTCGATTGCATATTTCCCTTCCTCTTGCACTTCTTGCACTATAAATAAGTATAACGCAAATTCATAGGTGATTATATAAAAAATAGTTGAACATGAATTATTACATGTTGACTCGTATTAGTACGATTTCGTGATTAGTTGATTGATTTGCAAAACAAATATTGAAAAACAAACGACTCGCACCATATATGGATCATGGACATGGAAGCGTCGTGCGTGTGCGTGTTCCGTAGTATAGAAAGCAACTGGATAGTAAGGAAGGTTACCTTAGCGATCTTACACTAAATGCAATCGGATACCTTCTTTAATTCGTTTTTTCCTGCCCAAAGTTCCAATTTTATCCCAAAAACTCTCTTCTTTGTCATCTTTCTTTGCAGATATAGGTGGTCGTGGAGATTTTGGTCGCGGAGACGCCATTATTCGTAACTCCACACAACTCTACGCTCTACATCTATTTACACAGCAGAGTCATCACATCGACATCGCTCGTACCGACCGACCGACCGACCGACCGTAATCTACTGATTCACAGAAAACGTCATCGCTCGAAATAAAAACTTACGTTCTTTTCTATGCCGTACGCGATACTTGCATCACGGATTTTCTACTTTTTCAAAATTTATAATATTAAAACTGACATTTTAATGTATAATAAATAATGATGGTAATCTATACTAAAGTAACAAACAACACGGTAATCTAATCAATTTGATAAAAACACCTGTAAAACAACCAAGGAAAACATCCCGAAAATATAAAAATACGACGAGTAGGACAACTTCCTCTTCATCTGCGATACCGCGGTAGTTAGTTCATCCGATAATTAGCCCCATTATTACTTTTAATCGAGTAAAAAGTAATTTTAAGAAATTCTGGTAAATTCCTTGCATGTATTTTTATACGTATAACACTGAAAACTTATAATATCTGATGTATGTATTTAATTTACATTCTCGTTGAAACTGAGATTTAACACATTTTTAACAGCTTGTTTATACTTGTTGATCGAAAAATGATCTTCTCCGTTGTTAATTAGATCTGAAACCGCGGACTTGTATTCTGTTCCATGCGGTATATCGTTGTAATTACAATCGATCGAGGGATTTGGCCAGCTGTACATAGACACTAAACTGTCTCGACTCTTGTTTTTATCCCAATCGTAGTATTCCATATCTACTTCAGATTTTTCAGCTTCCCATGGTTCGACGCGCTAAAATGATACGTAGCATTGTTATACAAATGTCGATGTATTATTTCATTTCGTTTATAAAGAATATACAAAAAATACGATACAAACTTACCCAAGATACGTGAAACAAAGCTGTGAGAAGATAATTCACGTAATCCAAATTCTGTTTCTTAGTTGGACATTTGTCGGCGGTTATCGTTATTATTCCTGTTTTGGGATTATATCTGTCGCCCACTAATCTAAGCAGTTTGTCTTTAGCATGGGCGTCCAAGTGTAAGGACGATAATCTTACTCTTAAATTTACTATCCTAGCAAGGGGTTCCCTTATCGTAGGAGAAGAATAACAATAGTCCGAAGTGATTATTTCGATAGGAAAGTGTTTTTCGCATGCTTCATCTGTTTCTAAACCTATTGGCCATTTAGTACAGAATTTTTTTATTGCTTCGCAGTGTGCTTTAACTGCAGGAGGTGTAAGATGTAAAAAGTTTGGAATTTTCATGAGTTCTGTATTTGCATGTTTATTTGGATGTGGATTTTTATTATGTTTATACCCTTGTCGCAGTGGCAGAGGTACTGTATCGGGATGAAATGTACGCGCGGTAGGCCAGATCGCTTGCCAATTTTGATCGGTTGGCATTCTGTCGGCTCTGGGTGTGGATTTAACAGCTATAGGTTGTCGTTTGATTCTTTTAACATTTCTACTACTGTTTGGTACTAATTCCAATACTCGAAATTCTACGAATGAAAATAAAAATAATATTATATTCATAAGTAGAAAGATGAATTTATAGAAGAAGAATCTAATGTAGGAGTTTAATGAAAATTACCTTCGGTATTACTAATATTTGTCGATATATAAAATGATGAATTTTTCGTGATTTTTGAAGTTGCTTGAATAACGGCTTCGTAATGTCGTATTAACGTTATCATTTTAATAGTTGAATTAATGTATCGATCTCGACGGTAACCTCAAATCAACCCCTGTATCGTAAATAATTGCTCGGCTCAGTTCCGTGCGTTCCTCCACGTTCCTCCACGTTCCTCCACGTTCCTCTCCAATTTCATTCTCCACTGTGTTCAGTGTTCTGTATAGTATCGTGTATACATGTAACTATAATACAGTCCAAGATTGACACTAACCACCTGATGATAAAGTAGTTTTGTTTTCTTTTTAAACTATGATAGCTGTATCCAACATGTTACAATTATTGCGATTATATGAATAAAAATATAATTTATAAAATACGCTTTATGATATAAAAAAATAGTAATGTCAGCTTATATTAAAACATCTTACACTTCATGTAATTGTAAATATAATATTTAATCAGTTCTCTGCACATTTTATTCGCATATATATATAAATAAACTTATATCTAAATATTTTATTTTTATTACGCTACTATGGTACTCCAGACGAAGACGGGGTTGGAACAATTCTGAAAAAATAAGCGATATTCGATCATCCGAAGAAGAAAAATAAATCTCGGGATTTTAACTACGTCAACGTTTGAAGGACAATACGTTTTACAATGTCACAGAAATATTTTCTTCCTTGAAAGAATTTTACAGTTCCATATAATCGGTCTACTGTTATCGTTCTTTATTTTGCGATATAAACACATCTAACATAAACAGATATACATATTAATTTCTATACTTTTTTCAATTGCATACTTACTTCTTTTTTACATTTGACTTTTGATACGGATGCGTGGTCATCAATCCACGCCTTTCTTTCTCTCTTACCAGTTTTAGTACTCCATCTGTCGTATTCATATCAACGTTATTCTTTTTAACTTTATCTACTTTTAATTTATTCAATATCTCGATACTTTTTGCACTCATTCCTATATGTGGCTTTTGGACATGAATATTTTCCTTTGCCTTCATTCCCGTCCTAACCAGCGAAATCTTGTACGTCGGGGATATCTTTCTTGGTTGTTTTATAGGCGTTTTCGCCAAATTTATGCAATTCTTGTCGGACAGAACTCGCTTTTTGGTCTTTTGAGGCATACAAATTACATCGTTACGTTCTTCATTATTTTCCCCGTATTCTGTACCTTTGTCGATATTCATGTTTGAATCTCCTAACAATGTAATAGTTGAATTATGCGTTTCGGGAATATTCTCCGATGCGTTAAATGTTGCATTTAAACCATCATTGTTACAATTATTTTGATTCTCGTTAGCCGAAGAACACAATGAATATAACGGTACGTTGCTCTTGAGCGGTTCTATCAAATGGGATACGCTTAAACAGGTCAAATTGTAGAAGTGTTCTTGGTCGTTGATCGTTTCCATGTCCGACCATTTAATGTTTCTTACTCCTTCCAATAATTTAATTAATTGTTTAAATTCTTCTTTCATTGTGTCCGTCATTGTCCCGTAGCCGCTCATCATGTTATAATAATTTTGCAGAGTTGCGCTCATCACTTTAATAATCGAATAATGCGACTGCATTTCGCATTGCTGAAGATTGCTCACTTTCTTTGCGTGTTCATACTGCTGCTGCAATCTAGTCTGTTCTATTTCGGATGATCTTAACGCGATTAAATCATCTAGGTTTTCAAGTTTCTTCGACTTTATTTCTGCGCTCAGTTTCTGTAATTCTGTTTCTATCGAACACAATTCTTCCCATACTGCCTCCATTTGTACTTTCAAAGAATCTCGTTGTCGTTCAAAGTAATGCATAGATTTATTAATACGCGATTTACCGCTAGCGTTTTGTTCTTCGGAAGTTAAGACGTTTACAGCTGTTGTCAAATTGTGTAATCTTTCGTCTGCTGCTTTTTTGTATTGAATTCTAAAGCACAATATTTTGTAAGCGCTTTCCAAAGAGAGAATCTTTTCATTCAGAACCTTCTTTTTTTGCAGTAGATCGATCAATGCGTTCTTAACTGTTGACCTGTATTTGTTTTTCTCGTCATCGATCTTAATACTTCCAATAGACGATAATATACGTGGTGACCCATTTTCCACTGCCGATAACTTTTGTTTCAGGTAGTTTATCTCCTTCTTTTGTTCTTCCACCATTTTTATATATGCTGTTACATGCATTTCGCAAGACATAATGTTTTTCTTTATATTGGACTTAATTTTCTTTGCTCTGTTCGCATATCTTAAGGTGTTGTAGGTATCTTCGTAACTTAAACTAGTAGGCGCTATATTTGCAATCATAACCGTTCGACAATTTCCACCTAACGAATCTTTCAATAGTCGCGTCAATTTGGAATCTCTATACGTTATATGTTTTGCACCGTCGGCCAAATTATTGATACAATTTCCAAGAGCCAGTAAAGACTTGTTAATATTTGCACCTTCTTTGAATCTTGCACCTTTACACCCCGTGGCGGATGCTCTTTCGGATCCTGCTAAATCGATCATAGATAATTTTACTTGTCGCATTTGTCCATCTAATTTGTTCGTAATGTTAATATAAACCTGAAAGACAGCGTGACTTCTGCTACTTTCCTCGTTTGCATCGGTGGGATGCTGTGTACGATTTCTATTACCCTTTGCTAAAAGTGTCAACAATTCTTCGGCGCTGTTGATAGTTATTATTTTAAGACCAGCCACGATTACTCCGCATCTGCCGTCGTCCCTCAAATGTAAAGGTCCAGATTTATGGAGAAGATCTTGTACATTTTCATTATAAACTTCCAAGTACGTTACACCCAAATTAAATTCACGATGTTCCCCTTGCTTCTCTATTTGTAAGAATAATTCAGCAACTGTCCGATACGTAATACCGGGATCTTCGGTACTGCCAAGCATCGTATGAGTCTTTCCAGCACCGGTTGCACCGTACGCGAATACAGAACAATTGTAACCATCCAAAAGGTTGGTGATCAAATCTTTGGTGCTACCTTCGAACAGGTCACTGTTACTGGACGTCATATCGAAGACCTTGTCAAAGATGAACTGTAGCTCCTTATTTTGTTTCTTAAGCAAGTCTCGACCTTTCTGAGCAACGCCATGATAAAAAAAGGGATTATCCTCTTCTTTTGGATCGAAAATTAGCATTTTATCATCGACAGTTTTTACAGCAGCTTTGCAATTGCCCTGGATCTCGCGTTGATTTTGTGGCCGAATCCTTACTATTACCTTAATACTCGTTTGCGAACCAGTTTCTGTTTGCACGGATGAAACTGTGCTTCCACTCGTACTCGGATTCGTTCCATTCGCACAAGCTCGTGTTTTCGCGAATTTTTTAACTTTATTTGGTGAAAATGCCTTCGTTAAATCTCTCTTATTAAAAACCATAGCAAAGTCAATTAATTCACAGTCAAACATTCATCACAAACCGTTGAAGGCAATACAATCTTTGAAATTTAAATTGTTGTAAACTGAAGTTGCTTTCGAGACAATTTGGCCAATAGTCATCACCTTGAACAGACCGGAATCCCTATAAAATTAGAATTGGACATTTGGGGAATAACTAGTGTTCGTGGGACAGTGAGTTCATCGAAAAAGGCCACCGCTCGCTAAGTCGCTCAGTGAGCGAGTGGCGCCCCATCGGTGAGAGAACGCTCAACTTTCTAGTGAAAATAGTTGCCACCATTACTGCTAGATGCCACAATCGATATGTTATTATTTTATATCTCTCATAAATACATAACCAATACGATTCCTTGGTTTCTAACGCTACGATATTGTCTTGACTGGTTTATACGTGAAATTTAACATTTTTATGAATAATTATTTAATTTAGCAATAATTATCGAATGTTTAGTCAGTTAGTCGTACCATCTAGTGGGAACAGTCAGTGTCAACGATTTCCATCGCAACAAACTTTGGCGTTTTCTCACCGATGGCGTCATTTCGGTTAGGCTAAAGACTGGAGTCGTTGTCGCTAGAGGGCTTCGTGTTTTCACGATCCAAGTGGATTGACGACGATCTGTGATGTCTCGTGTCTGGGATCTGCGAGGTGAGCGTGAGAGCGTGAGATGGATGCCGATACGGTTGCAATACGGTGAGCTTCGCATGCAATGTGTTTAGCGTCGTTTCAATCTCACTTACACTCACCATTACCTTTAAATGTAACCCTTAACGTTACGATTCGTTCAAGTTCGTTAACGTAGTGGTTATGTTTAGTTCCACGTAAAGTTAAGGTAAGATACTCCAAACTATTGTATTATGATAATCATTGAAATTTTTTGTGGACCGGAATAAAAGTCGTTGGCTGTCCCTTGTGCCTGTTCATGTGTAGTAAATTCGTGTTTCTGGTTTAACTCTGTACACGATGTAGCGGTATACGTTTCTGTTTTGAATACGTTTTCAAATTAATAACTTATCGATTACTTTAATCCATTGGTTTAATATTTTGAGGAAAATTTCAATTATGCTGGCAAACGAATAACGTTTTATTTAGGACACTTTGCATTTGTATGCTTTGGTTATTTTCATTACCAGAACCTTAAATGAAAACCATTATATTATTCTAATATTGTTGTTTACCTTGAAAAATTTGTAAAATTTTCTGTATTTAATATAAACATTTTGTCAGATACTTTTTATTAAATAATATATATTTCATATTATAAATAAATATCGGTTTACGCGGTTTCAGTTTAAAATTTTCTGACAAAAATGTCGATTCCACCGTATTTGCTGGGTCCGAACCCATGGGCCACCATGATGGCCCAACAGCAGGCTCATGCTCAATTAGCAGCGGCTCAAGCTCATGCTCAAGCAGCTGCGCACGCGCAAGCGGCGCACCATGCTCATATGCAAGCTATAGCAGGACCGCCGTTGCCGCAAATGCCCAAACAACCAGAAGTTTTGTCAGAGGATAAACTTCAAGAGAAAGGTAATTGAAGAATTCGAAAGTTGGAATCCATCCTTTTGTATATTTATTTCATTCAAATGTTTGTTGTCGTAGCCCAAAAATGGCAACAACTCCAATCAAAAAGATTCGCGGAGAAAAGAAAATTTGGTTTCGTGGATGCTCAGAAAGAAGATATGCCGCCGGAACATATTCGAAAAATTATCAGAGATCACGGCGATATGAGCAGTCGCAAGTACAGACACGATAAACGTGTTTATTTGGGGTAAGTAAATGTGCATATTCGAGTTATCGTGTATCGTTAATTTAAAGGAAATGAAAATCCAAAAGAGGTCTATAGCATTCTTAATTTTTTTACAGAGCTCTGAAATATATGCCCCATGCGGTAATGAAACTGTTGGAAAATATGCCTATGCCTTGGGAACAAATTCGAGATGTAAAAGTTTTGTACCATATTACAGGTGCGATTACATTTGTAAATGAAATTCCATGGGTTATCGAACCTGTATATATCGCTCAGTGGGGGTAAGAGAAGAAAAATGTTTCGCATTTTGTTATCGGTTACTTTTGTAGAGCGCTTAAGTAAGTCGCAAGTAGTAGGTAGCAGGATTTTCTATATGTTTTTGCTTATGTTTGTATATAGTACAATGTGGATTATGATGCGAAGAGAAAAAAGAGATCGTAGACACTTCAAAAGAATGAGATTTCCACCATTCGACGACGAGGAGCCTCCGTTAGATTACGCGGATAACGTTTTAGACGTGGAACCTTTGGAAGCTATTCAGATCGAACTCGATTCCGAGGAAGACGAATCTGTGGCATCCTGGTTTTACGAACACAAGCCACTCGTCGGTACTAAGTAAGTTGATTATTTTTCAGGGTGTTGTTCGCGATATCGTATAATAATATTTCGTGATGAAACGCGTAGGGGTCCTGAAATCAACTGATATGTGAGTTGATGGCTGTAGTAACTCGACAGTCTTGTCCGAGATGAGCACTGTTTGGGTTGCTATTAGCTGGACAAAACGCTAGCCTGAATAATCTTGGGGAAATTAAAAAAAAAAAAGATTTCACTTAACGAAAGCTTCTCTGAATTGCTAATAATATATTACAGGCATGTAAATGGATCCACTTACCGGAGATGGAACTTGACTCTACCGCAAATGGCAACTTTGTACCGTTTGGCTAACCAATTACTAACAGATTTGGTGGATCAAAACTTTTTTTATCTTTTCGATCCAAAGTCTTTCTTTACCGCTAAAGCATTGAATATGGCTATACCCGGAGGTCCAAAGTTTGAACCACTGGTGAAGGATTCGAATGCAGCCGACGAAGATTGGAACGAGTTTAACGATATAAATAAAATAATAATTAGACAACCTATAAGAACAGAGTATCGCATCGCGTTTCCTTATCTGTACAACAATATGCCACATTTCGTTCATCTATCATGGTAAGTAGTTTAAAGCGATGAAACGCGTTTATTTAAATATACACCTTGTCCACACTAGTTTTGAGACTAAGAGTTCATTGTTGGCGTATCGATAGTCTTACTAGCAGCGTGGTAGAGAAAAGATATATGTATATGTAAAGGCGGTGATTGTTATTCGTATCCTTCGTAAAGTGTAGAAGGCAACTGCTGAAATCACCTACATTTTGATTGAAACGAACGAAAGAATGAAAGCATGCTATACATGGTATAGTATAGGGTAATTTCTAATTACTATATTTCAATGGATTTCCGTGGTGTCACGTGTTTACAGGTATCACGCGCCAAACGTGGTTTACATAAAAACCGAAGATCCCGATTTACCTGCATTTTATTTCGATCCTCTGATCAATCCCATCTCTCATAGGAATTCGTTGAAGGTAAACGTTCGTTCGGATATAGATACGTAGGTTAGATCGTCGAGTATATTTATCCGATTGTTGTATGAAAGTTGGTTCCATTGTGTCTGTTGTTTAGACCGTGGAACCTCAAATCGAAGATGACGAAGACTTTATCCTCCCCGAAGAAGTGCAACCGTTCCTTCAAGAAACTCCTTTGTACACCGATAACACGGCAAATGGTATAGCTTTGCTATGGGCACCAAGACCGTTCAATACCCGTTCCGGCAGAACTAGAAGAGCTATCGACATACCTTTGGTGAAGTCTTGGTACAGAGAACATTGTCCGCCAGGTCAGCCTGTTAAGGTTCGGGTCAGCTATCAAAAGCTACTAAAGTATTTTGTTTTGAACGCTTTGAAGCACAGGCCTCCGAAACCACAGAAGAAACGTTACTTGTTCCGATCGTTCAAGTCGACAAAGTTCTTCCAAACCACTACTATAGATTGGGTGGAAGCTGGACTTCAAGTTTGCCGACAGGGATACAATATGTTGAATTTACTTATTCATAGAAAGAACTTGAACTATCTTCATTTAGATTACAATTTCAATCTGAAACCGGTGAAAACTCTTACCACCAAAGAGAGAAAGAAATCTCGATTCGGAAATGCTTTCCATTTGTGTCGCGAAATTCTTCGTTTAACAAAATTGATCATCGATTCTCACGTGCAATATCGGTTAAATAACGTTGACGCGTTTCAACTCGCGGATGGATTGCAATACATTTTTGCGCACGTCGGTCAACTGACCGGAATGTATCGATACAAATATAAATTGATGAGGCAAATCAGAATGTGCAAAGACTTGAAACATTTGATTTACTATCGTTTCAATACGGGTCCTGTCGGTAAAGGTCCTGGTTGTGGATTTTGGGCACCCGGTTGGAGGGTATGGCTGTTTTTTATGAGAGGAATTACGCCGCTGCTGGAAAGGTGGTTGGGAAATTTGCTATCCAGACAATTCGAAGGTCGACACTCAAAGGGAGTGGCTAAAACCGTAACGAAGCAACGCGTCGAGTCCCATTTCGACCTTGAATTGAGAGCGTCGGTGATGCACGATATCGTGGATATGATGCCGGAGGGAATAAAGCAAAATAAAGCTCGTACGATACTTCAGCACCTTAGCGAGGCATGGAGATGTTGGAAGGCTAATATTCCGTGGAAGGTGCCAGGATTACCGATTCCCATCGAAAATATGATCCTGCGGTACGTGAAAATGAAGGCCGATTGGTGGACGAACACGGCGCATTACAATCGAGAACGTATAAGGCGCGGAGCGACCGTGGATAAGACCGTTTGTAAGAAAAATCTTGGACGGCTGACGCGACTCTATCTTAAAGCGGAGCAGGAGCGTCAGCACAACTACTTGAAGGATGGCCCGTATATTTCGCCGGAGGAAGCGGTAGCGATATACACGACAACCGTACACTGGTTAGAATCGAGAAGATTCGCTCCTATACCGTTTCCACCGCTCTCTTACAAACACGACACCAAGCTGTTGATATTAGCGTTGGAACGTTTGAAGGAAGCGTACAGCGTCAAGTCTCGATTGAATCAAAGTCAACGCGAAGAACTCGGTTTGATAGAACAGGCGTACGATAATCCGCACGAAGCATTGTCCAGAATCAAACGACACCTTCTGACCCAGCGAGCATTCAAAGAGGTGGGAATCGAATTCATGGACCTGTACAGTCACCTGATTCCCGTTTACGACGTCGAACCGCTCGAGAAAATCACCGATGCTTATTTGGATCAATACCTGTGGTACGAAGCGGACAAACGAAGATTGTTCCCGCCGTGGGTGAAACCCTCGGATACAGAACCGCCGCCTTTGTTAGTTTACAAATGGTGTCAAGGTATAAATAATTTGCAAGACGTTTGGGATGTCAGCGAGGGAGAATGTAACGTGTTGTTGGAATCAAAGTTTGAGAAACTCTACGAAAAGATCGATCTGACATTGCTGAACAGGCTTCTCAGATTGATCGTCGATCATAATATAGCCGATTATATGACCGCAAAGAATAACGTCGTTATAAATTACAAGGATATGAACCACACAAACAGTTACGGAATAATTCGTGGATTACAATTCGCGTCGTTCATAGCGCAATATTACGGTCTCGTGTTAGATTTGCTTGTCCTCGGGCTACAAAGAGCCAGCGAAATGGCTGGTCCTCCTCAAATGCCAAACGATTTTTTGACTTTCCAAGATGTGGCTTCCGAAACGGCCCATCCCATCAGGTTGTATTGCAGATACGTTGACAGAATACATTTGTTTTTGAGATTTTCTGCCGACGAGGCGAGAGATTTGATTCAAAGATACTTGACGGAGCATCCGGACCCCAACAACGAGAATATCGTCGGTTACAATAACAAGAAATGTTGGCCACGCGACGCTCGAATGCGACTTATGAAGCACGACGTTAATCTAGGTCGCGCAGTATTTTGGGACATAAAAAACCGTTTACCCCGTTCGACGACCACCATACAATGGGAGAATAGTTTTGTCAGCGTGTACAGCAAAGACAATCCGAATCTGCTGTTCAACATGAGCGGATTCGAGTGTCGAATCTTACCGAAATGCAGAACCACTCACGAGGAATTCACGCATAGAGACGGCGTGTGGAACTTGCAAAACGAAATAACAAAGGAAAGAACGGCTCAGTGTTTCTTGAGAGTCGACGATGAAAGTTTGCAACGATTCCACAACAGAGTTAGGCAAATTCTGATGGCATCCGGGTCCACGACATTCACAAAGATCGTAAACAAATGGAACACGGCATTGATCGGACTGATGACATATTTCCGCGAAGCAGTGGTAAACACGCAAGAACTGTTGGACTTGTTGGTAAAGTGTGAAAATAAAATTCAAACGCGTATCAAGATCGGGCTCAACTCGAAGATGCCTTCGCGATTTCCACCAGTGGTATTTTACACGCCGAAAGAACTGGGCGGACTTGGAATGCTCTCCATGGGCCACGTGCTGATACCTCAGTCGGACTTGAGGTGGTCGAAACAAACCGACGTCGGTATCACTCACTTCCGTTCCGGCATGAGCCACGACGAGGATCAATTGATTCCAAATTTGTATCGGTACATTCAACCGTGGGAATCGGAATTTATCGATTCGCAACGAGTATGGGCGGAATACGCGTTGAAGCGTCAAGAAGCTAACGCGCAAAACCGTCGGCTCACTTTAGAAGATCTCGAAGATAGTTGGGATCGTGGTATTCCTCGCATAAACACGCTGTTCCAAAAGGACAGGCACACGCTCGCTTACGACAAGGGTTGGAGGATACGTACAGAATTCAAGCAGTATCAGGTGTTGAAGCAAAATCCATTCTGGTGGACGCATCAACGGCACGATGGTAAATTGTGGAATCTGAACAATTATAGAACAGATATGATTCAGGCTCTGGGCGGCGTCGAGGGTATATTGGAGCATACGCTTTTCAAAGGAACCTACTTTCCAACTTGGGAAGGTCTTTTCTGGGAGAAAGCATCCGGTTTCGAAGAATCTATGAAGTATAAAAAATTAACTAATGCTCAAAGGTCGGGGTTGAATCAAATTCCGAATCGGCGATTCACCCTATGGTGGTCGCCGACCATCAACCGAGCAAACGTGTACGTTGGTTTCCAGGTTCAACTGGATTTGACGGGAATCTTTATGCACGGTAAAATTCCAACCCTAAAGATTTCCCTGATTCAAATTTTCCGTGCGCATTTGTGGCAAAAGGTACACGAGTCGATCGTGATGGATCTTTGTCAAGTATTCGATCAAGAGTTGGACGCGCTAGAAATCGAGACTGTTCAAAAGGAGACGATACATCCGAGGAAATCGTACAAAATGAATTCGTCTTGCGCCGATATTCTCCTCTTCTCTGCCTACAAATGGAACGTTTCTAGGCCGTCTTTGCTCGCTGATTCCAAAGATCTTATGGATAACACTACCACGCAAAAATATTGGATAGACGTGCAACTTCGATGGGGAGATTACGATTCTCACGATATCGAAAGATACGCTAGAGCGAAATTCTTGGATTACACCACGGACAATATGTCTATCTATCCGTCGCCAACCGGATTGCTGATCGCCATTGATTTGGCATACAATTTGCACAGTGCGTACGGTAATTGGTTCCCTGGATGCAAGCCTCTGATACAGCAAGCGATGGCAAAAATAATGAAGGCGAATCCGGCGTTGTACGTGTTGCGAGAACGTATCAGAAAAGCGTTGCAACTTTATTCCTCCGAACCTACCGAACCGTATCTATCTTCGCAGAATTACGGAGAACTGTTTTCCAATCAAATCATCTGGTTCGTCGACGATACCAACGTTTATCGCGTTACCATTCATAAAACGTTCGAAGGGAATTTAACGACAAAACCCATTAACGGAGCCATCTTTATTTTCAATCCTCGAACCGGTCAGCTGTTCTTAAAAATCATCCATACATCGGTTTGGGCCGGCCAGAAGCGTTTGGGCCAGCTGGCGAAATGGAAAACCGCCGAAGAAGTGGCTGCGCTGATCCGATCTTTACCGGTCGAAGAGCAACCTAAGCAAATAATCGTAACCAGAAAAGGAATGTTGGATCCTTTGGAAGTTCATTTACTCGACTTTCCCAACATCGTGATCAAGGGATCGGAGCTTCAGCTACCGTTTCAAGCTTGCTTGAAAGTCGAGAAATTCGGCGACTTAATTTTGAAAGCAACCGAACCCCAAATGGTCTTGTTCAATTTGTACGACGACTGGTTGAAGACCATTTCCTCCTATACCGCGTTCTCGCGTTTGATTCTTATTCTTCGCGCGTTACACGTAAATACCGAAAGAACAAAGGTTGTTTTAAAGCCCGACAAGACAACCATAACGGAACCTCATCATATATGGCCTTCTTTAACGGACGACGAATGGATTAAAGTCGAAGTACAGCTAAAAGATCTTATATTGGCCGATTACGGGAAAAAGAATAACGTAAACGTTGCGTCGTTGACTCAATCCGAGATTCGAGATATTATACTGGGTATGGAAATTAGTGCGCCGTCCGCTCAACGTCAACAAATCGCCGAAATCGAGAAGCAGACAAAGGAACAATCGCAGCTTACAGCGACCACTACGAGAACGGTAAACAAACACGGCGATGAAATCATTACGGCGACAACTTCTAATTACGAGACGCAGACGTTCAGTTCAAAGACCGAATGGCGGGTGAGGGCGATTTCAGCTACGAACTTGCATCTCAGGACGAACCATATTTACGTGTCGTCCGATGACATCAAAGAGACCGGTTACACTTACATATTACCAAAGAACGTCCTCAAGAAATTTGTTACCATTTCCGATTTACGCGCTCAAATCGCGGGATACTTGTACGGCATCAGTCCACCGGACAATCCCCAAGTTAAAGAAATCAGATGTATAGTTATGGCTCCGCAATGGGGCACGCATCAAACGGTTCACTTGCCAAACACGCTTCCGAATCATCAGTATCTCAAAGAAATGGAACCTCTCGGCTGGATTCACACTCAACCTAACGAGTTACCGCAATTATCGCCTCAGGATATATCGACGCACGCTCGGGTAATGGCAGAGAATCCGATCTGGGATGGCGAAAAGACCATCGTCATCACCTGTAGTTTTACTCCCGGATCTTGTTCCCTGACAGCCTACAAATTAACGCCGAGTGGCTTTGAATGGGGAAAACAAAACACCGATAAAGGAAACAATCCTAAAGGTTACCTACCTAGCCATTACGAAAAGGTGCAAATGTTATTGTCCGATCGCTTCCTCGGCTTCTTTATGGTACCGAGCCAAGGATCTTGGAATTATAACTTTATGGGTAAGACTCTTTTAATACTGATACTTATTTATCGATGCATGTCTCTGCTCTTTACCAAACTAAACCTTTTTTATTATTGATTATTGATTATTGTAGGTGTGAGACACGACCCGAACATGAAATACGAACTACAATTGGCAAATCCAAAAGAATTTTATCACGAAATTCATCGACCGGCCCACTTTTTAAACTTTTCTAGTTTGGAGGACGGCGATGGTGTCGGAGCCGATCGAGAGGATGTATACGCTTAAACAAGATGAGCAAAGGAAAGTAAAACGATAAAATATCGTTAAATCTGTACTTTTTTTCCAAAGTTCATTGTGGCATAACCGACAACGTTTAATTAAAGATGAAACTTTTGTTCAGATATCAAGCGCTTTTAATTGTATATACACGAATCGATCGCGCACGGTTAACATAAAGTATCGTGAAAGATTGAACAGTTTATTAAAAAGTTGACTAGCTAAACGAGTCGTGATGCATTCTCGCTAACGCGTTTCTTTTTTTTTACCTTTGAGAAATATGCGTATCCAGTAATGTTTGTAACGTTTAGTTTATAAGTTGACTAGTATTAAACCAATTCAAATTTGTACTATACTTTAATATCAATTTAGAATAAAAAATACATAATTTATACACATACGCGTGTACACATTAAGAAAATGTACAAATTTTCACACATTTAATCTCGTAAAATACATTACGCAACATACATTTGTTATTTTCTTGGCGTACAATAAACAAGTTTGGTAAGCTTTTTGGTGCATTGATTCAAATTTTCTATATTACGTTATAAACACGAAAAAGAAGAAGAAGAAGAAGAAGAAGAAGAGTAGAATTATAGAAGCTTCACGGCTAATTAACATCGCGTTACACTCCAAGTGGCGCGGTCACAGGTCATTTGAGAACGTATAGCGCAAACTTTAGCCCAAGCTTTTCCTTAAAATTGAAATAAAAGAATACTCGCGACTCGAAACACTCCAACGATAGCCATTCTCGACGACTAGATACTTGTGCCGATTGCGAGTGGACAAACCGTGGTGTTACCGTGAACGTTCATTTAACGGTTCGCGCAGACTCGCTCGAAAAAGGATAGGTCGAACGAGTAGTCGAACTATGATACGCGCTTCGAGTCGAGTTTCTGGAAAGTATATTGTCGTCCCTGCAGCAGAGTCTTTTCAGAAGATGCTGCTTCACTTTATCCTTCCAAACGAAGATGAAGAAGATGATTACACCTTGCAAGGTATTCGTTATATCGGTAAGATACCAAATGTATTCCGGTGAATTGTTGCACAGCCAAGATATTATTTCCATTGACCAATTGATGCCCATTACGATGAACAGCTTCAAGTACAAATTGAACCTGGACAAGAAAATGTATAAATTATACTAAAGAAAATTGTGGTTATTTTGTAAAATATGTAAATATCGTATACATATAGAGTAGATTGGTAGAGGCGATACCTCTGTCGAGTGGAACGTGGAACGCAAGCAACCGTGCGTGCGACTATGCGCGCGAGACTGTAGCCCCGGATGTGTATTTGCTACTTTAGAGGAGAACTCGTCATTACGAAAACAAATCAAAGCATGGGAAAAATGTTGGTTTCGCTCGTTCTATAAGAGGATCCAAAAATAATTTTGCCGTCACAATAAGTGTAGTATTCGCGTATCGCGTATCGCATATCGCGAGCCGTGTTTCGAACCACTGGATCAACGTCTTTCAAAATAGGGGCTTGTTCGAGTTTAACAAAGGCGCAAAGAAAAAATGTTTAACGCTACAGACTGTAAATGAACGAATAAAAGGATAAAAGCACGTACCATTGTTTGTGATCGTCGTGGCGCTTGCTGTCCGCGTCTTTGAAATGTCGCGCCGTGTCTTTTTTGTGTCGCACAATCTTCAATGCCGTCGAGACGAAAAGACATATGTTGCAGAGGATTGTAACGCCCATAGGTCCGTAAAAGTATATCGCTTTTGCCGTTTCCTCTATAAGAAGATTAAGCTACGTTTAATCATAGACGTAAATACAGGACGCGGGTTTAATGATCCCGAGACTGCTGGTTCTAACGATTCGCACACCATAATAATTGAATAAATTTAAAGTAAATCAGCACTTACTTGCAAACCAGCAACTCTCTTCGCCGAATTCCGGTCGAACGAAATGCTTTGGGATATCGGGAAGAAAATGCATGAGTATGCTGATTCCTGTAAGAATGGATGCGCAACCCCAAGCGTAGATCGAATATATCATAAACTTTTTCCGTTCCCTTTGCTTTGCGCTACCTTGAAGCGATCGGAAACCTCTGAAAAGTGAAAATTAATATTATTACGGTCTGCGAGAAAGCCCAAACGATTCCGTACCTTGTAAGCATTTTAATTTCAACTATGTACTATTCGTATCTAAAATTTCAAAGTTGGAGTCAAAGTTGAAGTTTGCACGCTACAGCCAGGTTTGCGAGTATTTTTAAGCGTTCCACGAATGCGACAATGGTTTACGGTTTACGGTTTACGGTTTACGGGATCGCGTGAGAATGTCAGCCTAAATTAATAAAGCGTTTACGTTGGGTGGCATAATCTACGATCATGATCGTTAACGGCCGTTAAGCGTGCGTTCGTTTCGCCAAGCCCTTCTTTCCTACTCGTATAAATATAAACACGTAAGTAGATACGAGTTCGACTTGGTCGAGGGTGTGACCGTTCCCGCGTGTCTCGTGTCATCAGCGTCTAATAAAGGAAGCGTATTAACATGTTGGAGGGTTTTCATACGTACGAGCGAGTGCGTATTTGCGTAAACGTACTTTTTGCGAAACGATCGAAATCGAGTTTAAAACTGACCGACTATGCTTCGAATGATTCATATTGGAAAAAGGAGTACGACAGACAGTTGCTTCGCGTCGCGACGTTTGCGGTTTTCAGTGACGCACAGTTATTCCTAAAGAACCAGATCGAACATTCCTGTGCCTTGAAAGCGTTTATAAACTATAGGTACGAGTCAAAAATGTTGCGCGAGTACCTATACAAAATTCGTTTCGTTTTCCCTGAATTTTCCACAAAAGCGACCCGTGATAAACGTTCGAAAATCTTTCTAGGAAAAGTAAACGAATGCAATAATAAGGATTTCCGGGCGTTGAAAGGTAACGCGAGAATACTCGTATCTAAGCGGCGTCGGCGTCGGCGTCGGCGTCGGCGTCGGCGTCGGCGTCGGCGTCGGTACCGTCGACGGAATCAGCACCGAAGAAAAGCCCGATCCTCGGCATTCGAGATTTGTTTGGACGATACGTCACGATTTGTTTGCTGTACACCTGGCGTTCTATAGATACTCGAGTAGATCTGAAACTTTTATAACGGCTGGCTAAAGTAAAGAAACAGATATGGGCAAAATTTGATTCGAATAATAATAGATTACGAATAAGAAGAACCCGTACGCGTATGTATACGTATACTCGTCGTGGCATAAATATTTATTCGTTTGGCTATCGAAATTTCATTCCGTAGATGAAATTACGCGCGTCGAAACGTCGGCGTCGGCGTCGCGAGGAATTTTCATTTAACACGCAACGAATGGTAGAAAAATGTTGATTCTTTGAACAGAATTCAGATGGAGGATCTCTGCAATCGAAGTAAATACTTGTACTGTGTACAGAATCTAGATTGCGTTGGCCGTTGGTCCTGTGTCAATAAATTCTATCGATTCCCGCGAGTATCAATTAATCGGAGCGAATTAAAGGCGTCGGCGTCATCCGACACGGGTCGAGACAAGAGACATTAACGTGGGGCTTACACGCGATAAATAGCGCCGTGGGAGAGCCGTTTGTTTCGCGGACACGATCGAAATTCATTTAAGAATGTTTGCATGGTTCTCTGTACACGTGCCGTCACGAACCGGATATTAATTTGCGTTCTATCGCGATTAATTTTCCCCCGGTGTTTGACCAACTATCAAATTTCTCTTCTTTCAACGGAAGATTAACGAGGAACGTTTTGAACGCGTTCGTCATACGCGACCGAGAAAACATTTTTCAAGGATAGGTCGTCGGCGAATAAATGAATTTGCAGGCGGATGTTTTACCGCTTCCGCGTCTGGATACCGATGCAAGGCTTCGATACGTCGCGCGTCGAGACGAAACGAAAAATCGCAAAGCAACGGGCGGCGCGTAGACAAAACTTTCGACTCGCTTACCTAAACGTCCACCAAATATCGAAGCACATAACGTTCAGCCAGAAAAAGCTCGCCAGGAACGAGAAGTGGATGACCAAGGCTGAAACAAAGTCCGATTAAAATTACCAACGGTTTACCTTGCGAGTCGCGGACATGCTCGCGCGTTAACAAGCGAATAGGCGTGCACCGAGTCGATAAAAAGCAGAGAAATCGTACGAGAGAAGAAACGATCGATTTCGGGAACGATTTGACCGTTTACGCTTGCACGGCATGCTTGTGCTCGGTGTCGATTTCGTTCCGGCAACTGTTACGCACGTCCAAGTACGTAGCTGTAGATATATCGTGTATCATGGATCGCTACGATACGAAATCGCTGGTAAATATGCTTTCTTTCGACTATCCGTATAGGAGTTCTGGTGAAAAATAACGTGCAACGAGTACCGAGCAACACGCAGAACTTGTCCGAGATATGTTCCTGCGGTGAGATCTGTAAGATAGCGAGCGTTGTATACGCGACCATGAGGGAACCAACGTATCCGCGCAGGGTGCGTCCGTGTATGTTGTGCAGTTCGGGTATCAGCGTGTAGACGATCAAAGTAGCGAGCAGGAACGGTATCGAAACGATCATTCCCACGGGATACGAGACCAACACGTTTCCGTCGCCTTCGCTTATGTCGAAAGAAACTAGCACGCTGAACGTGTCGTTATCCTCTAAACGGAAACAAAAATCGGTCTGCTCGCGAATAATTCCGATATTATCCTGGTAGATCGAGCCGTTGTTAAGATACATGAAATGATCTTCGATGTTGTTGTTCGGCTCGAGTAAGTACTTGTCTCTACGAGGATTCGAAAGGAAAAAACGAAACCGTTCTCGCGTTAGATCCTCGACGAGCAACTCCAAGCTAACGGAATCGTAAATACTCGGCAAATGGAAGGTGACGTTTGTTTCCTCGTGATTGTTGCAACACGCGCGAAACGCGAGCGGTTCGCAAAGAGGAAACGGGATCCGAGACACGTTCGTCCTCTTATTCTTTGCCTCGTCCGAGCTACCAAAGTCGTCAAACCCGTCAAAGTCTCTGCTCGGTTTGCTGTTGTTGGCATCCTTCACCAAACACTCTGGCTCTACTCTAGTGATGTTTTCTTGATTGCACAAACATTCGGTGCTAGACAACACAACGCTCGTCGCGAATACCGATCGCGTCGATAACAGCCAGATGACAAGGATCGTTAACCAATTGTGATCGTGATCGTAATCCATATCGGACCGTACCGAACGTCTGGGTGGGTGGGTTCTCGAAAACTAACTGTTTATCGTCGCCGTCGGTCATCCGGATTTCTTGCGACCGCGCTCATTATCGCGTTACACGGAAATGGTCGGATGATTGGCAACACTTACACATCCAGTTGCGGCTGACATACGCTCGCTTTCTATAGCCCTTCGACATTAAATTATCTAATCTTTATCATCTGTTATCCTAGAACGCGACGGGTACACCGAGCATAAACTCTTCTGTCAACTATTACATCAATAGGCTAAGATATAAATCGTTCGCCTGTCAGAGAACATATTCGCGTACTTTATCGTATCTGTACGATATCGTTTCGTTCAATTTAAACCGTGTTGAACGGAAAGAGTCGTGCGAGTCGCAGCGCGCGAACGCGCATCGTTTTAAAATTTAAACTCTCAGGATCGTCGATTCGTCATTGCACGGCTACAACGATGTTTAGTCCACGAATCACAGCCAAATGATTCGAAACGACGACACGTGTTTCCAGAAAGGGGCAACATCGTTTCAACGGTCTTTCATTCGTTTCGTTATCTACCGTGTGTACACATGGTGGGATTGGCGCGCCGCGTACCGAGAGACCGAGGGACGTAAGAAGGAGAACATCGAAGGCTCGAATCGCAAGCCGATAAGACCATTTCCTCGCGATTTTATGCTGTAAAACCGATAAATAAACAGCGACTTCCTACAAACGTCGGTACAAGGCTAAAAGGTCTACAAACTATCAAGTCGACGCGCGTATATATATCGGCCACTTTTGCTTCGAAATTTAATCAAATTTTCAAGATAGTTTCTTTTTTCTCTACGAGACACTACCGGTCTTCGGTTTTAAGAGTACATTTCATTTCAACGGGTTATTCTAGTCCGAAACGTGTCAATTTTCAAGTATTCCTTTGAATACGTACGAAATTGAGTCGGGTTGTCTCCAGCGAGACAGGAGGAGACGGCCATTGTGACCGCCGCAACCCATTATTTCAAACTACATCGAATCTAAAATCGTGTGTAAGAATGACAAGAGATGCGGTAAACGGGAAAAATAGCGAAAAGAGAAGCAAAGAAAGCAAGCGACGATGGCAAGGGAGCAAACGTTGATAAAAGAGAGAGATCGTGCGCGGCCTGGTTGTGCTTACCTATCGCGGAGCAGAGTCCGTACGCGATGTAAAACAAGGAGGCCAATTCGAGGAAAGTGTACGCGACGAGAAGAGAAGCAACGTAACACATCAGAGTCTTTCCGTAGAGATTCCTGAGCTCCGGAATAATCGCGTACACCAAAAATGTAGCGAGCAAAAATGGAATGGACACTATAAGGCCGAATTTGTAATAGGTTTTCTCGTTCGGAGGAACGGAATTGGGTAAAACTTCGGTCGACAAGCAAACGAGGGCGGCGATCTTGTCGACGGACTCTTTCCAGTCGAGACAGTAACTCCCCGTCGGAAACATCATCGACGAAGTTTGAAGCGACCCGTTTCGCTCGACTACAAACTTGTCCTCCTCAAACTTTTCCGGCTCGAGCATATACCTCGAGAGATTCCCGGGACAGCCCGTGTAGTTGACGATAACGGAGACTCGTTCGATCTCGGGGGCGAGTTGGGATCGTTCGAGGACGAGATCGCGGCCGAGCTGTTCGTTCGGTAGTCGCGTGCAATTCGGTCGATCACCGACTCCTAACATCTCGTTGCGTCGACAACACTTTTTCAGGCATGTGCGTAAATTACACGGACATCCGTAAGTCTCGTTCCCGACCTCTCGATAAGATCCGACGGGGTACACCAGCTCCTCGTACATCAAACTTCCGTTCTTAAATCTGCTAGTTTTACTTGGTTCCAGAACGATAGCCGCGAATGCTTGGCAAAAGGAATCTCCGTTCGACGATGCGTCTACTTCGGTTCCCGTAGGTCCGAGCCAATACAACAAACTAAACGAAATTACGCGAATCACGGTAGTGACACGGAGCCGCATCGTGACCTTCTCACGCTCCGTTCAAACGTAACTACGTTCGATGATACGTTCTCTCTCCTTTTCTTTTCTTTTCTTTTCTTTTCTTTTCTTTTCGCGTTCATACGTCGATGCGAAACGATTCTTAAAATTCACGTCGGATCGTTTCGGCGTTGATCATCGACGTCGCGTCGACGATCCAACGAAATCGTAAATGGCTCGGAAGTCTCGGGACAGACTGCCCTCCGAGTCTTTCGATCGTTCTTAGTTGCCGCCCGCGCGAGAATCGCCGACAATGCGGTACCAACGCCATCTGTCAAACCTATTACGGCTAGAAAGACCGTCTGCCAAGTGCCAACGGGATAAACTAACGCAACACTACTACCCTTTATCATTTTCTCGTACCGTTTGTCGATCTCGTTAATCAATTTTAATCGATAACTAGAGGGTAATCGCCTCTCGTACATTCATACGATGCAAATACTCGCCTATCTTTGCGAGAAACTAACAATAACCAACCTTTTCTAGCTTTCTCCAACATTTGTCAGTTGGATAAAAACGGTAACTTCGATAGGTACGGTAGATTCTCGTTCCAAGCTCGATCATTTTGCAGTTTTCCTGTACACCGCGATTTGGAACGCATTCCAACACTCCGCACGGATTCGCTATTTAAACAAACATGTATATATATATATATATATAATAATATTCGCAACTATGGAATAACAGCTTGCGATTAATGATTAATAACAGCTTCACTTTTACCTTAGAATCCCTTTTGTATCGTTACAACGACCTAAAAATAGAGTACCACTAGAAATAAATGTACATCTTTATTTGAGATCAATATTTTTAACACTTTTTATAAATTTATAAATGATTTCTAAGAAACGTATACGTACATTCTGTATCGTGAATGTATTTCAATTACAAAACCAGTCGAATCTATTCATCGCTATTTATCGCGTTATGCAATCTGGATGATCTCCTCGATCTTTCACCTTGCTCTCAGACTCGATTAACTTTTGAGAGATGAGAATCGTCGATGCGAATCTAGAATATTTGCGATACTAGAAATTTGTACGATCTCACAAACTGAATAAAATAAAAATTGGAAACACATTGGCAAAGTTGTCAATAACCGATACTATTCTATGATTTTTTCGTTTTCTACGAAATGATTATGATTATGTAGTACATTGCGTTACGTGTGTCATCCAGCTGTATCGCGTGCAAGTATGTTTCTCTTGTCTATAGCATCCCACTCCAGAGTCCAGTCTCTTTTGTCCGGCAGATTCGAGTTATCAAAATGCTGTACATCTTGATATCTTCTTTTTTTAAGATCTCGTTAGCAGAAAACGATTAATCGTAAGTACATATATTTACTTATATACTTAGTATTAGTATCATCGATTCCTGATTAACGAAATAAAATTCTGATCTTAATTCCTTAATGTATCAATTGCATCTGTGTAAAACAGAATAAAATTAAACGATATTAAATAAAATATCATATGTAGATAAGTAAAATAGACCGTAAGCGTAACGAAGAAATGTGATACCACTTGATAGTATCTTAACCTCTAAACACGCTGACGGTTTCTAATAAAAACAAAATATCACGTATATACTTTGATACTGTTAAAACGCAAACTTTGATGATGTAACGGTTTAACTTTAACATAACCGGAACGGATGCTGACAAATTTCCTGTTTCCATGTAAAACTTATTTGGCGTTGTTACTTTCGAAAAAGTAACGGTTTCCATATTTCATACGATAAAAGGAAATACTTGTACCACCTGTTGCTGTATGGAAATTAGATGGCAAAACTAGAAGACGTAAAATTTATATGGAGAAACGCGGATGCAGTCACCTTCGACGTTGATTCCACTGTGATACAAGAGGAAGGAATCGACGAACTTGCAAAATTTTGTGGAAAAGGAGACCAAGTTACCGCCTTGTAAGATTTCTATCAACTAGAATATTCGATTATTTCAAAATCAACTTACACGCCATAGATGATTCTTACTCTTTTCGTATGAAAAATCAGTTTAAAATGCTTTTAGAACGAGCCAAGCGATGCAAGGAAACTTAACGTTTCAACAATCTTTAATGGAAAGATTGAATATTATAAAACCAAGCTATACTCAGGTAAAGCAGTTTCTCGAATCGCACCCACCAAAACTTACACCTGGAATCAAGTAAGAAATAATTTCAATTAAAGAGATGTTACACTGTACGCGCTGCTTCTTCTAAAACTGCTTATAAAACTTCCAGAGCTCTGGTAACGGCCTTACAAGCTCACAAAAAGCAAGTGTTCCTAGTGTCTGGTGGTTTCCATTGCGTAATCGCACCAGTTGCCGTATTACTCGACATTCCGTTAGAACATGTCTTTGCGAACAAATTGAAATTTTATTTCACAGGTTCGTATCCGTTTATATGTATGCACACGGTCGGTTTATTATACTACATCTGAAAACTCAACGAACGATATTTGTAGGAGAATATGCAGGTTTCGATGAAAATCAACCCACCGCTGCGAGCGGTGGAAAAGCAAAAGTAATCGAGTATCTCAAAAAGGAACTCGGATGTAAAACTGTTGTCCATATCGGAGACGGAGCAACAGATTTAGAAACTATTTCGATAGCGGACACATTTATAGGTACGTCTCGATTACTTATTACGTATAAATAATTTCGTTTGTTTTTTATTTTAGTTAATATTAGTTTTACTATAGGATACGGAGGAAATGTGGTTAGAGAAAGCGTTAAGATTGGAGCTCCGTGGTTTATTACCGATTTCAATGAACTTGCGAATGCATTGTAAACGTAAAAGGTAATATTCTTCCGAACCATTAAATTATTTCTAATGATTCGGCGGTAACCGATAAATATGTTTCAATAAACATATAATACAATGTTTCCTACATTCATTTTTGCTTACTTCTGAATCTATACTTTACTTCAACCATTCAAAGTAGTTTTATTTCAAATTCATTTATATCATTCACCCTGGTCAAATTAACTGTAAGAAATTTGATAGAGAGTACTTTTTTACATTTATCATAAAATAACAACGTTTAACTCTATGTTTACATTATTACATGGACTCTTATAGAACATAATTTTCTCTGCACAAAATGCGATATTCAAAGTTCTACAGAATGACACTCTAATTATAGGACAAAATTGGTATTTGTACATATCTATAACGATAATTTGTATAGAAAAATATATGTCCTTGTACGTCGTAAATCAGAAATCAAAAAATTTAATTTAAAAACGTAGACGTATGGTGAATTCGCCATAGATTACGCTTTGTTACCTTTGTTATATGTATACGAAACCTTAAGGGTTTACCATTCCTATCTTGTTCTTCGAAACTCTGAAACCTGACAAATATACAATCATTTCACCGATCACCAATCACTGATCACTGACAACTTTTTGTCCTTTCTTGTTTCTTTTGTTCTACCCACTCCTGTATCCTATGTTGAAGTTCAACGTCGGACTTTACCATATCCATAGTGAGAGGAGATCGATTAAACGGATCAGTTTGATCGCTTAGCAGATGCCTATAGATTATCGGACGTAAATGTTTTTCACTAATTCCATATTTATCGTAATCTTTATCATTGTCGATAATAACAAATACTAACCTCGCAATGGTTTGACGATCGATAGTTATTTTAGAAGATGGAAGAATTACAGGATCCATCATCAAAGTAGACATAATAGGATCCAGAAACTCCTCGGGAGCATCGACTAAAATTTCATCTTCCTCTCTCTTGTGAGTTGCAGCCGCTTCTACATTTTTTGCGAATTCATCCAAATCTCCCAATATACCCACACCTCCGATCCGAACTGAAATATTGTACTTATGGAAGTAATTTTTTGCCTAAATTTTTATTAAAATTAATCATGCGTAAATGCTTACCGAGAACATTATCGGCTAGCCGGAAAAGTTCAGGACTGTATGACCGACCGTCTTGAGAAACGGCGAGCGTAAAGGATTCAATTTGACTAAGGTTTATATAAATTTCGCATATATTTAATACTAAATTTGCTGGATTGAATGCATATTCGTTTTGATCGTTCACCTAAAGACAAATCGATGTGTTTAAATACTTTGCGTTTTTCTGATGTAGCTGTGTATACTTTTTTTGTACCTTTAAATTCTTCTTATTTGGCCCAACCAATTGTAACAACAAATAATTGAGCATCGAAGCAATGCGATCAACCATTGTCGGATGGCAAAAGATAGATTTGATGTCTGTCGTTAACATTTTTAGCGTTCGTATAGTTTTCCTACCTAATATATTGTCAAATCGTGCAATCATTCCAAGATGTAACAGATAATGAGCTTGTTGATCACGCTCGTGTTGCGGTAATTTATTCCATTCTCCGCTTTCCCTTTCGATTTAAATCGAAATCGAAATCGGAATTAGATACTATTTACGCGATATAATATAACATACAACAAATCGAATATAATGCAATACCTTGCTTGAAGTAATTGTCTCAATTGTGCCATGTTCGAAAGTGCCTCGTCTAACAAGAAAACTGCATCGTTCATTAAAAGATTTATAAAACGCAGAAATAGCGGTGGTTGAGCTGCTTCCATATTAGCCTCTGCCTCTTCGGCTAGAGTACTATCGAAAAAATGTGCAAAGTATCGTATGTATTAAGGTCGGTTCGTGGCTTACGTATCTATGTACTAACTGTAGAATTATTTACAAACTTGTAAAATATGTCTTTTTATTCTTCACTTACATAAAGTTATTACGACGTTCTGGAAGTTTCCACAAATATTCCATGACAACGTACATTGGCCGTCGATAATTAAATTTTTGTTCAAATTGAACGCTTTGTCCTGTCATTTCAATGCTTACAAATACTTTAAGTAAGCTGGCAACAATCTATATTAGAAACGATATGATTTTATAAGAGGAAAATATTTAACGAATTTAAATACAATTACATACATGCTGTCTACACGGGTGTGTCATAAATAATTGTTCTCTATGGAATGTTCCTAAACTCGATTTTCTACGGCTCAAGATATCATCAGTTGTAGGTAAAAGGGCCTCTAAACCTTCCGCCAGACGGGCTCGTAAATGAGGATTGTATAAGCGTCGTTGAGACTCCATCAACACAATAATCTGACATAACATACTTCATTATTTTACCGAATCGCATTAATTCGAGTTTATCGAACCTACACGTTTTTTCTAGCTCACCTCTGTTAACACTGGCGTTAGGAAAAACGACCCTTGTTCTTCGAAAACATTTGAATTGAACCGACGTAAAAAACACAAAAACCTAATAGTATTTTCCACGACAAATTCAGGAATGCATCTAAATGCAAATAATATCTCGTTAAAAGGTATAATTGTGGCAATCGGTCCGAGATTAGAAGAGAAAATGAACGCTTTCTACGCACCTGAGAGTATCCGGAACGGTTTCTGGCAAAGGAAACGTTACTGGTTTATAT